GTAAGACAGCTATGGTTGCGTGTATAGCTCCATCCGACTACGACGAGACTCTGTCCACCCTACGTTATGCCGACCAAGCCAAGCGCATCCGCACCCGTGCTCTTGTCAACCAGGACTGCATGTCTGCTGCACAGCGAGATGCTCAAATTGCCGAGATGTCGGAACAGATCCGAAGTCTACAGGTGTGCGTAAATGCTGCTAGCCAGCGCAAGAGGGAAGAAGCTACCGAGCTGGATGAGTACCAGAGGCAGGTTGCACTTATGCAACGTCTTATGGAGGAGAACCGCCAAGTCTCAGCTGCAAAGATCAAAGCACTCACTTCGGAAGTCGAAGAGCTCCGCCCGCTCAATACGGCTCTCCGCGCAGAGATTGATACATTGCGCCGCCATCTCGCTCTTGCCCTTGGAGAGCTTAAGAACCCTATCGTCCTACCGCCACCGCGTGAGCTCGGTACGCCAGACTTCGAGAACGGAGAGTGGCTGGGTGAAGGAGATGAGGTAGACCGGTCCGTGGGAGCTGGTGGTGACGCAGAGGCAAGTGATGACGACTCTGACTCAGGCTACGATGAGGGTGATCAGCACGATGAGCTGGCACAGGAGCTGCAGAACGAGGCAGAGTCGTTCCTCCAAGATCTCGGCCTGTTCCGTAAGAAGGTTGGCAGCGATGTGGAACGATTTGGAATGCACGAGAAACTTGCCGGTATGATGGAGAATGGACTGTAAACGAATGCGGCCAGGGAGTTTGCTACCTTGATGGAGTTGGGCAAGGACACAGGATGAACTTTGATTATGGATGCATGAGCGACGGCGTTATTCTTTTAATATGGGCGACACAGACCCGAACGTAGATAGTAGTATATAGTTGTGCCACGATGAATGAAATATGTCTCACACGCCCTTACAACTAGTCAAGTCTCTCATACCTCGTCTTCTTCGTCAACGCAGGCATGCTTGTTGGCTTCGTGTGCTTGTTTCTCGCTTCTTTGAGGACTCTTCACATCTATATCAGCACAAATACTCTCCCTTACATTTCTATCACGGCATACCTTCTCAGGGGTAGCTTCCTGAACAGCTTCTCGCTTACGAGGGCGACCAGCACGAGGAGCGTCTTCAAGGTACTCAGGGAGGATTTTGATCACAGATGCATTTGGATCAAAGCCTCGCTGGCAGGCTCTCCTGTAGATTTCGTTAATTGTACGTTGTGGAATGCCTGTGATTGCGCTGATTTGGGCGGTTGATTTGCCTCCGAAAGGTGACTTTAACGTAACAATTGCAGCACGAGTAGGGAGATCTGTGTTTGGAGCCATGAGTTGTTTGAAGTAGGAACCACGATATAGCAAATGTTTACACGACTCCAGATTAAAAAGATGTTTGTATTTCTGTGAAGAAAGACGGACCGAATAATCCGCTGAATTCCACCTCCGTACGTCGTGCATATGTGATGTGACAGGCCTCGGCGAGTGCTTCGAGCTATGACCGCAACTCCAAGTAAGCTCCAACCAGGCGCGCATCGGGCTTCCGACCACTTCGCGCCGTGGTAGCCCGACGTCCGCGACCAAACATGTCCAAGCCAACAGCCAACTGGGAAAAGGTCGGCGACAAATTCTACAGAAAAGTCCAGCTCTACCAGGCCGTCTTCGACCAGGACCTCGAGCTCGAGAACTACCATGTGGTGGGGGCGCCGTATAGCGGTGCTGTAGGTAGGTATGTCCCGCTTGCCTGCCATTGACTGCGCATACCTGCACTGGGGCTGGGCTGACTGCATTAGCCATATACCGCGATGAAGACAAGCTGCAAACATATCGCGGGCCAGGTCCTTCCAAGTCGAGCATCGACATCTACAGCTGCGCGGGCAAGCTGATCCGAAGCATCAACGTACGTCACCTCAGTATCAACTGCGAACCTTTACGACGGGCAACGCTGACAGCCTCTAGTGGGACAAGGGACCCATCCGGGGCTTGGGCTGGTCCGAGGACGAGAAGCTGCTTGTTGTCACATCGGACGGCACCGTGCGATGCTACTACGGCCTGCAGGGCGACTTTGTGCCCTTCACACTTGGTCATGATTCAGACCAACTCGGCGTCGTATCGTGCAAATTCTATAGTACCGGCTTTGTCGCGTTGCTGGGAAACAACCATCTCATCTCGGTCGCCTCGTACACCGAGCCGCGCCCAAAACTCCTTGCCATCCCACCGACCGACCCCATTATATCCTGGAGCATAGTCCCGCCTGCATACTCTCTCTCTCGCTCGGTTGAAGTCATCCTTGCCATCGGAACAACACTTTACGTTGTGGACGCGACCGAAGCTGAAGACAGGAACTTTGATGCTGGGCCCTTCAGACACATCAGCGTCAGTCCGCGCGCAGAGTTCCTCGCGTTTTATACCGAAGATGGGAAGGTATGGGTTGTCAGCGGTGATTGGAGCGAGAAGTTCAGCGAGTACGACAGCAAGATCAAGACAGTTCCCAAGGATATGGAATGGTGTGGCTCAAACGCCGTTGCGCTGGCGTGGGAAGATGAAGTACATCTGATTGGCCCCAGAAGCGCCGCGACAAAGTTCTACTATGACACTTGGGTGCACCTGCTACCAGATATTGACGGCATTCGCCTTCTCACTAATGATTTGTGCGAGTTTATCCAAAAAGTACCAGATGAAGCCGTCGATGTCTTCAGGCTTGGCTCCGACTCGCCTGCTGCAAACTTGCTAGAGGCCTCTTCTCTTCTCGAGCAAAAGAGCCCCAAAGCAGATGATCTCATCCAGCTTATACGCCCTAGCTTAGGTGAGGCTGTGGATACATGTGTGAAAGCTGCTGCGCATGAGTACAATATTCATTGGCAGAAATCACTGTTGAAAGCTGCCTCATATGGAAAGTCGGTATTGGACTTGTACTCGTCAGATGACTTTGTCGATACCTGCGATACACTACGAGTACTCAACGCTGTGCGTTTTTACGAGGTTGGACTGCCGCTCAGTTACGATCAGTACCGTCGCATGACACCCGAGAAGCTCATTGAACGTCTCACGAATCGTAGCGAATACCTCTTGGCACTACGAATCGCCGAGTACCTGCATTTGCCAGCCAATCAGATTCACGGCCATTGGGCGCAGCAAAAGGTTCGTGTTTCCACGGACCCGGAAGAAGAAATATGCAGCTTGATTGTCAAGAAGCTCCATGGAAAGCCAGGTGTGTCTTTCGAAGACATTGCGCGGGCGGCGTATGATGAAGGTCGTGTTCGCCTTGCAACGGACCTACTAAACTACGAACCCAGAGCGGGAAAGCAAGTACCTTTGCTCCTGAACATGAAGGAAGACAACATTGCGCTTGACAAGGCTATCGAATCCGGCGACACTGACCTGATCTACCATGTTCTACTGCATCTCCGCAAGAAGCTACCACTTGCATCCTTCTTTCGGGTCATCAATAGTCGACCAGTCGCTACAGCTCTGGTTGAGTCGTCAGCTTGGGACCAAGATCGTGACCTGCTGAAGGATCTCTACTACCAAGATGATAGGCGACTCGATGGATCGAATCTTTTGTTATCTGAAGCCCTCTCGCAAGACAACCAGGCTGCCGCACAAGACAAGTTGAAGTTGGCATCGAAATACCTACAAGACTCTCGGGAGAGTACAGCCGTCTTCCAACGCCAATCGATAGACGATGCAGCCAAGCTTCTTCGTCTTCAAACGCAATTTGAGAACGATCTTAATGGACCCAGCGATGCCAGCCCCAGTGGCACGTTACCTGGCCAGACCTATATTGGTCTCTCGGCGAACGAAACAATCTTCCAACTCATTCGCCAGGGCCACACCAAACGCGCTCAAAAAGTGCAGTCAGAGTTCAAGATCAACGATAAGACATACACGTATATCCGGCTCCGGGCCCTAGTCGCAGCACGCCACTGGATCGAGCTCGAAGAATGCGCCAAGCAAAAGAAGAGTCCTATTGGCTGGGAACCCTTTTTCAATGAGATTCTAGGCGCTGGTAACACCAGAGTCGCATCGGTATTCATCCCAAAGTGCACGTCCCTGTCCGTACCTGAGCGCGTGGAAATGTGGACCAAATGTGGCCTGCTAGTCAAGGCAGGAGAAGAAGCATTCAAAGTCAAAGACCGGGAGTTGCTCGAGGAGATTCGAGCCAAGGCAGGCGGAAGTGCAGCTATTGAAGTGGAGAGGTTACTAGGCATGTTGCCCCCGAGCAAGAAATAAGAAACGGAGATCATTACGTTACGGAGCAAATGGAATGGGGGTACGCTGTATGTACTAATGCAAAATTATTCACTACAAATATGGATTTCGTGGGCCCCTTCCGGCCCACTCCCTCTCCTTGCCTTTTTTTTGAGCCCTTCGATGATGCCGGTAGTACAGTGCCTCCAATGTAACTAGATAGTATGTACGTGCACCACGTCCCAGGAAAACACGATTCATCCCTCACCATCATTCCATCTGCACCTGACTAACAAAACCCACCGGGTTGTGGAGGCCAAGCCAACCACCCGCATGCACCCCAAAATGTGGAGGAGGTTCAACGACCACATCCGCCCCATCGCTTATCGTACTTTTACATAACCAATCCTAGCCGTCATAGTAGCTTGGATCAGGAAACGATCAACACTGCCCATACGTCGTACCCCGCGTTTATTCCCAGGATCCTGCCCGAATGTTTTTTTTTGGTTTTTAGCTCCGGGGTAAAAGTAAACAGGCATCAAATCAAGTTCGCTAAGCTCGATGCGACCCGCCATCTCGGTGTTGTATCGGGGCGAAGTTGCTGCGAAAGCTACTTCTGTCTCCACCCCTTGCGAGATTTCTTTTCTGTTTTCTTCAAGTCGAGGTGGAGATGGGGGGTGATCGCTATGGAGATGCCATGACGGAAAGGTTGTGGGGTGCAGCAGCAAGTGTCCGGGGTAGAAGCGCGGAGGCATATAAGTGACTTGTGGGATACCATGTACTTGGAATATCCCGTCGCGAAAGGGGATTTTATTTTTTTGAAAACAGGTCCACGATGACGTTGTCTACACTGACCAGCCTCGCGCTTGTAGCAACAGCGACGGCGCTTCCCTACTCCGAATACATTCTCGCGCCAAAATCACGGACTGTACTCCCTGTCTCTATACACAGCAGCAATGGCTCCGTCGCGAACCCCGAGGCCCTTCTCCAAGGAGCGAGCAATGGCAGCGCGGTATTCACCGGTAACGCATCCACAGCGTACGACTTCGGGATCAACATTGCAGGAATCGTGAGTGTGAGTGTGGGCGGTAGCGTAGATCCGACCGAGGATTACATCGGTGTTACGTTCTCTGAGAGTTCGCTGTGGATTAGCAATCGGAGCAGCGATGCTACTGCTGATGCGGGCAAGGACGAGACGCTGTGGTTTCGTGTGAATGGGACGGGCAAGTATACGGCGCCGAGAGATAAGATGAGGGGTGGGTTCAGATATATGACGTTGGTGCATAATGGGACGGGGAGTCTGGAGGTTACGGGGGCGGAGGTGCATTATACGGCTATGCCGCATTGGGCGGACGATGCAATTGGGAATTATACTGGGTATTTTCATTGCGATGGTGAGTGGGATTTCGTTGCTGAAAGTTCTTTCTTACACAAATTTGGCTAACAGGGAGTAGATGAGCTGTTGAATCGGATTTGGTATGCGGGAGCGTATACGAATCAGTTGTGTACCATACCACCGGATACGGGCAATGCTTTAGTGCATTTGGGGGAAACGGGATACTCGAGTACGGATGACCAGAGTCCGGTGAATGTTACGTGGTATAACAACTATACGATCACTCAAGGCACGAGTGCTTTGGTGGATGGAGCGAAGAGGGATAGGCTTGTTTGGGCTGGAGGTACGTTTTACTTCCATGACGGTTCATCTGAAAAGTGAGAGAATGCTAACAGAACCCCAAAGACATGGCCATTGCTGTACCCGCAGTGGTCGTATCCACAAACGATGTCGTCTCGGTTGAAAACGCTCTCAACTCACTCTTTGCTATTCAGAACCAAACAACTGGCACGCTGCCCTATGCCGGTCGACCTTTTTTCCCTTTGGTATCGTTCACATACCATCTTTACACTTTGATCGGTGTAGCAGATCACTACCTTTACACTGTAAGAACTCAATCCCCTCTTTACTATCTCCCCTCTTACTGCGGGCTGACTGTTTTCCACAGGGCGACATGTCGTACCTACGATCTCTATGGGAGCCATACAAATTCGCTCTTTCATTTTCGCTTAGCAACATTGATTCGACTGGTCTCATGAACGTGACTACGCCGCAGGACTGGCTCCGCGAAGGAATGGGCGGACACAATATTGAGGCAAACGCCATTCTCTACTACACCATCTACCAAGCCATTTACCTTGCTGGAGCTCTCAACGACACTGCAAATGTGTCAGATTGGCGTGAGACGGCCGAGCGCATCAAAGTGGCCGCCAACGAGCTCCTCTGGGACGAGGAAGTGGGCATGTACAAGGACAACGAGACAACGACACTAAATCCTCAGGATGGAAACGCCTGGGCCGTTGTCGCCAACCTTACTCAAAGTGCGGAACAGACTTCTTTGATAAGCAATCGTCTGGTTGAGCGATGGACAAAGTACGGTGCGCCTGCGCCGGAAGCCGCAGACGCCATTTCACCATTCATCTCGGGCTTTGAGCTGCAAACGCACTTCCTCGCACGCAACGTAACGGCTGCTCTGGACCTCATGCACTTGCAATGGGGTTTCATGCTCGACGATCCGCGCATGACCAATTCGACTTTTATCGAGGGTTACAGCGTTACTGGAGAGTTGCACTATGCGCCATACAACAACGACGCACGCATCAGTCACGCACACGGCTGGGCAACCGGTCCTACGTCTTCGCTGACCCAGTATATTGCTGGCGTACAGCTATTGACAGCCGGTGGAGCGACTTGGCGCATTGCTCCCAATCTGGGTGACAGTCTCAAGTTTGCGGATGCAGGGTACAGCACGACGTTGGGGTTCTTCGGTGCAAAGACCCAGATCCTGGATAACAGCAAGGTAGTGCTGGAGTTCGAGGCACCCGAGGAAACGACGGGCGAAGTGCACATTCCTGTGCTGAACTGCGGTGGCCGGGTTACCTTATGTGAAGCACAGAGTTCAAGCGAGGACTGCGTTGTGGATATTAGCGTGAGCGCAGGTGAACAGGAAAGTGTAGTGTTGCAGGATGTGGCTGGCGGCAAGTGGACAGCTACATTCCAGTGTTCGGAGTAGGTTTTCCTGTAGTATAATGTCTGGTTTCAATAAATCATGTGTCAGTTGTGAGCTGTTTTTCTTGTCGTGTAGGGTATGTATACTAGCCACCCTAGGGTAATGGAAGACAACATCTCCTCTTTTCTAGGTCGCATTCCGGCACTAAATTCTCAACATATGTGTCCCGGCGAATACTCGCGGTTTTTTATCGTATTCCGCGGACAAAAGTGCACCCCAAGCCCGTGTTGTGCCTTGATTTGAAGTCTCGGATGTTGTTGTTCCCCAAGGAACCCGCCTGTATTTACTCAATATCCTCGCAGAGCGGAGAGAATCCGGTTTTCTGTTATGCGGCTGATGGGCCGCTGACGAGATCGGGAAAACTTATGGGGCTGATCCATGTAGTGGGAAGAAGATGTAACCGTAAGCGACATGGGCGGCTCCTTTGCGGATAGTGCGCCGATAGCCGTGGTTACCTGGAGTAACATGGAGAACTAGACATGCCGTAGCAATTTCTGTTGCGCAATGGACAGCGTTTGTGTCGACGGAGCAACGAGTGACATGGCAATTGTATCATTTGAGATACTATGCGCTTTAGGTATGGGTCTTAGTGCTCCATTGATTTCTTTTTTCAAGGCTGACTGACTCGCGATGCAGACTACTCTTACCAAGAAACTGGTTGTGGCGGACGACGGATCATGTCGTCGCTGCTGTTACGGGCGTAGCGATGGGCGATCCATGTACTGATCGACCGAGCCCCAGAAGTTGCTATATGGACCCGATGCTTATGTGTTGTTGCTATTGTTGTTGTTGTTGTCAAGGAGAAAAGCCTGTACGCAGCCTGCTCTTACACCTCCGGTCAAGTCTGGGTGGGATCAAGGATATTACATGCATGTCGTCTTGTAATACATGACAACAACGGGCCGGAAAAGGAAAATCGGCCAGCGCCACGCAGGAAGATGGTGATGCACGATTACCGGCATGACCCTTGAGCTAGCAGCAGTTTGCCGCGCTGTCGAACCAGTACCCCGCTCTAAGCGGCCGATAGCAGGTTGGGTATGAAACAGGCGTTCCTATGAAGAGGCGCAATGGGTAAGGCGGGAGGTTGCCCCTCGCAACCGAGGGCTGGAAATAGTCCGGGGGTAGAGGGGGCTACAAACGACTATGACCACTAGGCCGCTGGCAACTTTGATCTACAGCCCGACCTCTCAACAGTTGCATCACTGCCTTTCTGTATTCACTCTTTTATTTCTTGCCGTCTTGGAAAGGTCCCAAAGACGTGTGGTGCGCCCGCGTTGTGTTGTTCCTCCGTCGCTGTTCCCTCGTTTGCACTCCACGCACGCGACTCCGACGGCATTCTCCTATAGGAAGCGCGCGCATTTCTTCGCTTCTTCCCCACTGTGTCTACCCACAACGACAACGCATCCACGGCTCTGCTTTTAACCGAAACCTTGTATGCGCTTTGGAATATTGCGCTTGCGGGGCTGCAGACATCATGGACACGAGTTACCTAGCCCAGCAGGTCACGACAATCATTGGCCAACTGCACGACCTCTTCGACGAGATCGGTGTCCCCAGCCATGAGCGAGACTCGCGCGAGGCAGAGGTATGCGACAGACGCACATGCCCGTCCTCTATGCGACTGCTGACAGCCTAGTAGCTCTTTTCTGCACTGTCCGAGACGCTGCACAACCAATTGCGCCAGGTGACCAACGAGAAACATGAAATGACCGAGGAGGCCCATCGCCTTCTCAAGACAATCCGCCAAATGGAAGCCTCGCTTGACGACAGCAGGCCGAATCCGAATTACGAAGACCATGATGATGATGACGCCATTACCTTCCCCTTAACGCGCTGTTTACAATCCCTAAAGGAGAAATACAACTCGGTGAGCAGACGACACCAGGAGCGCTTCGAGCAAGTGCGAAAACTGGCCGAAGCACTCGAGTCGTACGCATCCCACCTCGAATCGTCGTTTGTACAGATCAAGCTTCCGCCCACTGCGCCGAATGCGACCGTTTCGCCCTCGTTTGACATCTCACCGGCTTATGTAACCAAACTCGACAACGAGTTCACGCGCGTATACGAAGAGTACACACGGCGGATAAACACAGTCCAGGTGGTCTGCCAAGAGATTATCCAGCTCTGGGCCGAACTAGGTACCCCCCAGGCACAAACCGATGGCGCCATTGTCAAGTACTATCGCGACTCACCTGAACAACTTGGTCTTCACAAAGACGATCTCGACGAGTTGCACGCCAAAAAGGAACGCCTGGTCGAGGAGAAGCGCGGGCGCGAACGACGGCTCGGACAGCTGCGTGCAACGATTGAGGATCTCTGGGATCGCCTGGGAGTCGAGGAGCGGGAGCGCAAACAGTTTCTTACCAGCAACCGCGGATGCGGTCTACGCACCATCAACGAATACGAGGATGAGCTGGCCAGATTGAACGAACTTAAGCGGCAGAACCTACACTTGTTTGTCGAAGAGGCTCGATGCAAGCTACAGGACCTGTGGGACGCCCTCTACTTTTCGGAGGAAGAAATGTTGGATTTTACGCCCGCCTTTTCGGATGTTTGTAGCGATGCACTGCTGGCCGCACACGAAACTGAAATCGCCCGACTCGAAGCCCTGAAAGAGCAGCGACTCCCCATCCTGCAAAAGATTGACCGACACCGCGAACTAATCAAAGAGCGCGATGAGCTTCAGCAATCAAGTCAAGACGCAACACGTCTCATGGCCCGCGGTAACAAGGGTGAGAGGCGCGACCCAGGCAAGCTCCTGCGTGAAGAGAAGATGCGGAAGCGCATCGCAAAGGAGTTGCCCAAGGTTGAATCTGTAAGTCGACCATACCTGCAAGGCAAACGACCAAGCTAACGCCACTATGACAGGATCTGAAAAACATCCTAGAAAACTGGGAAGACGAATATGGACGCCCATTTCTGGTGCACGGCAACCGATACCTTGATGAGCTATATGCCTCTGCGGCGAAAGCTGCAGCAGCTCCGCCACGTGCAAAGACGCCTTCAAACAGCGGCATGCCAAGCAAGTCAGGGACAGTGTCGAGGAACGCTGCTCCTAGCCGTGCTGGAACCATTCGCGGTGGAGCACCGCCAACTCGTTCGAAGACTCCTGTGTCGAACTACGGCGCAAGCGTGTCCAGACATACCATGTCCAGTTCTGTTTCTTCTGGTTTTGGCACTTCCGTGTCTACAATATCATCTTCGTCCTCGATAGCGCCGGCGCAGAAGAGTCCGTCTAAGATACCATCGCGCTCGCAAATAGGTGGCACACAAACCGGTAGGAATTCACCTGGCCATCGAGCGGCACCTTCGCGAGAAGACTCTGCAACAATGCGAAGAAAGGCACCTCCCATGGCACCTCCCCCACGGATGAAAGACCTCTTCATACCTCCGGAGCCGACGCCAGTGGAGACTCCGATGAATCGGTTTGCTTTCAACCGTGGAGAACGAAGCGAGAGCATTGTGCGTAACGTGCCACCAGAGGATCCCTATGATGACCGATCGTATGTGAGACACAGCCAGACAATGAGCGGGGGCTATACTCCAACCTACACTCCTACATACCCTCCACCATCACTGTCGTCAGGAAGCAGCCGACAAATCTCACAGACGTCGTCGACAGGGACAGCTGGCACGGGAGTGACGATGCAATCTGGGTCTGAAAACTGGGAGACATTTAGTGAACAATCGGACGATGCTCCCGAGGAAGAAGTCGACTTTCATCAGTACCGGCGGCAGATGAAGCGCTACACACCCGAAGGCGGACACGCATCTACGCCGCGGGCAATTCAAGGCAAGAAGGTCCGAGGAATACGCAACGTCGGGGGACGAGAGTCGCCGAGTGAGCACGATGGCAGCATGGTGCGGGTGGTTGAAGGGTCTGAAGCGGGGTGGACCGACGACGGTGACGGGTACCAAGGAGAGTGATGCTTGTTTACACCTCCACTTGGGCGCTTGTACGAGGCCATGCCGAAGATGACTGCATGCTTTCCGGCAAAAGACGATTCACCACGCTACAGCTGCTCAATGTCTTGTCCGTTTTATTTTTCACTTCTGGTTGTGCCTCTTGTCCGTTTGGGCTGTTAGGCTAAGGTTAGTGCATGCACTCCTTCCCAGGAAGCGGCCTGAGGAGGGTGAAAATTTTCACCTGAGACTCATGGCCTCGTTTTGAACTACAGAGCGAGTGGTTAGGAGATTCGCCACGTACAGGGCGAGCAGGAGTGAGCACGGGTAAGCAAACGGGCTGCATGCCAGATTGCTAGCCAAGTGCTCCTTCTGTTTGATGCACTGGTGCCCTATGTTTTTTTTTTGCGCTTGAGGAGCGGAGGCGGGGCCCCCTTGGCTTCTTCATTTATTCAAATTATTGTGGTTTTTTGGGTGAGCGGCTGAATCTCGGCGCAAAGGGAGTTCATGGGTGGATTTCTGAGCGCGATTGGCGCAGTTTTCCGCTTTCTTGTATGCTTTTAATTGCTATTATATCCAGTTCTTGTATGTAAGCGTGGGGCAGAGGGGCATTGCATGCATCCAAGCTTGTTGCTCGGAGTGGAAGGATGGAAGGATGGAAGGATGGGGTGTGTATTTGTGTGCGTGGGAGAAGACAAAAGGAGACGTGTACTGCTACAATTGATCAGAATCAAAAACATTGCAAACCGAGTAGACGGAAGAAAAGAATGGTAGTGACAAGTGACATTGAACAAGACGCGGGCGCAGGGATGAGCCAAGCAAAAGCCAGTATTAGTCTGTGCAGGCGGAGCGGAAAGCTTGATATCCAGTGAGACTATGTGCACATGGGGAAGGCGCTCATTAGATTGGAGTGGAAGAGGGATAGATGAGCTGCGTCTATGATTGCAATAGGCTTCATCTCCTTTATGTCTAGGCAGATGCCGAGGGAGGATCTTGTCTCTAACATAAGGGTCCGCGGTGTTTACGGTCCTTCCTGTTTTGCACAAGACCGTCTGTTAAGCTCGATTGAGCAGGTGCAACTGTGCGAACGACTGTGCTTTTGGCTGTGCGCAGGGGGAAAGAAAGGGAAAAAAGTACGCATACCAAAATGGTGTAAAAATGTGTTCTTGTTCTAGAGGCATTGGAGAGTTGACAATGGTGATATGGCGAGAATGACGTTGCTCAAGCACGGGGGAGTAGCGGCTATCGATTATTTTGCAGCGGAAACAAGCTTGGCCTCCACACTCGCACACCCACACGTACAATCACACACACATACACACCACAACACTGACAGCCCAACGAGCTTTACCCCACATGACTGGAAAAGAACCATGGGCAGCTAGTGCGTCTCTGCGGCGGGCTGCAGGACACAAGTTACGTGCAGTAGGTCAGAGATACTGGGCACGTAGATAAGCATGGCGCTTCTTACAGGCCCGGAGACGCTGCACTCAAGCATAGGCTACACGGGGGCGAGGCAGCACATCTAGCCACGTATGTACACCTATGCGCATCCATACGCCGGCGGCAGTGATGACTCCCAGCCACCTGCACCGCCGTCGGCACCGCGGCGAAGTTGTGCAGGCTACACCTACACGGGCCTGGAGCACAGCGCTCGTGGGCCATGGCGGCGAGACGGCGTGACGGGCGCCACACGTAGCGGTGCCATGTGACTGCGCCGGGCAGCGAAGCGTCTGGCATGAAGCAGAGACAGACGGATGGATTGCATGGGAGCTGGGCCTTCGAGAAGGCAGGGAAGGGAGAGCGTGGGGCGGTAGGGCGGCAGGGCTGATGGCGGGCGGAGATGGCGGCTAGCAGGCGATCGCCCCCTCCCCCCCCCTAGACTGCATCGTGTTGCGCATGCAGCATGCTCTCCATAGAATCTGTGGACAGCTAGCTAGCCCAGTCCCAGTCGTCTAGTCATGATCCGGTGTCAGCAGTAAGTGGACTGTGCCCACCCAATGCCCAACCCCGGCTCTCTCACCCGCCAGAGCACCAGAGCACCAGAGCAGCGCAGTCCGCACTGCGGGCGGTCGTGTGCCCTGGGTGTGCATCTCGGATAGGAAACAAGCACCCACGCGACTGCCCTCCGCCCTCCGCCCTCCGCCCATACTTGGACTATTACTTATCGCAGCTCCCGATAGGCACCCAGCTTACGGTCGGTTCCCCCTAGCTTCGTCATCGGCCTTCCCTTATCATTGCCCCAACCTCCGCTGCCTATGCACCCATACATATTATCGTCGCATCCATCTTTCATCCTCCCTCATCCTCACCGTGACCCTCTGCATCCATTTGCTGTCTGTCTCGACCCTCTGCCCGTCCCTGTGCATCGGCGACTTTCGGCGCAACCCAGTCGTGCACCTCTGATGTTGCTCGAGACTTGCCCTTGCAGGACCCGCCCAATAGCCAACCAGCAATAACGTAAAGGAATCCAGCGGCCGCACGTCACAACCCGTCTAGCCCCAGCACCAGCCGTACCTGGCACCCACCGAGCTGTTAGTCACGGGGGAAACGCCTTCAGGGCCCTACTACCCTACTTCTGCGCCATGTACTCGCCAAGGTCCTTCCCTTATCTGCAACACTCTCCACCCTCAGCTCGCTCTTCGAGATCAAAGTCCGAAAGGATGGGCACACGCCTGCGTTCTAGTCCTTCTCCACAGAATACCCGACCCGTCGTCGCGGACACGCCTACGCAATCTACAATTAAATCCATGGTCCGTCCTGAACAGAAACCACAATCACCACCCCCGACCACTACTACAACTACAACAATGTCCAAACCCGTTGGCATTCCACCTCGAACTCCCTTGAAATCACCCTCCTCCACACAGACATCGAGAATGAGGACCCAACATTGCCACTCGTCGGCACGCACCCTACACAGCCATGACGCAAAGGCACTTCCGCCCGCCGTTGCTGCCTTGCTCGCCGTCACGGCTATCCCCAAGATGCCCGCTCGCCGACGGCAACGCAGCACAATGGACAGGAGGATATCCATGGATGAGTTGATACAGGAGTGGAGACAGGAAGACTCAGACACTCCATCCTCACTGTCGGGCTCTCCAATGGACCTGCTGCTCGGTCGCGTCGACGAGTCGGATGACGAGTACAGCAGTGGCATGAGCATGGAACAGGAAAAGGCCTCCTTCTTGACATCCAGGTCCATCTCCAGCGACTCTATCTCCCTACCTCCGTCACTGGATTATGAGAATCCGTCGTACGCTTCCCACTGGGACAACATCAGCACACCAGACTCGATTGGCCGCAAGTCACTACCAGAACGCAAAGAGAAGGTTGTTTCGTCACCACCAAAAGAGGACTGCATTCTCGATCATCCCCTTCTTCACTTTGGACCCGACGAATGCGAGGACATCATCGCGACCAACATCAACGACACCGCTCCGCCCGCGCCTCCAACCGAGCGATTCAGATCATTCAAGTCTAACCTGACCGCTTCCCTCCAGGCATTAAAATCAGCCGCCAAGTCCTTTTCCAACTTTACAGCTCCCAGCGTGCCCCCGGATGACTTCCTCACGCGATCACTCCTATCGCCCAATTTCACGAGCGAGATGCGACCAAAGATGGTCGACGGCTTGCCATCGCCCGAATTGCGACGTTATCTCAACCCACAGCCTGCACCAATCTCAGCAACCGAACTATCAATGCATCTCCACGACTCCTTCACCCTCGATACCGACCTCGACCCCCACGCGCCGATGATTCAACTGCAGACATATGAGCGGCGTGGTCGTGCACAAAAGTCGCGCCGCAGTCGTGCCGCGGATCCGCTTTCCGAAGCTGGAAGGGTCCTGTCTAATGACGCACCAACCGTTCGGCAGCGCGAGCCCCGTGAGAATAGCGACTTTCTACGTGTCATTGTGCTCGAGATGAACATGCGCCGCGTAGGCAAGCTCGACGCAAAGGCCGTCGGCAAGGCGCGGATCTGGCTCCCACCCAGAAAGCCTGCTTCTACTCAACCACCTTCGCGTCACAGTCCAAACTGCGTTCCCCTCAGATGGATTCCAATCAACTCATCATGAGCTGCAGTGAGATTGAATCCCTTGCAGTTGGGCATACACGCAACCTAGTGCCCGTTACGCTCGTTACATTTATACGACAAGAGGCACCGAGCCTGCACGTTGCAAAGCGTCTCCACCTACGTAGCGCTTCGCATGCAACCATTCGATCCTGCGTCATTGGTTGGCATGGAGCCCTTGAGACGATCCCGGATTCAGTTTCTCCGAAAGATGGCATGACTTACCTTAGTCTGGCGCGACGGGCCTAGCGGGTCCGCCGTCCAGCAAAATTGCTCGACTCGGCATAGCCACCACGGAGACCGTTACGCTGGGATTGTTGCGCCTCGCTTACAAACGTTACACAAAACGTAGAATAGAGCACACGTTCCTTTGGAATCCAAGAGTTGGAAAATTAGGTGTGTGCATCAGGTTTGGGCATTGCCAACTCAGCAATGTGACACGCGCGGAGCTTCGTCGGGGCCGAGATCTTCACAGCGGGGAAGCAAGAGAAGAAAAAAAAACAGCACATCGCTTGGTCCGCAACACGCCTCAACCAACCACCGTCCGGTCAAGACCAACCTGGCTGGTCCCTGAGTTGGCAGGGCGTCAAGGAATCTTGGGGCGGAATATGCCTTTTTTCGCAATGCCACTGCTTCCACCTGGCTATTTTGGACAAACGAGGATGGCTCCGCACAACCCCGACATGCCGGGTCTCGCCGATGCCGGTTAGATCAAGGGTGTGGGGGTGTTACATGTTTTCATCGAGCAATCAAACCTCGGTATTGCTACTATATAGTAAGCCAGAGGCTACCGCAGCGCGCCTCGACCCGACTAGTATACGGGAAATGTTCCGTGGTACATTTGGATTTTTAACTTTCTTTTCTCTCTCATTCCGCAAGCGGATTTAGCATTGTGCGTATATTAGCGAAGCTTAGCGGATGCGCCGGTGTTGTTTCGACTTTTTTTTTCTTTTATGGATCGCGGCATATCAGCATGGGAAGGGCGTTTTGTTTGTGTGTGCCGACGCATTTGATGGTCAAGCGCTGACCGCTCCTTCTTCTTTTGTCAACATTTTTTCTTCGCTTCATCTGAGCATGTTTCTCTGCCCCATCTGTCCTCCACAGCACACGTGGTTAGTCCAAAATTAGAAGAGCGTGCTACATAGCGTTTGTGTATGTACCCCCTTGGTACACTTACTATATACCCCAAAGAAGATTGGGAAATGTAGGCGCGAGCCTCAGGAGTCCATGTAGTTGGTTACTTGGCATCAGAGTCCGTAGATATCTAGGTAGAGACTAGTTACAATATTTATCTTACATGTACACATTTCGATATACGGCTTTATTGTGTTGTGCGCATTCGTGTAGGCATACGGGTTTCTTCGCTAACGATACCTTGAGCAGTATAGACGTGCCAAGGAGTATCAGATAGATTGGTTTGTTGATATCCAACACACGCCTACTGCATATGTAGTATGCGTTGGAAGAAAAAGCAAACAACTGGCAAAAGGAGATGTTTTACCAACAAAAGAAAATTGTCATCATGTAATCAAAGTTGAGGCTAAATTAACTACGTCCGAAGTAGGGGATGTAGCCAGCAATATTGCAGCAACAGAGGGGTTGGAGATATTGCTTTCCTCTTCTCGTTGTTTCGTTCTCTTCGCTTGTTGCACACCATATGCAGTAGAAGTAACAGCAAAATACGTGGTAATATTTTCCTAGTAAAAGAAACACCATGATAACAGCCCAACCTATCTATCCTCGACCAAAAAAAAAGGTGATGAGACCAGCCTACACTCTGCATCACCTCCATACTCCAAAAAAAATCCATATGGATCTTTTTCCCTTGGGCATATAGCAACCCTATTAAACGTCGATGCCAGAACCAAAAAAAAGGATGACCTAACCAGGGGTCGAACCTGGAATCTCTTGATATCGAACTGAATCGTAGTCAAGCGCCTTGCCATTGGGCCATTAGGCCGATGCTAATTTCAGATGAATTTGCTTCGATGGAAACTTTTTCTTTTAGTACCAATATATCCTCTTTTGCAAGCTACCTCCAGCCTTACTCTAGCATCAGCAACGCCACCCAGTCATCCCATCTCTCCCCATCTTCGCATCGCTCGTACTTACTACCAAGTGCATCCCGATCTCAACGGAACTTTCTCTCATTCGCATATGCACACTACCAACGCCCCCGCTAGCGCTCTACACCGAATCGCGCAAATGACGCCACTGGCGTCATCGCTTCCCCTTCCCTTTCCCCCCAACCCACGTGTCGTAAACCCGGATAACGTGTATGTTGCACGCGGACGTTTTTTTTTTTTCGTTAACCTTCCCATTCCTTCAAAATGAAGAAAGGTCCACGGCTCCACCTTTTCTCCACCTTGTACAGTTCCACTCTCTTTTATAGAGAGTTCAGGAAGTGAAAAACGGGGAAGTAGAGTTGGTTTTCGTTTAGGGGAGGGGGAGGGGAGTTTATAACATCATTGATATTATTGGTTGGGAAGGGAAGGGAAGGGAAGGGATTTACTACATGCAGGAATGGGTGTGGATTCGGCATACTTCCCTTTACTATGCAGGTGGGTGCTTGGCGATGAGATGTAACATACGTATGCGTAGTTAGTAAAGGTTACGTTTACGTTTACGTTGGAGTATATGGAGGTAGGTGGAAAGCGGGGGAGAGGGTGGAAGCGGTGCGGAATTGGTGCGCGTGCGTAGAGTGTGTCGATGCCAATGCCGGGCGCGGACACGGATGGAAGAAGAGAGGGGATGGGGTTGCTATTGGAGTATACTACTACTGCTACTACAGCAATTGCATGGGGAGGTGCGAATCGGGCCGAATATGGGGAGAGCGTTTGAACGGGAAACGATTATCAGGCTAGGTGGGGTTTGCTTTTAGGTTGCACGTGCCTGATGTCATTGAGTAGTGGATGGGAGTAGTAGTCATTGTTGTTTGTTTTGGCTTATCTTGTTGCATGGGTAGGGAGGAATGGGGGTGATGAAGGTTTGGAGTTTTTCTTTCCGAATGGCTGGGGAGAGAGGACAGGGGAGCCACGGGGTGGCTTGGGATGTCGGCCAAGACTGTATACGCAGTAGATATGATTGTATGTGTACCACAATGTGTAATGGTCGTGTGTTCGCGTGTCTAACGGTCTAACGGTCTAACGGTCTAACGGTCTAACGGCCTGATGCTCGCATGTCTCACTTTCTTTCCATCAGTCCGACAACACGTGAGAACGACATGTGCACATTACCCCAGCATTGTGACAAACCCAATCAAACAATCCGGGTTGTCAATACCCGGGCGGATGAATTTTTATAAATCTGTATTACTTATACACATCTGTACGATAGCCCGTTCCCCCTGTGCAAGAGTTACATATAAAAAGAACAGGGTAACATGAACACCCGAGATACGACCGTATACCCCCAGCCTATCTACCTTCATCGGCCCTTTACGGCAATGCGGCACTCCCACATCCTATGCATAGCTTGCCCACCCCATGTATAGCACTGCCAGGTTGCGCTCATCAGTAGCTTGCTGGATGAGTTCATTGACAGTGGCCTTTGTGCTCAATGTCTTGCTCAACTTCTTCTCCACAACACTAAGCGCTCTACCCGCCTCACCGGCCTGGTCTTCCTTCTCCCGTTTCTTGTTGCTCTCATGCACGACACCTGCCGCTTCCTCGACTGCCGCCACTTGGCCCGAAGGAGCAGGTGTACCCCCAGGCGCGACACTGGTCGAGCGCGCGGTACCGTTGGCGCCGGTTTCTTGATTTGCTTCTTGCATGCGTTTTGCTTTGGTCGGAGTGACGCTCCAGTTAACCAAGGGGTCGTAGCGCAGAACATTGAGCAGAGTCATGATGCTTTCCCTTTCTTCGCGAAGCGTATCCATAGTGAATTCGCAGCAGCGCCGGAAAACCCCCTCTGTCTTGGTGTACCCCATACCATCCACCAGGTCACGCGTCAATCGGAACGGGACCACTTCCGGTACCGGCAGAACCCGACCAGCCTCAAAACTCACTCCAAGATCAATGTGCACTACTTCACCAGACTTCTCGTCAAGCAAAATATTGTGACAATGGCGATCGCCCAAACCAAGTACATGACCTAGGATGGAGATGGCAGCCGTCGAGCGCGTGTACGCAAGACGACGCTCGAACCATTCGTCAGGATCTTCAAAGCGCTCGAGCAGGAAGTAGCGCATTACAGGATGGAAATTTTCTGCAATCTTCTGCCACACCTTGACTCGTGTAGTGAGAGAGTCCTGTTGGCAGGCGCCAATCTCTTTGCGACATCTGTCGGGCTTGTAGTCATTCGGATAGTACCTTTCATGAGCCGGCATGACCCACAGATGCAGCGGAACAGTGTTTTGCACAAACTCCATCAGCCCAGATCTGGTTGAGAGCGGTAACACCTTGTAAGTACGAATGCCAAGGTTTCGAATACGCGTGGCCGTGTGATTCTTGAGCAGTCGTGAAACCTGGTCAAAGACCTGCTCCATGATGGCATCCTGACGTAGGTCGTCGTTCCCGGACTTGAACAATTGCTTGTAAGGCCGACCGTCGGTACCTTTGGCAGTGATGATCTTGGGTGCACTGAGGCCGTTTGCGATGCTCATCGTCGATTTGAAACCTGCAATCCTCGGCAAATCACTATAGTTCATGTTGGGCCGGACTTCAATCTGGAGTGTAGCAGGAGGTACGTTCAATCTAGGCACCTTGCTGACCAAGTCCTTGGACTCCTTGTATCTGTCGAGCTGCAGCTCGCGTCCTTGCTGTGTGCTCTCTTTTTCGCCCTTGAACATGGCGAGATGGTGGTAGATTTCATTGGACTGGGAGATGGAGCTCCAGTATGGTCGGGCTCTCTTGTCACTGCTCAGGGCAGTCGCAAGACCAGACGCGGCTTTCTGGCGAGACTTTGCCGATTCATCCTTAGCTCGGACGACATCCTCCCTAGTGATGGCGCCGACTTTCATCTGAATGGCAAAGATTTGATGCATGCCGTGATATGGGTGCTCTACACAGATACGGAATACAAGCTCCATCAAGAGATGCTGAAAATCATTCTCCTCCGCTTGTAGTCGCGATGAGAGCTGATTCATCAACAGTGCAAACTTGCCGCTCGGAACGTCTTTGAGATATGTCTTTACAGCCTGATTTGCTAAAGGAGTGTCGCAGTACTCCAACCATAGAGAGAAAACACGGAGCGCGTCGTTGTTGTACTCATCACAGGCTGAAAGCGACAAGAGGTAGTTTTCTAAGCACTGACGTAGGAACTGCTCGCGTCCTTTGCGCATTCTTTCGTACTCTGCATTGTCAAGGTCATACCAAGTTTTTGCTCGACGGGCGTTCCGATGATATGTCTCTCGCATTCCTCTGCTTTTGTCGGTCTTGGAAAGCTTGGTGAAGTCATGGTATTCCTGCAACTTGCGGTCCATCACGGTCTTGATACGATCCATATCTTCGGCTGCTTCAGGGCTGAGAAGTTGTTTGTCACAGAATAGCGCAAATTCGTGGAAAACTTGGCCTGATCCTGAGCCTTGTCTTTGGCCTTTGAGCTCTCGGATTGCCGGCTCGAGGTACTCGTTCATGATTGTGTCGGGTTTTGCCAGACGAGCCTCGGCGAGATGGTGGCCCTAACGTTATCAGCGATGAGATCAACAAAGCTAGTGTATGTTACGTACGAGTCGAGCGAGTAGCACGGGAAGACTTAAATCAGCGTTCTGAGAATCAAAGTTGGCGTGGTCGATCAGATGTTGCCGCATTCGAATCGAAACCTCAGTCTCGCCCTGTTCCCAAAGGACGTTTGCTACCTCATGTTGTGCAACAGCTTCAATATCCAGACCTATAGCCTTGCATTGCGGTACAATATCGGAAAGATAAGTTACGCTTGCAAGCGATTCCTGGAGGGCGCCATGCTTTCTGCACACGCTAGAAGATGACACGAGGGCCTCGACTTCCATACCACGGATGGTTGCAGTTCTTGTATGCAGAGAGTTTACAAGAGCGGGATTAGAGCTAAGCACGCTGAACAGAGTTTCGCGGCAGGACAAAAGCTGGCGCACATCGCTAAACCTGGGATGGGTAAGTAGTTGATCTACGGAGCCATTGAGGGTTACTTACTCGCCAGCTCGCATCCATTTTTCCCGAGATTTCATTCGATCCCAGGTATCTAATAGATGCTCTGAGCGCTCAGTCATGATGACTTCTTCTGCCTCCGTCAGCACCCCCAAGGTGCGCAAGTGGACCTTAGTTGGGACGGATGCGTTATTCTTTCCAGCAAGAAAGTTCATCGTTGTTTGTAACTGATGACTAAAGTTTTCCCGAGCCTTTTCAACACTCTTTGCATAATGCATCCCTTGGAATGCCTTGAACAATGTACTTGCTTCCGTATTGTTGACTTCGGGAGCCTTTATGTCCCATTGACCTAGCTTACGTGCCGTGTGGAGTGTACTTTCAACTATATCGTCTCCTGCATCGTGGAATTGCTCGTTCAAGAGCAGAGAGTGAGTGACACTGTTCATGTTGAGCATTATTAGCGACTTCACTGTGCCGCGGGAATCAGTGGGTTCCAATTCGTTTCGCCTACGCATTTGACTGTCAAGACGAGCGCCACGAAAGAGAAGGCTTTTCACGCCATCTCCCTCGTAGTCAAGACGACCAAGGACAGACAAGAGACTTGAGCCTCGATCGACGCCGTAAAACGAATCAGGCTCATCGAGATTCTTGTAGATGGAAAGTTGGAGCTGCAATGGTATCTTCGGCGGTTCGACCATGACGGATGATCTCCTTATGCTGCTTTTCACCATAGGCTGGCCAGACGAAGTTTCTGCAAACATGAGCGCACTTCTGTACATGGCACATGCACTCGCCGCCTGTGATGCTTCCAGGTAATTGACCTCTAACCACTTGTCTCGATCCACTCGGGTAGCTTCTTTTGGTATTGGCTGGCTACGAAGGTAGAGGATACACTGTACGATGATGCGGACATGTGGTATCGTGGCCGAGCTACAATCACGAAACCAACTGGCTATGGCTTTTGAAAAAATGTCGCGAACACTTCGATCTTCTTCAAACTCATCAAGAAGGACAAGATGAAGTATATATGGCAGGAGCTTCTCGGCCATATGGTTTATACCTATCAAGAGATCAGGAAGAGCATCGAGTACTGGGTCTTCAGTTGCAACTTTGCAGAGTGCTACAGTCAAGTCTCTCACCCAAGAGACTATCGGCTTGAGGGGTGTGGGTGACACCGCCTGTTGGAGTCCGTCTGTCAGGGGCTGCGCCGGGTTGTCTGGCTCTGGCGGTTTGTACATAAGAGCTTTGGCGATTGCCTCCGGAATAACGCGTTGCATTTCAACCATGTACTGCGAGTCTGGAACCAAGCGAGAGATGAGGCGCCGCACGGCATCCTCAGCTAGACTGACTTCTGTTCGGTCATCGCTATAAAAGAGATCAATGACTTCCTTGACGATGGCCTCTCTTGAAGATGTTCCAAGAGTAGACTTTGAGCTTTGACTTGAGGAAGCCCAAGGCCGAGCTCCAGCAGAACTTTGTTTAACTTCTCCAAAAGCACTATATGCCCGGCCTAAGACGCGCGCCGTCCATAATAGATAACCTTCACCCACTTTGCTTCGTCGACACGACTCCCAGACAAGGGGCGCAAACTCTGCAGCGTCGCGGTCCAAGCCAAGAATGTCATCCCGTGCAGTATGGGCTGGCTGAAAATTCTGGCAGAGTAAGTCCAGAGCAACGTCTCGTGATGTTTTGTTCAGCAGTTTGCGTCCCGAGCGGACATCATCTAGAATCTCCAACAAGAGCTTGCTCTCGTCGCTACCACGGAACGAGTTGCCTTCTGCATTAACTTGCGAGGCAGCAGTGGTAATGAGTTTGAATGCTTTGACAGCCGAGGACCGTTCTATGGTAGCAATCGCCTGGGCATGAGCTTTTAGATATTCGGTGAGCCATATATGAAATCGGGTGGCTGCATTCATAGTCGTCATGTGTTGCGACTGTTGAGTGGTGCTTTCCTGCGAGGAGCTTAAAAACACTCGAAGAGAGATGAGAATTGACAGCCCGATACCCGTCACAAAGCTCAGCTGCTGGCGGAGGTACTCAGCTCCATGCTCAAATAAGTACTGCATGATTCCCACCGTATCCTCTGTGCATTGTACATCTGTAAGAAAGGGGCGTAGGGATTGGAGCGTCATTTGTAATGGATAACCTTCGTGGGCGATTGGACCAGCCAATGCAACAACTACTCGGATTTTGCGGATCACCGACCTTGCATAGAGAGAACCAAGGGCTGGATGAATGCGATCGAGGAGAGAACGCAACACAAAGGTGTATGTGCTTGGAGACCAAAAACTAGTAGGCCTATCGCCTGTCCGTCTACATAAGCGCTCCAGTTGATCTGGTAAGTAAAAGGCAGAGAATGAAGGCTCTATGCCCATATTGAGGCCTTGCGCAGATTGACTGATCTCAGTGATTTCGGCTAGAACTGCTGCGGCAGGGTTAAAGGCAGGTTTTTTGTCCAACGACTTGCCAAGGCGTTCTTCGTGATCGATGGTTTGAAGCATATGTCCAAGTACCTGGGGGAAGTGCTTCTGTATCAAGACATAGTACTGATCGCTGCCGACCATCTCCTTCAGCAGATTACCGAAGCTTGAGTCTGCTTTGTTGCGAGCTGAGCCTCTGCATGTATCCCATGCTATTGTGTATGCGGCTGCCTTGCCGATATTTTTCGACAATAGATGTTGTGCTGAATAGCCCAACTGGCTGGCCAGGTACTCCACTTCATCTTTACGACCAAACATGATTGCTTGTCCCACGACCTCAGCTTCTATATCCCGTAACAGATCCGGAAGAGAATCATAGTCGAAAATTAGAAAAGGGATCGCACTGATCTCCTGACCTCGATCCAACCATGTGAAGATAACTTGGGGAGCAAAGAGTCTGAACAGGCTCTGTGAGTCACCAAAACACCTGGATTGAGCGACCTTGGAAATACAGCGTTCAGCATGAAGAGCGGCCCCAGGTATCGTTCCTGCTGTTGCGAAGATGCGGTATACGCTATGGCGTAACAATGTGTGCCATTGAGACGCCAGCCGCGAGAGGACCAGTAGTCGAACAGCGATGCCTTCATTGCCCTCATCATCTCCAGGAAGACTACTATCGACGTCTTGTAGTATCTTGTCGTGCTCGGACAGGACAAAATCCTCGAATATCCTCGGTAGGCGTTCAGCGATATGGTATTTGACGGTCATTTCGCCACTTGCTAGGAGCTCAAACAAACTCGTGCGCACCGAAGGGACCTTACGGTTGTGTGCAAAGTCAGGATGGTGCTTGAGTAGACCATGAAGGAAGATAGCAATAGTTGTCTGCAAATTGGCTGAGCGTCTTACTCCTCCTTTTTCCATCTCCTTGACGTAGTATACATATAACGCCTCGATGTTCTCATAGAGATCTTGGGCCTCCCGATCGACGGTATCAGGTGTCCAAACAAGCGTTGTACCAATCAAAACCTCAACGAGCATACTATTGGCAACTTCTGATGTGTTGTATTCGCGGGCGCGAGGATCAATGAGGGCTTCACTAAAGCGCTCTAGGAGACTTAGGCAATCACTTCTGGAGATTTTCAGGTTGCTAGTCCATAATGCGCGAAGGAATTGTCGTGAGTAGAGCAGATCGCTCTCCGAAAGAGACGCCAAGTGGTCTGTGAATCTAGCCGGAATCATTCCTTGGTCTGGTTCCGGGCAGTCCATTAAAGAGGATATAAACTGGAGGTATGTTGAGCAGGAAGCGCGCAAAGCCGATATGTCATTCTCTGCTTGGAGGTCGTGACGGGGTACATCATTGTCGAAAACCGGTGCTCCTACGGTCATCTGTGAGCCAGAGGCATCATCCATCTCCATAAAATCCTCATCCTCTGCATAGAATGATTGCTTGACGTCTTTGCGTTGGCCGAGAGCCGGGGACAGGTGCTGAGCTACTAAATGGATGCCAGTTCGCTTATAAACATCAGTACCCCGGCCTTGAAGTGAACCAATGTCAGGAAGGCTCTTCGTGCAGACTGCAAGGACGGCATCAATCTTGTATTGTTCTGTCTGCAGTTTGGTTAGAGTGATAGAAAGGAGATCAATTAGATCAATCACGGATGACAGGAGAGTCGATACTCGGCGGTCGTCCGGGTTTACAAGCGCAGCGACAGCTGGGGCAACGATACATAGATTCGTGACGATCCGCATCATATCCGACGTAATGCCTGCAGTATTTGTTGCAATCATGTCTTTCCAACGTTGCTTTGCCTTATCGACCTCTGACAGGCAGAAATCAAGTATCTTGTTTCCCGTTTGTGTAGGATAATAGTCGCTTGTTGGCTCCTCGGAAGCAGCGTGCTCATAGGCAGTCTTTGTCGCGGAATCCTTTATGGGTGGAAGAAGCAAGAGGTAATGAGCCAAATCTTTGTAACGCGCTGTATGAGTCTTAGCCTGCGCTACGGGTCCCAATACAAGAAAGGTTGCTGCTTTTGGTGGAGCAAAAGTCAGGTCAAGACAGGTGTAGATAATACGTAGCACATCGCGAGCATTGCAGTGGTGCGCAGCCAGCGAAGAGTATATTCGCTCAGACCATGAACCTTGAATATTCTTAGTTGAATTCTCGAGAACGTATGGTAGCACCTACTTGGGGTCCATTTGCCAAGAAGCCAATTCAAGATTCGCTCTGCAGTGGAGCTGAAATGGGTTGGATTCTCCTTGACACGCTCCTGTAAGATGGTAGTCATCAATGATGAGCTACTTTCGGTGAGTAACGCAGGTCCACTCAGTTCAATGGATGCAAGTATGGACTGAGCGGTCCCTGATACCTCCGAGAACGGAACAATGTTGAGTCTAAGCAGGACGTCCATAAGATGGCATGCCACGCGAGATAAAGAAATGGAAGTGACTGATCGGGAAGCGCTCTGCCAGGCGGATATCCAATAAGGCAGAAGTGACGAATGACTTGCTGATTGCTGAAAGGCAGCTCTAAGTGGAAGTTAGATAAAGGTGGTTGCATACGACTGTGACACTCACCCAGCCAAGCCTAACATTGCCCATACGGAATGTACGGGGTTTTCGTCAGAGATGCATGACGTAAGCTTCTCTAACATAGGTTGGAGGTCCTCCTCACCGAAAGGACCTTGCTGTGTCATGAAGGCAATGATTTGTAATGCTGCTCGTTTGGCGTTGGATCTAGGTTCAGATACGTGACGCAGGTATTCTGAAAACAATTGAGTAACACGAAGACGCTTGCTAGAACTCTCTTCAGTATCGCTGCGGTCGCAGGCAGTGGTACGCTTTCGTTGGTCAAGCATAAAGGAGAAGCGTGCAATGGTAGCGACTGTAGACCAGAGCCCTTCGTGACGTTGATGCTCTGTGTCCATTGAGAAAGCATGAGTGTGCAGTGGATGAGTATCGTCAGTATGAAAACCTAGATGACTCAAGCAGAGATGGTCTTCTTCGAGATACTGGTGAGCGGTGGTTTCTTGTCGGCGTCGATAGTCGCTATACATGGTCTCGATGAGCACCTCAAGATCCGAGCTTGTGGTTTCATCGTATGCATCATTGAGGAGACTTGCGATATGTGCTTCAGTATATGTCAAGGTGATTAAGATTTCGTCTCGCAGTATGGCATCAGACCACATAGACTTTAGCAGGGGAAGCAATTTACGTGTCGTCCGCTTAGTCAATTCAAGGGACTGCAGTGCAGTGCGAGCAAGAACAGAATTCACGGCTGCAAGTGCTGCCACGACAACGCTGCCACGCCCGGTCTTGTGTTGCAAGTAGCGCAACAGAGAAGTCAAGACGGCCTCGGAGCGATCAAGCAGTGGCGCATTGGAGGCTTTGACAAGATGATGGATGCAGTGCACAAAATCATCTGCTGCGTAGACATGCTCTGCAACGACTGGCTTGGTCCTCGACACAGCCATACGAGGCGACGCTCTAGAAGAAGGGAAGTCGGCAGGCTCGAGTGGGGTGCGAGCGCGGCTTGAGGTGTTAGTGCTCCAGCTATTCTGAGGCTCACCTTCGGCGGCAGTGGGCTCTGAGAAGAAGCCAGCCAGTGAGGTGATACAGAAGTCCACTGCATCGTCCCAGCAGTCTTTGGACAGACGCTCAACATGGGGCTGGTATTCGAGGAGTGAGCGCAATGTCTTGGGCAGGTCTTCTAGGAGCGGCTCGACCAAGCCGCTATTGGCAGGCAATACTTGGATGATGGTGTCTATGATGATCTCTACGGTGGAGCTCTTGATGGTGCGCACGCCCGACGCAATGACATGGCGCAAGGCCGAGGCGGCCAAGGGAAGGAGGGCAGCCGTCTTGGGCGTCCTGGCCTTGTTGCGCACAAAGGCAGCTCGTTCATCACGCAGACATTGGAAAAGAGTCTCGCATAGGGCCAGGTATGCCTTGTTGCCCAGCGCCTCGAGGCTGGGCTTGCCGCGATTGTGCCTGAGGATGTGGATGAGGTCTTTGAGGCCCGTTGTTCGATCGGCCACACGTGACGACTGGATCAGGACTGCGCGCTGTTAGCACCTACACATGCATCCATCCAGGGCCGTTGTTTGTGGGCGCTCACGCTTTGCGTCCTGGATGTTGGTTGCCCCCATGGCTATCGCTCACTACAGCCACTGCTGCGGATGCTGCACCGTCTCAGAGCAGTCAATGGCGCGAGGCCGGAGTTGGCATGTCGCGATATCTGCAGCAACTATTGGGGGAGACTCTATGGCCGCAGCATCTCTGTGCCCATTGCAGCTCGTGTGGGTGCGGAGTTTAGGGCGGAGGTGGTGGTGGTGACGGGGGAAGCGCGTCTAGGGCTGGCCCACAATCGGCGCTAAGAGCTTCTCGCGTTGGGAGAAAGTCCATCGAGCTTCACTGCTGCCAAAACACAAAGACACCAACCACGGATAATGCGCCAGCCGATTGCGCGACACTCCCATGGCTGAACAAGACAGCCTCGCCGCCCTCCAGGGCCTCCACCGCGACCTATGCGCCCACATCGACCTGCAGCTCCCGGTACTCGAGCGCCTGCTACTGAACCTGGAAGCGCATTTGGAGGAGCTCAAGACGCTGCTGGACAAGAAACCAAAGAACGACAAGAGCAGACAGGCTCTGGCTTCCGGTAACAAGCCCGCCATGCTGCGTGCAGAGACGAGTGCTGACTGCGCCAGGCAAGATTACCATTGACGACAACGAGTACGAGGTCAACGACGACTTCAAACAACAGACGCTTGAACTCGCTGATGCCCTGGATCTCGATGAACTCGACGCCGCCGCCCTCTTCCTCGGCGCCCAAACCGAAGCCCGTGAGCTAGACCGCTCCCAGTTGCAGACGGCCGTCATCCGCTTCCACCGCCGCCGTGAGTATGTCCTCCTGTGTGTGCGCATCCTGATGAAGACGGCTCTGGACAGCGACGATGCTCAAGTCGAGGGGCTGCCCGTGCTGCAGGAGGCTGTTCAGATGATTGTCGGTGTACACGGCACAACAAACTTGGCCAATGCCTTTGGTTTCTGGGCCAAGTGCCTGACGAGTATGGAGGCAGTGGAGAGGTGGCTGCAGTTCATTGCCGAGCGCGTACAGAGTACCCAGGTTGTGGGCCAAATACCTCTGCCCGGGTTTGTGGAAATTATGGACTTCCAGCGCCAGAGCCTGACCAGACAGCACGAGAACCTGGCTGCAATTTGTACCCATATGATCAAGCCCGGATACGTCAATCTCGACAACTACAAGTCCTTGCTTGCTCGCGCCAAATCGCTCGATCGACATGACCTCAATACCATCCATTACGTTCCCATCCTTCTTCGGCTCACGTCCTGGGTCGCCTCGGACAGCAACAACGTTACATTGAGGGAAGCGCGGAACTTGCACGACTCGTTGATGAGTGGACGTGAAAGCGACAACTGGCTGCTGAGGAATCTGCACGCGGCAACATTGACTTGGTGGCTGGCAGAGTACAGCGGACGCTATATGGACCCTAACACCCAAGACGCTGCGCTGCAAGGCATCAACTTCGATGATGAGGCCAATGCCCGATCTGATGTCTTCCTCAAGGCCCTCGGTGATGGCGCATTCCATTTCATGCTTTCCGTCAGCCAGGATGTCCGCCCAACACGCTGGTATGACCCCCAGAAGACTAGCATGTTATCAACGCTCTTGCAAGACACAGCTGTCTTGAGCCGAGACTCCGTGCAGCCCGAAGACTTCTTCAAGAACCTCCTCATGGAGCAGTTGCAGACGTTTGTCGATTCCTTCATCACACACATGCCGGACACGCTACGCAAACTCAAGGCCGAAGAGGACGATCAGCGCCGACGGCTGCAACTCCACTTTCAGCGATCAACCGGAGAGTACCCGCTGCATCTGGAGCGATTCATGGTGATTGTAGCCTATGCATTCGATGGTTTCCCCGATGCCGCCGAAGACTTCTGGAGCGACAAGGAGAGTAACCTGTACGGATTCCTACAATGGGCAGCCAAGCGGCAACCTACCCCACGGATAGCTATGTTTTGCGAAATGCTGCGTGCTATCGGTACTGGAGACACGAATGCAGAAGCTGCGCATCGCTTCCTGCTTGAAGAAGGCGCGTCTGCTTCTGGCAAGATCCGCCGAACCAGCTCGCTCAGTTACACCACAATCTTCAACGAACTGAGTGAGTTCGAAAAGGACATTCATGAACCGAAGAAGGCCATTCAGGCTGGCGTATATGCTGCCGCCACCAACCCAATTGACCAGATTGTAGAGCCCGAAAGTGCGACCATGCTCGAAAGCTACTTCCGACTCATTTCACATATCTGCCGACAAAGCCCCACCGCCCGCAACTGGATACTCGAGGTCAAGGAGTTCGACTTTGCCAACATCTGCTTTGGCCTCTGCACTGACAAAGTAGAGAGCGGATTACGCGCAGCTGCTTTCGACGCCCTATCTGCCCTGCTTGTAGGCAAGGATGCTCCACGTGCCAATGCTATGTGGTTCATGCTTGACGACTGGACTGTTAACGGCTTCTACACTGGTTCCAAGCAGAACAACACTCTGGGAGCTGCACCGAGAGATGACTTGTGGCCCACGCTCGCAGACGGATACGACGAGTCCATCGCCTTGGTTCGCCTTCTCCACATGCTGGTAGAGCCCTACCCCGAGAATGAAGGCTTAAACGACAGTCTACCATTCCCTGAAGGCTTGGGTTCTTCACGTAGAATGCCCGGTATTGAGGGCTTTATCGACTTTGTCATGCAGCATGTGTTTGCAGAACGCTCTTTGGATGTACTTGATCCTCTGCAACGCAACGTCATGCGATGGACTTGCTTGCGCTTCATGGTAACTTGTCTCTCGACATTCAATGAGAACCTCGTCGTCTTCGCAAACAAGTCTAGCATACCTGTTGACGATGTTATTGATCCTTCATCCCTTGCTGTTTATGTTGCGCTGCACCCGTTCGCACGCGTCATGGAATGGCTTTTCAATGACAAAGTCCTCAAGGCCCTCTTCGCAGCCTCCCACCACGATGTGACTATAGTCGATGCTGCTCCGTCAGACTCGCCCTTGATCCAATCTCTCATGCTGAGCATTGAGGTGATGGATTGGGTCATGAAGCTTCAAGCTACGTATCTGGACATCGTCAGGCCAGTACTTAAGCAGCAGACCTCTTTCCAGCATTCTCCAGTATCAAATCTATCACTAGCGTCTTTCGAGGACGCAATTTTGAACAACCTTCAAATCGTCGTTGATCTTGGCTTGTACTGTGGCACAGGCCATGAGGCCTTGACGATTGCTTCTCTTCAATTACTGGAGAAGATGGCTTCGTCCCGCAAACTTGCAGTCTCCCCTGCAGGATTCGGACAACGATCCGGCCGAAGCAAGATTGTCGGTATACTGGAGAAGGATAATGAAGCAGAGCGTATTGGCAGGTCTCTTTCGGGTCTGATGCGATTTAGCGCCGAAGAGCTTGAGGCTGGAGAAGAAGCTTCTGGATACATTGTCAAACTTCGCATCTTGGATTTCCTGAACAGTTGTTTAGCTGCTGTATCTCTCCGGCCAACAATAGCTCACATTCTCTTGGGTTTCTCGTGTGGGACAAATGCTGTCCGAATTGCTGACGACAGTCTTTGGTCCAATGGACAAGCTCTCTTCCACAGCATCCTTCTGCTGGGCGTCGAGTACCCGGACAACGACGGAGAACAATTCTTAGCATGGAGAGCCGCGATCAAGACCCGGTGCTGGCAGGTGCTTCAGAAACTCTGGCGCTCGCCTCTGACGAGTGCTATCATCATGGGGGAGCTGCGCGACAACGAGTTGCTATTTATCGAAGCACCCCAACTCACTCCAATCACTCTCGAGATACCCTGGGACGGTATGTCTCTAGCTCAAGGACTCGAAGTTGCTCCTAGCGATTATTCTGCATTCTTCTCTGGGCCGCCAGCACTTGCCCTACAGAACTTTCTTCAACGTCGTGCCGCATTCTTAGATTATGAGTCGAGAGAACTTCGGTTGACAGTCAAAGAAAACATGCCGACAATGAAATCCAGGATCCAATCCTTACTTCTTGGCAACACCATTAGACCTGGCGAGGACGCTGGAGTGAATCCCAACATTTTCGATCTGTTCGATTTCATGGAGCTGGCCTACCCAGAACGCGCTTTGCCAGATCAGCACAAGTTCTTTGAAGGTGTGAGCCTCGAATCATGCCAGGAAGAGAAGGAGGGCTGTACACTATACTCAATACCGCTACTAGAGCAAGTGATCCGACTGAAGCTAAAGTATTGGAGGAAGGATGGCTTACTGAAAGAGGAGGAGCAAGAGATAGAGCTCGCTGAACAGGCTGAGCTTTTGATGGCCATCTTTGTTGACTGGAATCGCCGCACCCAGCTCATACGCTATCACAAAGAAATCCTCCAATCTTGGGTTCAAGTTTTGATGGTAGCGGTGCACAACTGCGACTTTGAAAACGGAGCTCGAAGCTCTTTCATTCTACAGACCTTGCAAGCCATCCTTCCGAAGCTCGAACAGTCATACGCCACCGACATACTCACTGCTCTGCAACTCGCCAGCCTTGCCGAATCGCTCATTCAAAAGATTGACTTCGAGTCCACAGCCTTCGACAAGACCGGCGACTTTGCCAACGACCGATTGTCACAACTCTTCCGTGCTGCACTGGTCGGTATTCATAGCCCAGTCTCTACAGCTGAACTGCGGGAATACTGCTACCAGATTTGCTTCCGCTACATGCACGGTACCTTCCAGAAGGCAACGCCAAACTCCGTGCTTGGCCGTCACACACTCAACGCAATCAGGAACTGTGGAAGCCATATGCTCGAAGTGATTTGCGACGATGCCTATAGTGGTCAAGGAACGTGCAAGGTCTCTGCGTTCCTTCTCCTCAATGCATTCGTAGCAGTTGCGACTCGTCAGTCTTCCAAGTACATACTGGAAAGCTTCGTTTCTCTCAACTTTATCGGTGTCCTGGTTGACAACATCAAGCATATCCCTGAGGAACTCCGCGCTGCGACCGCGCCACAAGTGCCAGTTTTGCTTTCCTACTACGACGCTAGTCTTGCGCTCCTCCTCCGTATATGTCAATCCCGTCTAGGAGCGGCGCACGTGCTCAACGCAGGCCTCTTTCCGGCTATTCGGGACTCACATATCTTCTCCGTAGACCCTGACATCGGTCTCGAATTCGACGACGCGAATGCCTTACGCAAATATTACGAGCTCATGCTGGCTGTGCTACGAGTAATTAATGCCGCAGTCATTGCAAGAGGACGACAAAACGATCAGACGGTGTTCCAAGCAAGAGAGTTCTTGAAGGACAATAGACATAGCATGGTTAGCATCTTCAAGAGAAGTGTCAATGTAGGTGTCGGGAAGGGTGAGGAGGTACAACAGGACCTGGTGGACTTGGTGGATTGTTGGACAGTATTGGTTGACGTTACTGGATTCCTACAAGTAAGTCTGCGTAGAAACGGGTTCAGCCGACATGTCGCTAATGTGTTGCAGTACGAAGATGAGTCAAGCCTGAAGAAGGCGAGACCAAACATGTTCTCATAAGCAGTACATCTGATTAGTGCTATGGCCTGGGGGATGGGATCATGTGTTATGCACTTGACGGGTACGCTCTGTTATGTAATGTGTAGAAAAAGCACTTTTGAAACCTTGTTCGATTTGGCTCATTTTCATCCTACCCTATCACACGACACTGTGCATCGAAAGTCTCCGTGTAGTCACATCATACATATCACCAAGAATGACGGTTGGGGGAGGGATAAGCAAGCCACAGGTCTCGGGTGAGACTTATCGATAAGCGCTCCTCGGAGCCTACATCATCGCCGCTCCCTTGCATTGTCTACCCAACCAATCATGCCAACTTGGCGCCGATGGAGCAATATGCCTACGGGCGGAGGAAAATTCCATCCTCCCTCCTTTTTGCCCCAATCCTTCAACCCGTACCCGGTCATGCCACACCTACATTTGGATACAAAATGCTGAGATGAGTGTCTCCAATACCGGTGCATGGGTAAGAGCGCTTGTACACAATGGTGTATCGCGGCAAGCCTTCAGCTGCATGCGCTGAATGTAGGAAACTGCGCAGCCGGGTGAGTAGTCACTTTCACGGGGAGCACCCCTGTTGTATCCACCTTCCCTTTCCTTGTACTCGAGTTTATATGACTCGCCGACTAAATAGCAACTGCTGTTCGTCCTGTACGCTCCTACATCACTGATACTTATTAGTGTGACAAGAAACAGCCTGCCTGTGGACAGTGCATCAAGGCTGGCCGTAGCTGCTCAGGGTACCGCAACATGGTCGACCTCATGTTCCTCGATGAGAGTAGCCGAGTGGTTACACAGAACCGGGGTCGCATTTCGGCCAGGAAAATGCTTCTGGACGATGATCATGCCAGCAAGATGTCAGTTCAACGACCCAAAAATCAAAAACCACACGAACCTCCTTTGCGATTAGCTGGCTTCGTCATGTATCAGCCTCTGGACGATCTTGGGGTCAACTTCTTCATGAATAACTTCATCGTGGACGATCCAAACATGTCGTTGATCCACTATCTCCCCGGCTACTATGCCAGATCAGGTTTCTCTGGTCCTGCACTACGACAGATGTGTGCAGCTGTCGGGCTAGTCAGCCTTGCGAACAAATCTCACAGGAAGGATATGCTGGATGCAGCCACAAACAACTACGCTACTGCAATACGAGTTATTAACGCTGCTCTATTGTGTCCAAAGAAGGCAGCTCAGGACTCTATACTTACATCTATATTCATGGCAGCCATGTTCGAAGCCCTACTCATCCCACGGCATGTCGGCATGGATAACTGCTGCACGCATCTAGCAGGTGCTGTGTCAGTGGCACACTTAATTTTGAAGCAGGAGAGACAGACCGATGTCACGATACAACAATGCACGGCACTAGTTAAGACTGTCATCATGAACTGCTGGGTTCAACAGATATCTCTACCGCCTAACTTTTCCGAGTTTAAGAATCTAGTGGAAAAGAAAGCTGCACGCATTTCGGTACACGACATGTTCTTGAACATCGTCATGGAGTTGCTCCAGTTCAAGAATGAAGTTCAGAACTCAATACAAAACGACCCTGCTGCTATTATAGGAAAAGCTTTGGCTATCGATAGCTCTCTAGAGGATTTTTCCCGTACATTGGACCGTCAAATTCCATTTGAATCTGTTCAAATACCTGCTGATGAGAGTGAATGCCTAGCATACAAAGGATACTATCATAGTAAGTATCCACGATCAAGGATTCATTCATGTCCATGTCTAAACCATATCGGAAGTATACCCTCAACACCTCCACGCCCATCTATGGAACAATGTTCGTTCATCCCGCATACGCCTCCACCAGCTCACCATGCGGCAATCTCGATGTCTCGCGCCGACCCCAAAACTAAGCGCTCAAGAAGCAACATCCGAAGCAGTCATCATTGCAATGGCCACAGAAATGATCGCGAGCGTGCCCCAGCTAGCAGGCTACCTCGAAGACCTTGAAGCACCAACTACACCCGTCATACGCACCGCACCAACCCCAGAAGGTATCTCCTATGAACTGAGATATCCAACACAGCGATGTGCCGCTGCTCGCACCCCCGAATCCAACCCTCACAGTTTCTACCACATACTGTACCAGCTGTACATCTACGGAGCTGAATCTTGTTTACCACAATCAATGAGGCTCTGGATCCAGCAACGTATAGCGTGGATGGAAAATAAAGCAAACCCCGTTGAGCTGGTGAGCTTGCAGGACATAGTCAGGCGCCAGCTATGGAGTGTTTCTTCAATAAACAGTGATAAACAGTACGTCCATTTCTTTTTATGAAATTTGGTCATTGTTTGAGCAGAACCGAAATCACTGACGCGTTTCATAGATTTGTTGAGTTTGTTGGCGAAGCGGAGTCGCCTGCTTATTTGGCATTTGACGCCAACGCATGCGCGATAGAGAAACCGGTGACTACGGGGTTTCGAATTGGTGGGAATGACTTTTTACATCGTGAGGCGGTTTCAGCGGGGGGTATGCATAGTTGTTCTAGTGTTGCCTGCAGTATCTGTAATCTTTGATGAAAAGGTGATTGCATTGGGCTGTTGTTAGGTATGCGCCACAGGGTACAGTTGATCGTTGATCTTTTTTTCCATATGTTGGTATCTCGGTTAGTTAGATAGATCGGGGGGAAATTTAGAATTTGCCACTGAGTATGTCGAGTCTATTAGACTTGGGATCAATCAAATCAATCAATCCGAGGGTCATTTTTGAACTGATTGACCCTGGAGGACCTCTGAAATTGAATTAAATTGATTGATCCATATTTTGGTTAACTTTGATTATGTTTTGATTGAGTTTCTTCTTTTTGATTCAAAATTCCCTCATTTAGTAAAAAAAAGCTGCCCAGCTCAACGCCAAGATGCTGCCATATCTAGTTTACCTACTCACGTGATTCAATCTATCAACCAAATCAATGAAGAATTAACAGATTGACTGACCACAAGTCTGGAGTCTACATTCACATGGTTGTGGTTAGTGTTGAGAATGCAATGTCTCTTGGTGGACCGGAATAGCCGTATAATAAGAAAGTAGCTCCAGCAATCCCCCATACCACAGCTCAAATCATCATAACGGCATTGTAAATTCTAGATCAGATCAAGCATTTTTATCAAGCACAGCGATGTCCATTCATACCATGTCTGCAAACGTATTATGCGCTTCCAATAAGAAGGTAGTAAAAGTGCTATACGCTACTCAAAGCGTCCTTAGCGATACTTCAATTGTTATTTTTTCGGGTCTGTGATCTGGGCTGTAATCTTCAGAAATGTAGACAGAGGCTGTGGTTGGTTTAATTCGCTTTATTCTAGGGATAAATAGGTCTAAACAACGTTGACTGGCTGGGTATAATACGTTTGCGACCGCGATAGTGGCGAAAACGGGAATGTTATCCGGGTCCACTGAATCCTCGCTTATCAGTGTCAGGGATATCACGTTCGGCTAGTGGGGAAGACGGGAGGGCGCGGACCTAGCTCGGTTACCCGCTGCACCCCCCCTTACGTTATCACTCGAAAGGTTTAGCGCGTATGTTAACGTCAAGCCATGCCCTGTAACTTCTTGGACGAAGAAACGATAGGTTATACGAGGTTTTATTGCCGCGGAAACGAAGAAACAGAGGTGGGCACACATTTGGCAATGCGTGTTTTGCAGGAGGAGGATGTTGTAATATGCGTTTTAGGAGTCATTAGCCGTTCAGAGGAGCAGGAGGATGGCGAGAATGGCGAGTCGCAATAGTAAATGCTCTGTCAGGAAAGGTTAGGCACAATACTCCTTTTGATCGAATGGAATAGTTTCGTAAATGAATGATTCAAATATTGGATGACTGAAGAATACCGATTATTCGTATTCATCACTTTCCGACATGGGTACTGACTCGTCATGGTAGTCCGACTCTTCCACACATTCCACGTCGCTTTCTCTCATTTCAACTGGTACTTTGCTTTTGCCCTAGCCCTTGCCATGTCTCTTGGTATAGTCGACCGTGTCGGTGGCCTGTTGTTGGGAGTTAGAGGACTCTGCTAGAGAGCTGGCCGTATCAAAGTCGTAAGAGTCAACTCTGCGCCTGGAACGAGAGCCCCGTAAAATCGATTCGGATTCTGTACGGGCCCTCTTTCTCCACTCGACAATGGTAGTTGCGGCGTCTCCCTTCTTGTGGCTGGGCCCAGTCTTGCGACCTTTTCCGCCACAGACTGGAGGGCTGGCATTTGTTTTGTTGCCGGCACTCGATGCGCTACTTGTGGGACTCTTGGAAGTGGAGCTAATTCGTTCAACCCAGCCAAAAATCGAGGTCTGGTTGTTTGCGGATCCAGTCTTCTTGCGGGGAGTGTTGGCAGAGCTTGAACCGAGAGAGCCCTGGGATGATACCAGTATTGCCGTCTCTTGGGTAGTGACATCTTTGGACTTATCACCACTCGGATCAACATCGACAACCTCCATCGCCTCAGGGTCAGGTTCCGATTGCTGGGCGTTCAAGGGTGCCATCAAACCCGCCCTGTTCACTACAAATGTGACGGGGCGGGCACTCTCTCCGCACGTTTGGATTGAGTCATTGGGTTTGCCCTTTCTCTTGCTCTTTTCGGGCCCCTTGGGTTGTTTCATGGTTTCTTGCTCAACTTATGAACGCAGCTGACCTGTGGCTGGAAAATTGATGCTCACTGCCCACTCAGGAAGACTTGCGGCCAGGGCTTTCCAGGTTGCACGGAATTTGGCCGTTTTTGGCGCGGGGCAGTCTTATGAATCAGTGCAATGTTTGTCTTAAGTAAGTCCGGCTTTCCTGCAGTTCAAGCAGCGGTGAGATTCTTTGTTGCCTTTGCTTGGACACAGTTGAGTTTCTCCTCCAACAGCATGATTTTTAGCACAAATAATACACGGCCAGCTCTGGTCTTTTCTTAGATGGAAATCCGGGCATTGCTTGCTGTCATAAATATGGCCTGGGCCACCACATTTCCTGCAGAATACGGGTGTGACCCGTTGATCATAAGCCCAAGCTTAATCAGTACGGCTACTACTTCAATGCACATCCGATCATACTCACATAGCCATTTCATGGTCTCCTGCAAAGTACAGAGATTTCTGGCACGCCTTTACGGCCTGAAATGGAGTCCTGAAGTCCCACAAGAGTTTCTATCCCACGTACTTCACTAATTTCGAGACCAGTCTAAGGTCTCGTCTCTTCGAGGTAGCTCTTACAATTCATCAGATGATCGTCTGGAATGTCGTGTTCGTGCAAGACGACCCAGTGGTTGTCCATTTTGATCGCTGATGTGGGTTCAAGGCCAAGCGCTCTCCTCATAGCCGCAACGCTCTCCTTTCTCTTCAGCTCTTCGTGGACTAGAAACGAATCCGTGAAGTCGGCGAGTTCGTTTAAATTGAAGTTTATCCGAACAGATATGGCTTGGTCGTAAATATGGCCTAGCGACCGCCCCATATGCAGCCTCGTAGCGGGTATCGTTTTCGACGTCTTCTCAGGGTCAGCCGTGGTCAGCTTAAGCACGACTCTGAGTAAAACCGCATTTGACGAGCGGACTGGCGTATGCTTCCGCCGTTTTCCAATGAAGACCTTCAGACATTTGGGTTCTGCCGTCAAAAATCCATGGGTTTGTAGCACTGCTTGGTCATTGCAGACGCTAGCTCTTTCCGTGGAGTGACTCGTGGTCAACTGAAATACCTGGATAAGAAACAGCCCTCATCAAACAAAGCTGTCACTTACAATTAGCTGTATTCACCACAACGCAGTTGAAACAAAATATCCTGTATATAAAAGTGCTAGAGTTTTATGTATGGGTTGATATGCTGTGAGAAAAACGGGTATTCTAAGATTCAGCGTTGTTACTACCTACTGCTCTGGCTGCCTGGGCGATCTGGTGGAGGATGTAGTGTTCGTTACGTGACTATGCGCCCGAAGACGGAAACCCCATCACCGTAAGCCCTGTGCCTCACCAATTCGTAGGGAGTGCCTTCCAAAGCGTGAGTTTCCTGTGACGACCCCTCCACCGGTTGAGGGGCCGTGCTGTGGCTGATGTGAGCTAGTAAGCGGCGCGAAAACGGGGTACAGCTTTAGCTCTACTGCAGGTTGGAACATACGACGGAACATGCTGGGATCAGAACCAGGTATGTTACGGCTATCTTGCCGTCAGCTCGGAACATGCTAGTCTAAATTTATTAGTAGTTTACCACTAAAAGAAGACAAGATCTCCCTTCTTTTGCTCGCTTACATCCTACATAGAACAGTTTTTGAGCATCTTAAAGAGTTTTTAATAGCATATAGCTCTATAGCAGAAAACCGCAAAGACCCACAAAAAGTTCCTGGTAGAAGAAGGCACGAATGGCTATTGAATGGAATGATGTGGGAGGGGCGTTTTTAGTATAAAAAACTGACCAATCCAGCATTTGTTACTTCACCAAGGACTCCAACATGTTCCGTCGTATGTTACTCGACCGTTCCCCTGTGGTACCTATCCGCTATGGAAACTACAGCGCCCAGAGCTAAAATCGTGTCCAACGGGGTACGCAGCAAGTACGCGATGATTTTACCGTTAGTCGCCCTGGCGTTTCTTTTTTGCATTTCAGCTGTCTTCCACAAACCCACTCGCCTTGCATACGAAATCGAGATGACAAATTGAGATGTGCAAGCTGAAGATTGTACCCGCGGAACCGGGCGACATAGCCGCCGTCCGACATGCCCCTGTCACTACACCTAGGACATATGCAATTAGGGAAAACTGCAAATTGTCAATGCTTGCGATAGTTGCAGTCCTGCAGCAAGATCGCCTAGAGAAAGTTTATGTTGCAGTCGTCAATATTAACGCTACACCGGGTAAAGAGATCCTGAAACACCAAAGTATGATCGAGACATCATCACGCGTGGTTGATCAAAAAACGATTTTTTTACATAACAGGCTCTTGGCTAAGTGAATCACATGTATGCTGACTTTTGGGCTCTGCCTGTGCGTAAAAGGTATATATTAACCGTAGAATCCGCAAGTTATGTCTTTTCACAATCGTGCTTTTGAGCAGCTCGACAGTTTACTTCAATAAATTCGAGCCAGCAACGGAAGAAAGCGAGCATTTCCGACAACGGAGTGAGGAAGAAGAAGAAACAGTTGAGAAGCTCTCAGGTAATTTCGCGTCATAATATTGTTCGCATAAGTGGAAGGGTTAATAACGTTTTTGCAGCAACTCAGATCCTTGGAGGGAGGGAGTATCTCCCACAATCCGTACTGCTCTGTTGACTTACTCGAACAGGAGACAAATCGGAATAAATCCGATGCTCGTAAAGAACCGAACATTGATGCAGGAGGGGAAACCAAACCTGGACATGTATGGGCCAATTTTTGGAATGGTCAAACTCCAGAAACCCCCGGCCTGGATGATGAAGAGTGTCACATCATTTCAGTACAAATGAAGTGCTCCTATTAGCGCCTTTTGAGCCTCCATAATTGGCTGAAGATACAAAGTCGACTGCCCGATACCATCGCCATCCAGGATCCTCCCTTGCAGCTCGCCTTTTCTCCTGTGTCACTTTACAATACCTGGTTTCGTGGAGACAATGGCAATGGTGACTGTGTTGCGATTGCAGGGGAGGATAACTCTTACTACCGCCTCTATTCCCCCTATATCCGAAGGCGCATAAGAAACGGGCTTTGATTGAAGAGAGGAAGAGAATAGAGGACGCGAAGTAGAGACTCGAAGATCAATTCGAAGGATGCAAACAGCTGTCAAAAGTTGCATTTCTGGTACACCAGTCCGTTGAGGAATGGGCTGTATCCGGACCTCCTACATTGCCCAATAGAGGCCTTGTAGCGTCACTGCACATCAAGATCGACCTAGGCGAACTTGTAGTCCACAATTTCTACAATCACAACCACCCAAACGGTCGCTTGGATGTCGCAGATCTCATAGATCCTTGTGGCAATGAGTACCAGACTCATGTCGCGGTCGGCGATAGCAACCTACGACACCCTCTCTGGGGCCGTAACATCGAGGAGAAGTATCTTAGCAGGAAAGCTAAAGATCTCGTGGCAGCAATGGAAGCCAGAAAGATAGTGTGCAAGAATGATGGATCACTCACTTATGCTCGCGGTCAGCGCAGCAGTAGTGAGTATGTGTCTTCGATCGACATCATTTTCGTAAGTGGGTTTCTAGCCGATCAGTCCTGGTACAGCGTTCTGGATGTTCCCGGATACGAAAGCGATCATGCTATCACCTCAATCACAATCAGCATGGATTTGCGACGCAAGTCTGGACTACGATTTCTCTGGAAGGAAGCCGATCGAAGTAAGTATAACGACTTCGTTGCATCACATATCAGAATGCTGGCCCTTCCTCCAAACCCCAACGAGAGGCCGATTTGAACCGCACACTGGGCACGTTCCGAGACATCATTCATGAAGCAATGTTGCGTCATGTAACCATCAGTGATATATTCCAAAATCATCCAATTCAACTGTCATCTACCTCGGTAGATTCAGCCAAGAAGTCCAAAGACTACCGCAACAGGGTGGAACGGAAATCCAAGAGCAAATCCGGTGTGAATCGCCTAGCCAAGAATGCCTCGAACCGCGGCAAGCCGCGACCTCCCAAATACACACCAGATTTTGAACCAACCCCCGGTGAAATGATCCAGGGAAGTAAAGAAAAGGTGAAATGTTATGTTGAAGAAACTTGGCCCGAAATGCTCGAACTGACGAAAGAGACCTACCCCCAATTTGCAGAACATGTCGCATCTTGGGGAAGAGACAGGGGAAACAGGGGAAACATGGAAAGCATCTACACTTGGGAATTCTGCTCGAGGATTTGGGAAAACATTCGTACTCGGGAATTCTGGGCGATAACTTGGGAAAATATCTGTCCTTGGAGATTCCGGTCGAAAAATTGGGAAGCTTTCCACCTTTGTCCTGTCTTTGGATATGACAGTGAAACATGATCTATCTGGGGCGACTTTCAGCTGTTCATATTGGAGCTTATGGTGAAACACCCGGCCTTCAACGATAAAGTGAAGAGGTTGCGTCCACCCTACAATGTTCCTAGCAGGTATCTGGATCTGGTGCGACACGGCAATTCATACCTTGAACCCTGGTACATCATTGAAATTGCCGACCTCAAGCACCTGGCAGATATCGTAGGGAGTTCCTAAAGGGTACACAAATACCATCCAAAGACAATATTCAGATGCTCTGCAGCTGCTCTAACGCTTCAATTCTTCAATTCATGCACCGAGAAGGTCCGCAATTCAGTTCGTAAGATCCTTCTCATCGAGGACGAGATGTCAGTAGGGCAATATCATACTCACGGTCGCGGCTTCATTTCACTCTGCCAGAAAAACAAAAAACTACATATTGAACACCTCGTAAACCTCTGGAAGACCGTATTTGCACCCAATTCGAACCTCCAAGAAAGATATCTTGACGACTGGTGCTATCAGGGAGTTGACTCTATGCAAAACGACCGTCTTCAGGCCTCAGAGGTCTCACAGTTAGTCGGGAATTGGATGGTCGAGGCTTTGGCATTGCCTTCGCTCGGAATGCCTGAAGGCTCATTTACTCTTGTCTTAGATGGAGACCCTATACCCGAACACACCTCTAAAGTCTTCCGCATAATGCAGCGAGACGCCGCTTGGCAAGCTGCGCTTGGCCTATGTTGTTCTCGAGGTCTATTACCGAAACCTTCTTCGCGTCAACGTGGATACAACAGTTGCTTTATTTTTGAAGGATTTCCCGAAGTAATGCAGACACTTTCCACTACTAGCTCTCTCATCAGGTGTAACTTCGACCTTGGTGTACCTTACGATGTCGAAGCTATAATTAAAAATTACCGTGATCTGGATTGGGATGGATGGTATAGCCAATGGTTCAGCCATAGCCCGTCTGAATTCCAGACTGAACCACCGTTGCCGCCATGGCACGAGCTTCGGTGGCTACGCGGTTTACCTTGTTAGTTATTTTATCCGAACTACCTGGCCTGAGAAACTTTTGCTAAGTCGTTCTGAGAAATGGAGTCTTTATCGGGTTTGGTTTTTATTTATTTTCGCAATACAACACAAATATCGTCTCGTTAGTCTTTGCATTGTTTTCGATCTCCTCATAAGAAATTGCCATCGTGCTGATTCAATGGCGCCCACCCAATATAGCATAGTTCGTCGGGTTTAACATAACTATGCCAAAGATTTGCTGCATCGCCAATATACCAGCAGCCAGATGCTCAGATCCCAGTGTCATGACACGTTGCAAGCCAATCGAGAGATTGATTACTGAGATGAATTAGCTCCACTACAATAGCTGTGAACCTAGGTATGAAATCAACTATTTATGCAGATGTTTCCAGAAAAGCCTGACGTCTTGACCGAACATGGTTCTTGGTCCAGCCCATGAAAGTGAATTGAGCCTACAGCCGGCTCATATTAGCACGAAGCGCTGTATACAAGCATCACGATCCAATTGATCCATACCTTCTGGCAGAGAGCTTCTAAAATAACACCTCCAATCTCTATAAAGTATGATCTCTTTCGAGATAGGACTCCAGTCATCCCATAAGCCTCAAGCTGTATATCGCAGGCATGATGCATACATATAATGCCAGAGGTGTAGCCCATGCTATCTTGTTTAAAGAGGAAATAGGCTCTCAATAATCTATGTAAATTCTTAGTAACGTTAGTATCTATACTGTAACAGGATTGGATATCACTGCTCCAAGGTCGAGGGGTGACTCGCAATCGAGGGAGATAATAGCTGGAAAAACAATCGCTACAATAGAACTCGTTGGATATGAACCATCCGCGCCGAATAGAAACCCCAAGCTGTACCCGCTACCTGATCACATGCTACTAGACCATGTTATTTAGATTTATTCTCTCTAAATATGAATTAAGAGGCTATTTTCGCTCGCACTTTGAAATGCCATATAAAGGCTGTAAGAGTGGTGCGAAAAAAAAGCTAGGGAATGAATTAGTAACATGGAAGAGTAATTTTATATAAAGTACTGCTTATTTTGGGGTGTGGGTGTAGAGTTTGTTCATCACAATCATCTGTAAGTGTGATGCTACAATAATTACGTACAATTAGTAGTACTTAACACGTGCGTTGCCTGCAACAGCTCGAACCGCCAAATCTACGTAAAGCTGTTTCTTCCCAGAACAAAGCGCCAAACCTCATACATCAAACGCACAATGTGGTCTGAGGAATTTCCAGGTTTCGAGCAAGTCAGTACTGACGGCAGCTCGCTCGGCAATGGAAAGTAGAAGGCTGCAGCTGGTGTTAGTGTTTACTTCGGACCCAACGACCCAAGGTGCGCAAGCATTAGCACATCCCAACACGCTATGCGCACTGCATCATGCCTCACTACTGACTGGACGATGCGTAGGAATTATGGCGAACCCTTGGGCCCGGGTTCCCAAACTAATCAACGCGCTGAGCTCAAGGCTGTCTTGAAGGCCTTGCAAACGATACCCATCACACAGAATCTCCTCATTGAAACAGACTCAACATACGCTATCATCTGCGTGACAGAATGGTATTATAAATGGGAGTGGAAAAGTTGGAGGAAGGCCAAAGGCGAGCCGCTCAAGAAAAAAGAGTTGATCAAACCGAGCGTTCGTCAATTGGAGCAGCGCGAGGCGATAGGCAGCGCAACGTATTTTCGTTGGGTCAAGGGTCATGCGGCAATCCAGGCAACGAAGCAGCTGACAAGCTGGCTGTCGCAGGAGCAAGGTACGCTTCACGAGGGCTCTACATCTCACCAGACCCAACTCTCAGCACATGTGACATAGGCGCGAATACGTACGACGTTACGGCGAACTTGAGGAGAAGGAGAGGGGGCCGCGATGTACCTTGCGCGAGGCCCCATTCGGTTGGAAGGTGGTGCGGCACCCGGATGGAACCGAGACCCTCGAGCCGAATCCACAAGAAGTGAATAATTACGAGAAAAGGCAGAAGAAGGCGGCGGAAAAAATAGAAGTTGAGCAGATAAAGGTTTTCAAATCTAAACGCAGAAGAGGAGGAAGCGCAGCGCAACGTATGGCTATTAAAGCCGCCAGAGCAGCAGAAGCAGCCAAAGCGGCCGAAGCAGCAGATGCATGCCTCGCGGAAATGGGCCCAGATCCGACTTCAGACGTTGCGGCACAAATTGCATAGCTGGTGAGGGGTTCAATCACATCGTTATGACTGACAGCAGAAGCCAATATCTTCGAAGCCTACAAACCAAGAAGCGTCAAACGTCTTCCTATTCATACACCACTCTTCTCCAGCCGCCGATGCATTCGTATCAAGGTACAAGAACCCGGCTCCGGCCTCAATATCGTTGCGGTTACAGCTTCGCCCACAAGTATATGCTAGTGCGCGATTCGGCACCACAGCTTCAGGGCGATGGCACTACATTAGTAGTATATCCTCAATCCAGAGCCAAGAGCCGGACTCGGCATATTGGCGTGATGACCGAAGAACTCGAACAGAACATGAAATGGTATACATCCCCATTGACACATAAATGACGGCCTTTTCTTTTTTTACTCCTGGGCTTGCCGTTCAACGCCCCGAATTTCGTTAGCAGAACCCATGCTTAGCTGAAATAACCAAGATGATTCGATTTCGGTAGCTCTCAAATGTCACTTTTCAGTTAATAGTATGAATAACATCAACGGCTGACCCAATTGATAAGCTGGGTAATATAACATGAACGCAATCAATACATTCAAACAAAAAAGCGGAATCACATTGCTGTTCTTGATCTAATATATCCATCATTCTATGCCTCTAACAAGCTCTTTACTTCCTTAACCAGCAGCCGATCCTCAGCATCCTTTGCCTGTACATTACCCATGGTACCTGCCGCATCCATGACCCTCCACAAATCTCTCAGCTCGCCGTTCATGTCAGCGCCATATACTAACCACCCAACACTAATCACGCTCATCTTCTTATTGTCGCTCCACTTCTCCTCATTGCTTATGTTTTCGAGCAGCGAAGCGAGAAGCTCCACCTGCTCAGACTCTTCAAGTTCCGTCTCCCAAGGCAGGGAGTGTGAAGGATTAGCGCTATACTTTTTCATCCGCACCTGGTGGTTGGACGAAGTGATATTCATTGCTAGATTGAGGGCCGAGGCTTTTAGTGCGGGATGTTTCTCATCGAGAAGAGCGGTCGTCAAGATGGAGATGAGATTTGACGAAAGCGGCTGAGAGAGAAGGTGCGGTACGAAGAGTTGTGAACTGAAGAGGTTGCACGCTAGGTGCAGTGTGGTAAGTCGGAGGGGATATGGTGCGCTATCACCCAGTTTGTCAACATGATCGAGTAAATGGTGTACTGTCGCTGGTGTGCCTGTTGCGCCCTTATGTTCCTCTGCGAAAAAGCCGGCGACACGAGCGTCGGCAAGGGCTATCCTAAGCAGGTCCAGCACTGTAAACAGGAGCTCAGTCGGAAGCACAGAGGTGCTTTTTCTTAAGAAATCCGCAAACTTTGGGAGTTCGGTCAAGGGCGCTTCAATCGCTCCGGACTTCTCACGGGCTTGGATAAAAGCGACAATAGATGACACAGCAGGGTCATTTCCGGCATCTCCCATCTTTGCAACCAACTTCTCCAATGGCGGTACCTTTGTAAATCTGATAGGTCTTTGGCTCTGCCGCATAAGCAAAGGTGTGCTCTTGTCTAGATGTGGGTGCGGCGGAAATGCTGAATTGAGCAACATCTCCACATTACTACGCAGCTGCCTTGGATCGGCTCCACTCCACTCATCTCGCTGTTCTCCCTTCAGATATGTAATAAACGTTGGAGTCGCGCGTACGTTAGGATATCGGGTACTAATCGAGCTATCGGCGTGGCTAAAATCAATCTTGATGAACACACACTTCATCCCTGCTTCCGCTGCGAGTTGGTCGTATGGCTGATACACGAGCTTGCAAGGGGCGCACGTAGAGCTAGTGAAGAAGACGATGGCACAGCGATCCTTAGCGAGGCCAAGTAAGCGATCTACGTCCCTAAGTGATGTGGCATTATTGACTCTGCTCGTGTTCATTTCTAGTTCAGTCATGCTGCCAGAAGAAGCTCCGTTTGCTATTCCATTCAACGCACTCGCACCTGACGGTTGTACTTGACCCGCCTGGGGCGTAGGTGCCTGTACAATCGGTCGCATGGCGGCGTCAATCTGGGGTTTGAGCATTTGCCCAAAGGGCGTGTTGAGAACGGTTTGTGGGAGAGAGGTGATATGATCCGGTATTCCCTTGCCAACAAGGAACATTGCAAAATCGTTTGAGAAGTTGTTGCAGTTGTGTGCGAATAGATCGTATGACTAGAAAACATCAGCAGTTGCTCATGACGTGTTTGGAGTTCACTTACTTCGGGTGTATATATCTTTTTCAGAGATTCTAGGTACTCTAGAATCACCTCCATTGGAAGAGCAGTCTGTCCCAGTTTGATTACCTCCATCGGCCGACCGTGGTGCGTCGCTCCCGCCCTACATGTCTGCACTCCTTGTCCGAAATAGTATTCTATGCCGCCAAAGACGATAGACGTGTGGTATACAGCATCAATTTGTATTCCAAGAAACTGGCGAGACATGCTCTTTGCCAGACCCTAAATCTGTTAGTACCGCTGCTCTCTGAGAGGCGTCTGTGAGAGTGCTCTGTATCAGAGACTTACTTGAGATAGGTCATACACGTAAAGTTCCACGTCCATGATAGAGATCACACGTAGCCAACTCTATCCGTCTCACAATACTACTCTGTTGTCTAGTGTAGGGAGTATCTTTGATTTCACAGTAGGGTACAAGATCAGCGCAAGCCTAGAATCTTTAGGCCTTACGCGTTGGTGTGTCGATGTTTTAGGCGGAAGCGGTGACGTAAAAGAACATTCCCGAAAGTCCCACGCGGGCGATCGCTACGCGCACCGCCACATCTCTTATCGCCACATCGCGCTAGCACCTGACCGTGCTGTCGGCGAAAGCCGAATCGCGGGGAAGGTTATAACGCATAATGCAACGACGTGAGCCCTACTTCACAAGAGAGGCCCGGCCAATATACATAGTAGATTGCCTTGAGATCTTTCGACGCCATTATCCATGCTATTACTGGGCAGTCTGGTATACATAAGCCTTTTCGGCCAAACCACTTCGGAGCTAGTGGTTTGCGGGTGAGCAACGACTCGGGTTTTTCTACAGCGCATTGCTTGGGAGACTACTGTCGCAAAGACGAGCGATGTACTAGTACATGAAAAGTACCCTATAGGTATGTTCCAGATGTCGAGGGTTTAATTAATGTCATAGTATGTACTCAGAAGTATGAACACCGGGGCTAGTCCAAAATCTCAATCTCCGGCTTTCCGCCAGTCATAACAATGGAGAGTCGAAGAAAGTCACCGACGCTAATCGTTTTCGCAATCGCGCCATGAATTTCTCTCCATAGTGGTTGTCGTAGAGGAACGATGTGTTGTAAGATCCGTGACTGGTGTACAAATTCACTACAATCACAGCCTAGTTGTCTATCATCCCACTAAATACAATTTAACAATCCAGAGTAACGATTGCCGCGCTACTCCACGGAACATCAACCCTAATCACACCATCTTCACTTGCTTTTACCTTCTCCCCACGAGTGACATTGTTCAGCCGAACAGGCTTTCCCTCATCCAGCTCGTAGTTGTAGCTGTAGCCATCCCAAGTAACGCCCGTGATTGCATCACTTCCATTTGCAATCAACCTTTGTACCTGGGCCTTACCTTTAGAGCAACCAGGCAGCTTCAACTCGTATTTCTCGATAGGTCGTGGAAATGGAGTAATGTAGTTATTGTCAGTTGTATTGTAAGTGTGGAGGTCCACGAGTAGGATGCGAGCTAAGGTGTTATTGGTGTAAGCCGCATACTGGGTAGAGAACTCAGATGATGAGTCGAGGTGAGAGATTCGCAATTGGGTCGAGGGTGTCTTTCGGTGCATGAAAGCTGCGACAGCCACGCTTCCATAGTATGGCGGCTTCGTTCCCTTGGTCGTTAGATTTGTTTCGATAGGCTGCCATGCTTGATAGCTTTGAATTTGCCGTTAGTCAGAAGTTGGAAAACAAGCGGTGCGAACAATAGACTTACCGATAGTTCGTCCCTTGATGCATATGTGAGCGGGATATGTTATGCGATGCGAGGTACAAATTCCAATCAATTCCCCACAACGCCGCTCCAAAACTGTTGCTCAAACCAGGTCGTCCTTGTCTGGCGAGCGAGTTGTGCTCGCCCATAATAATAGGAACATCTGGAGATGGCGCGTTGTCTGATTCCCTGATTCCTCTCGACCGGTTGAACTGAGCCTCTGCCCTCAATATAACGTTGGTGTGGTTCATCAATGTGCCTTGCAACGTGATACCAGGGTTAGTAGACACACCCATGTAGTTATGCAAAGCAACTATGCCTATGTTATCATCCTTGTTGATACCTGCTCTCCATGCTTTGACAAGGTCCAGAGTGGCTATTTCTACGGCTGTAGGTCCTGCGAAGCTTGGTCCCATGAATTTAACGCCAGCGAGCTCCGGACATGCTACTTTGACGATTTCTTGAATGGCCTTGGTTCCATTCAGCCACTCAGACACGTAGTCAGCCTCGGTGTAATTGCGGGTTCGGTGGCCGAAAATAGTGAAAAGATCGGGTTCGTTGCCATACTCCCAGTACAAAAGATTGCTCCCGATTGCTTTACAGGCATATGAGACGGAATTAAAAGTGCTAGCTCTCTCGGCGGGAGAGCTGGCGCCCATATTGAGACCATGGCTAAACTTTATACCCTTGGGCATAGTCTGGTATGACTCGAAGTAAGACGGACCAAACGTGATGATGGTTGGGTAATCGGCCGAGATGTTCGGTTGAATGATACCAATAATGTTGGCCTTCTGTGATTCTTCGAAAACTGCCAAGTCCCTGAGTCTTCAGTTAGAGCTGTATATTTGTGTCTGCGAAAAGAGCATAAAATTACTGCGTGTTTCCTCCCACTCGAACATATGGCATGGAGCCTTGTAACTTGCCCAAGTTGCTCAACAGATTTCCTGTGAAGGCATTTGGATTTGATAGGTTACCTAGCCATAATGTGTAAGTATTGAGTTATAGCAGTAGAGGCTGCAATTCAAAGTACCAGCAAAATCAGGCCATGACGAAAACTCGAATGAGAAAGAAACGAATGAGTCCAGTGGAACTCCAGCATTTTGTGGGCTTGATTGTTGAATAGCAATCGATTTGGGTCTCGAAGGCATACGAGCAGCCTCTACTTCCACAAGCGTCACAAGGCATGACAATAGCAAGGAGCGGTAGTTGGTGAAAAACATTTTGCCTACTGGATGCGATACTTGTGATACGAAATCATCGCCTGCCATTTATCGACACCGTCGGCAATTGAATTATGACCGCGTCTTGTCGCGGCCTTTGGACAACGCGTTGCTTGTCCCGTAACTTATACCCCATCTGAACGATCTACACGTGATGTGGGGAAAACAACAGGGGCAATGACGAGCTGAAAGGTGGGGTAAAACAAGACAGAGAGTTCATCCGTGCTTAGCGCCAGCTAACTATCACTCAAACATAGAGGTTCTCCACTAGAAAATGGAGGTATTCTTGGCTGCAGGGGAACAAGAAGTTGGCACATTTGCGCCATTAATATGGCCAGCCCCCACTTCCCGACTCTTGTTGCAGACGGTTACTTCGGCAACATACTTCCTACTCTCGTTGAATTTGCATTAGTATTCCCGTCATACTGAGGTTGAAACCTTGTCTTTAGTGTAGGACGGCATTTGATAACAAGTATCGCTTAGGTTTTTCACAAGAGCGTGATTACTCAGCAGACCAGCTGAGTTGCAGCCCGAGATATCCCCTGGACACGAAAGATGGTACCGACAGCCCAAAAAACAGTGATGAATGGCTTCTAGCTACGAGCAGTTAATGATTTCAGTGCTGGTCACGTTGTGGAAGCACCAACCTATATAAAAAAGTGATGTTCACGTAGCACTACGCATAGCATAGATCGGGCGAGCGGTAACAGAAAGTCTTTGGGCCAATTAGATCGCATTGTTTTCTTGCGAAGAAGAAGCTGTCGGGAGTGATTGTACGTGCTATGCAGCTGAAGCTCGACGAAGCGCGCGCTGCATTTATACTACGACAAAATCCGCCAAAAGGCGCGTAAACACGGACTTCATGGGTCCATGTCTCTTTACTGAACTTGGCCAACGTAGTAAGTCGAAAAACAACTAGGCATTTTTAGTAAGCATAAAGGGGAGGTATCGCAATATCACTCCTCAATACGATCGTCGATGCGTCTTGCTGACAATCGAGTATCTTGCGATTGCCGCATTTGCTAACCTCACGTAAGCAATATATAACCACCTAATTGTGTGACCACACCTACGAATGCCCAGCCTTGATGCAGTCGTGCGTTCCCCGCGCAGTTACATGCGCCACCCTATCTACAGCACAATCGTCTTCCTTTGGCCCAAAATCCTGCGCATGACAATAGAGCGAAGATAGTTTCTCTCAAGCTAATTCCAGAAGCTCGTCTGACTCCTCGAGCACCGAATAGTGAATGGATAGCAGCAAGAATGCTTCGTCGCAAATGTTCATTATGAACGGCTTTTGGGGATAAGCTCACCGATCAAGCATGGTTTTAATGGAGCAATGCTGTATAGACACCCCCAACATGGTATTTCTGGCTCTATCATTGGTTATTGCATCTGCACTTTGTGTTTATTGAAGTGCTTGTCCAGCTCGAAAAAGGTGCATGTGAACGCTCTGCAGCAATTTGTCCCTTTGAGGCAAATGGACGATAACGAGTGAATAGATCGGTGGCAGATATCCCTCCTTAAAAGCCGTATCCTCAATGGTTATCCTAGTCTTCTGATCTTCTTTTTTCCTTTGTATAACTTCTCGTCATATCCTTCATATCCTTTATTTGAACGAGGAGACTGTAGCTTCACCATGTCGCTGCTTTCTACTCCAAATATCGGTATCGCCTTCGGCGTTGCCGCGCTTTTCTTCATGATCCGCTATCTGCTGGTGAAGAGACATCAGCTACCTCTTCCTCCAGGTCCCAAAGGCCTCCCAATCCTGGGTAACATCAAGGACATGCCCAAGGTCAACGACGTCGAATGGATGTATTGGCTCAAACACAAGGACACCTATGGCCCGATTAGCTCCGTCTCTGTTCTCGGTCAAACGTTTATAATTGTTAACGATGCAGACATCGCACTGAAGCTCTTGAAGGACCGCGCACCAAATTACTCTGGAAGGCCGAAACAGGTCTTTAGTGGTGAGATGTACAACTGACTAAACCCGAAATGATGCCCTTTCGTAGAAGCTAACACAAATAGGGTGGGCTGGAAGAATATGCTGGCCATGCTGCAGCCTGGTGCGGACTTTAGACAGCAACGTCGCAACCTTGCTAAGATTGCCGGATCAACTACCTCTATCGCAGCGTTTGATCGTATACAAAATGAAGAAGCAGCACACTTTTTGCTAAATCTCTTGGACAGCCCCGAGCATTTGTTCGATCATATCAGAAAAGAAGCTGGCGCGGTGATATTAAGAATCACTTATGGGTACACACCCAATGCACGAGGCCCGGATCCACTGGTCGATATGGCGGAGCAAGTGATGACCGACATCGGGATTGCAGGTGTGCCAGGAAAGTGGACCGTTGATCTACTACCGTTCTGTAAGCAAAAAACACTGGCTGTTGGAATACATGCTCAGTTCTGACACTACCCTAGTACGCTACCTGCCCGATTGGTGTCCAGGCACCGGCTTCAAAGATGTAGCCCGAGAAATGAGAAAGAATTTCTTCCGCAGCGCTGAACAGCCTTACAATTGGGTCAAGGAACAGATGCGAAACAAAAAAGCAAAAACATCCTTCTTATCCCAGGCCATTGAGTTTCTGGGCACAGAGGCTTCGATGGAGGATGTTCATAGATGGTCCGCAGTCTCCATGTACTTGGGTGGCTCTGACACAACAGTATCGGCCATTATGGACTTCTTTCTAGCCATGGCTGTCTTTCCAGATGTACAGAAGAAGGCACAGGAAGAGCTGGACCGCGTGATCGGTGGTGATCGATTGCCGACTATAAGCGACAGAGCTAGCTTACCGTATATTGAAGCCATGATCAAGGAGACCCATCGTTGGCACCCTGTTGCACCAATGGCTTTGCCCCATTGCGCCTTGGAAGAGGATAGCATCAACGGGTATAGGATTCCGAAAGGGGCTCTCATTATGACTAATATCTGGTATGCTCCCCGTCTCTTACTTTATACTGGGTTTTTTTTCGTATCTTATATATCGTAGGTGGTTCACCCACGACCCTGCCACATACGCAGATCCAATGACCTTCCGGCCCGAACGCTTCATAGAAACTCTGACCCATACCGCCGAATCCGATCCACGAAACTGGACATTCGGTTACGGCCGTCGTGTCTGCCCCGGTCGCTATATTGCCGACAATGCACTATTCACAACCATCGCGCAATCGCTAGCAGTATTCAATATTGAGAAGCTCATTGAGAATGGGAGGACAGTAGAGCCGAGAATTGAGTTCAAGCCTGGTGTTGTTAGTCATCCAGTTCCATATCGTCTTAGCATTAAACCAAGGAACGAGAGGTGCCGTGAGTTGATTGAGAAAGCTGAACAACTCTACCCATGGGGTGAGAGCGATGCACAGACACTGGAGAGTATGAACTAGGAAAGGGTCATGGCATGTACATGCTGCAAACTAAAGACAAGTAATAGTAAGAAGTTGTATCTATGTATTGTGTTATATAAGCGTAGTGATGGCGTTTGCGGTTGATACTGAGCATACTTATTTGAGGTCCTGCATCAGGGTTAGCATAAGATTTGGGACGGGGCTCACTGCATAATGACAGCCACCGTCCTCAGTCAATGCAGTATCATGTACAGATTAATAGTGGATGCGCATTCACATGCCAGATTTAAGGAAAGTCACACTGCAACGAAAATATGTTTGCCCGATCCTAAACTCCAAGCCAACTCATCGGCTTGACGTATCGCGAATCCAAGACACGTCATCAAAATATAAGACAACGAACAGGTATTAATCTTGCTTCCCTGTCCACACTTGCCAACGGAAGGATAACGAGTTGGCAAGCTCTAGCATAATTTGGAAGCGGAATGAAATGACCGAAGTCAAATCAAAAACTCTTCACTCATGGTCTGCCACACTCGTCTTGAGTATTGCAAGGCACCTGAGATAAGAGTGTAACCCTCAAAAGCCCACACACTGAACGTTCTCTTGTCAACGTAAGGCTTTTCTGGTGTGGACTCCATAGGAATCCACAGTAGAGAGTGTACAACATCCAAAGACATTGTACCATGTACCATACCACAAGCAGACACTTGGCCCGCACAGTGGTCTGGTCTGGTCTGTGCTCGTCTTGCCAGAATTTCTTCTTCACAACAAGAGCTTCTCGCAACGCGGCTGACGCCAGATTACGAAAAGTGTCAGAACCTTGAGCGATTGTGACAGGTGTGTTTATACCCATGTTCATTGATTGCTGTAAGAATCAATAGTCATTGGATCAGCTTGATCGCAAGGCTTGTGGCCCTTTCACCGCATTTCGTCCTCTGACCAAAGTCAGAGGTCGCCGCTGCGGGAGTGAGGAAACCGAATACCTGATGGTTTGCCGGTTCCTCGGCGGTTGGGTGCAGTCCAAGTACGCTCAAAACAAAATATTATGCCAAGGGCTATGTATTCGGCTTGTCAAAGTCACCCGAAAGCGACTTGGTATCTGTTGACTTCTTGCTCCGAGTTTGGGTTCGTGGCGTACCAGACCCACCCTTCGGCGCCGGGGGTAGGAATCCCCTTGCTTGAGGTACATGGCACTGCGTTATATTTTCTTTATAGTTTGCGCGTCCGTATGGTTTCATATGAGCCTTAGTTCCAGATGAGGGCCGGGTAGTGTTGGCATGATTGCAATGTGCATGCATAGCTTTCCTAGTTTGTAAGAAGGTGGCGTGAATCTCTCACTTCATGTCGATGTTTGTCGAAGTTGCGAACAGGACATTCGGTGGGTGTGCAATGCATTCACTCCAGACTCTTTGCGGGGCGTCTCGCGAGTTTGATGCTCTACCGTGAACGGAAGACCAGCTAGGCCTAACCGTTCAGGGTTGAGACTTGTGGAGGTTTGCATCACGCATCTGGGGGCCAGACCAGTGAATGATACTACACCTTATCGATATGGAATCCATTGGTCTTCAGACCATGCGTCCCGGACGCAATGAATGGCGCATCAACAGGACGAAATGGATAGGATCGATATGCAGAGGTGAGGCTTGGTAGGTGGAAATGATCGACAGTCTCATCAATGGGTGGAACAAAAGGAAGACGGTGCCTCCGAAGGCTAGATAAACGGAAATGTACGGAAGTTGGAGGGACGTAGATGCATGATGAGATTTTATATCGTCATGTAGATTTGTGGGTGGCTGGGCAAAATGGCTGGAAGCGAGGATTTCATTAGCTGGTTGCGAGAGGAACCGGTCCGTGCTTGGCGTCGGTCCGTGCAATCGCGTCATTGAAGCGATCAGGGCCTATGTTCATACTGACCATACAACGAGATTCTTCCAACTACCAGCGCACAATGGTAAGATGACCACGCTCGACCTTGTAGTATCCTATGCGCGTGCTGACCAATCCAAAGCCACCAAAGCGCCGCGGACCGCCGTCCAGGGCGCCTGTCAAACGTCCATCGAAGCTCGCCAAAGAAAACGGCCTGACTGCAGAGCAAGAAGCTGAAATACGCGAGGCATTTGGCCTGTTTGCCGTTTCGCATCCTGACCATGAAGATTCAAAAGAAGGCGTACTAAAGAGAGGCGATGTGCGAAGGTGCCTGATGTAGGTGACACTTGAATGCGCCTGCATTGCGCACTGACTGACGACGGTGAAGCTCTCTCAACCTCGCACCGGACAAATCGGAAGTGCCATCCATTCTCTCCACAATCGATCCCCTTAACACCGGCTTCGTTAGTTTCGTACCTTTCTTGTCATACACCGCAATCGCAATACATTCCAAGGACCAGGGGTCTGACGAGGACGACGAGGAAGATGAATACCGAGAGGAGAGCAATGCAGAAGAGGTCAAAGCAGCATATCGGCTGTTTACGCACGGTACTGCGGGACCCATTACACTGGCGCACCTTAGAAGGGTTTCCAAGGAGTTGAGAGAAGACGTGCCAGATGACGTCTTGAAGGATATGATTCTTGAGGCGAATGGCGGGGTCAAGGGTCAGGGTAAGGAAGCTGGCGGTGTCAGTCTTGAGGATTTTGAAAGTGTAATGAAGAGAGCCGGGCTGTCTTTTGGATGAGAGACGATGATGCAAGAAACGAGAACACGATAGCATGAAGTTTTACATGCAGGCACGGATACATCGAAGGAAGTCTCGAGCTGCAGTCTTCCAAAGCCTTGGATCTACGAAAGACGGCCAGTGGAAACCTTGGAATGTTGCGCGCATCCTGTGCTGTCAGGTACATGTCGGTATTGGACACGATGGCCCACGATGCAATTCCACGCTCGTGAAATCTAGGCCAGAACTGCCTTATCAACGCAAAACATGTTTCAGTGGGAAGGAAGGGGAGTGCTGGGTAGAAGGAGTGTAGCCATTGATGCAACAACAATACCGGAGTAAGGAGTAAAGGAGCGAATAAAGTTTCGACGCTACAATCTTGTAGAGGCAAAGAGGTTGGTTCGTTGCATGTTGAACCATACTCAATTAAGGTTGAAATCTGCATCTGTATCTGCTATGCTACTATGCATAGCATTGGCGAAAGGGCTCGGCGCCGATAGAAGATGAGGCGGTACAAGTGGGTTCCAAAGTTCAAAAGTCCCACAGGTGGCTGCCAAGATGCAGGGACCTTACGTAGCAGGCACACGAAGACGGATGCAACGGCGCTGCGTGTGTAACAGCAACCACACTCGATTACACATCCCCTCCCCACCTGTAGTACTGCTGTGGACGGAGACTCCTTTTATACGCTTGTCTCCTTGATGTGTTTACGTGTCTTCGTCGCCACACCACACTAAACCATCCCGGGAACGCAGTGCAGCTGAATGCCTGCGCCCTGACCTGCAGTCCCTTTTCTGCCCTCACACCTCTCCCAGTTCCATGTCCAGCGGCATTGAAGTCAGCGGAAGCCAACGACGACCCGGCATTTGGTCTTACTTTAGTTTTTCTGGCCCACGCCGTCGTGTCTCCGTCTCCCTGCCTCGCAACTCAGATCCCAATCGCGGCGTCGACGACGACGACCCTCACGCAAAAGCCGCTAGACACTCCCGCAATCGCTCATCCTACTCGGACGCATTCATGAACGAACACAAGGGCGGCGCCGTCATGAACCAAGGGCAGCGGCTACGCTACCTCAAAACGGGGGGTGTCATTGCCTTTATACTCCTCGTGCTGTATTTTATTGCGCCCAGCGACCGCATCTCAAGACCAGGCGGTATGTACACGACCAGCTACTCCGCAACTTAGGAGCTTACAATTACAGCGGTATCGCCTGCCCCCGGAGGTAATGCAGCAACCGGTGAAGCAACGGCCGAGTGCACCAAGTCCTATCACAAGGACAAGCCCCTCTACCAGTATGCCCTCATGATCGACGCCGGCAGCACTGGCTCGCGTATCCACGTTTACAAGTTCAACAACTGCGGTCCCAGCCCTGAGCTGGAGAAGGAGGATTTCAAAATGACACCCAAGAAGGAGGGAGGATCCGGTTTGTCAGCTTACGCGGACGATGCAGAGGCTGCTGCACGGAGTCTTGATGTCCTCATGGAAGTTGCTCTCAAGAGCGTGCCCAAGGAATACCAATCTTGCACTCCTGTTGCCGTAAAGGCCACTGCCGGTCTCCGGAAGCTTGGCGAGCAGAAGAGCAATGACATTCTCGCTGCTGTGCGTCGTCATCTGGAAAACGACTTCCCCTTCCCGGTTGTATCTGAAGAAAAGAAAGGCGTCGAAGTTATGCCTGGCGAGATGGAGGGCGTATACGCATGGATCACCGTCAACTATCTTCTCGGCAAGATTGGCGGTCCCGACAAGAACCCTACAGCCGCAGTCCTTGATCTGGGTGGTGGTTCCACACAAATCATCTTCGAGCCTACGTTCCCCGACACACCCCGAGGCGGACTGCCAACGAAGCTCGCAGAGGGCGACCACAAGTACGAACTCAGCTTTGGTAACCGCAACTTTGACCTATACCAGCACTCGTACCTTGGCTATGGCTTGATGGAAGCCCGCAACAACCTGCACAGCACGATTCTCACGAGCCTCCACGACACGCACAAGGACAACCGCGAATACCTCAAGCAGCCCATTGTCAATCCCTGCATCCCTCCTGGCATGTCGCGCGAGATTGAAGTCCACATGCCCAAGGGCCACGCATTGGGCGACTCGCTCACCGTCAACATGACCGGTCCCTCTACCTCTGCACCAACCCAGTGCCGCGGGCTGGCAGAAAAGACTCTGCACAAAGACGACGAATGCGCCATTGCACCGTGCGCCTTCCGCGGCGTCCACCAACCCCCCTTTGCACAGACTTTTGCCACGGAAGCCGTATACCTCCTCTCGTACTTTTACGACCGCACACAGGAACTCGGCATGCCCGAGTCGTTTACCCTCCGCGAGCTCCAGGACCTCGCGGACAAGGTGTGCAGCGGCGAAAAGGGCTGGGACGTCTTCTCTGCTGCCCCCCAGGCCCTCGACGAGCTCAAGGGCCGTCCCGAATGGTGTCTCGATCTCAACTTTCAGTTTGAGCTCCTTAGGAGTGGATACGGTATGCCTATTGATCGTGAAGTTAAGATTGCGAAGAAGATTAAGGGGAATGAGCTTGGGTGGTGTTTGGGTGCTAGGTAAGAATCTGTTCTTTTTTTTTTGCTTTGATGATTAAATGTCTGGGACGAGAAACTAACGTGTGTAATAGTCTTCCATTGCTCGAGGCGAACTCTGGATGGCAGTGTAAGATTAAGCAAGTGCAGTAGATGATGAGGGTTGTTGAGTTGAGAACGGATAAAGTTTTAATATAGAGGTGCACTTGAGATGGTGCTGGTGCAAAGCTTTCGGTTTATCCTTCCCCCCCTTCCCCCGCTGCTGAAGCAAAAATCCATGGGGAAAGTGGAGGAGACATGGGTTTAGGCGTTTCTTGTATTTTGCTCAACGAGAGGGGATTGAAGGGGAACGAAAAAAGATTTTAATCATTTTACCACACTTACATTGTGGATTATCACAAGGGGGGGAGGAAATCATGAATTGGGTATCTACTTATAGACTGTTTTAGATGGAAGAAAAATGAAGCCCTTTTTTTTTCCATCATGGATCCGATAACAATGCCAAGTGCAAAGTCTTTGCGTACAGATATTAATCAAAGTTGTGTACATATATGCGCATGGCCCTCCGAATCTATGGTTCTAGTAATCGTTTCTTCTAGAAACAAGAAGAAGGATAAGGAGAAGAAGGAGAAGGAGAAGAAGAAGAAAACAGGAAAGAAGAGAAAAGAAAAACAAGAAGAGAAGAGACGAGAAAAAAAAAGAGGACATCTACAGTCTTCTCCACAGATATCCTAATCAAAACGACCCAATATTGCCCTTTGTATACATAGTCTGCCTCCTTTTGGCCTTATGCTGATGCCCCTCAACCCCATGACGCCCCATTCCCATTCCATCCCCCAACATACCATTAGCACCCGCCCTCGCTTTTCTAACCGCCCTGCGCTTCGCCTCTCTCCGCTTAAGCTTGCCACTCCAATGCTTAAACTTGCGGATGATGCGATCAGCCATGAGGACGAGCAGAGTAACAAACATGACGGGGACGGCAATGATCCAGAAGAAGGCGTCAGAGTTGTGCTGGACGCCGTTGAAGCGGGCAAAGTTCTGGCCAAAGTAACCAACTAAGAAGGTGAGGGGCAGGAAGAAGATTGTGGTTGCGGTGAGGATCTTCATAGATTCGTTTTGGTAGGCGCCCATCATGTTGAAGATGAGGTCGATGAGGTTGTCCGCTGCGCGGCGCATCTGGTCGAGCGAGGCCGTGATCATGATGCAGTGATCTTCGACGTCGCCGAGGTACGTGTGGGCGAGGGGGCTGATGTTGATGGACGTCATTGTCTTGCGTGTGGCGAGGTTGGAGTTTGTGTGGGCGAGCATGGATTGCGTCATGGGGTCTGCTTTGTGGTCGCGCAGCGAGTTGATGAGCGAGACAATGGGCTGGATCGTGTTGCGGAGGATGGAGAGCTCCGATGTGAGGAGATAGAGAAGTTGGCTGTGGTGCAGCTCGGGCTCCTCGAGAACGTCAAGTTCCAGTTCGCCCATGGCGTCTTCGTAGGCGGCTACAACGGGTATGGCTAAATCGACAATGGCGTCGATGATGGCTTGGACAACCATGCTGCTGTCTTGGCTGCGACGGAGAATGGTGTCTTCGGTGCGGAGACGCTTCAAGATCATGCCTTCGACATCGTCGGCTGAGTGCTCGAAGAAGGAGATGACCGAGTTGTCGGCGAGTAAGAAGATGCTGACCTGCTCGACACTAACAGTCAGGTGCTTCTCTGTGAGCGCCGAGTGCTGTTCCAGATAGACTATGCGGTCGAGGTTGTATCCACCACGGTAACGCTGGAGGGTACGGACTGCAGTCGTTGCTGGAGGTGTAGCAGTCCTAAGCCTTTCAAGAGGCGTACCGTCAAGTTGCTTCTCTATACCATCCAAGGCGTGCATCATGTCGTCCTTTTTCGACTTTCCCTCGTCATTGTTTCTCGAAAAAAACATTCTCTTTGCCCGTTTGAACAAGGACGGCTTTCGGTTCTTCTTTTGCTTCTGGTGATGGCTGGAATGACGGGGGCGGGAGCGTGACCGAGAAGCCTCATAACGTCGGTCGGTGTCATCCAAGTCCGAGTCGGAATCGCTTTCCGAGTCTTCGTCTACGGGGGTGCGGACGAGCTTGGAGAGAGTCAAGAGCATGAAGGCCTGGTCCGAGTACCAATCAACCTTTGTCCTGCTCTGCGGGCTCATCAAGTCCTCAATGGCCAGGCGATGCAGCTGCTTGTGGTTTCCCAGGGTGCGGATTACATCCCAGCTCAAACCATTGACATTGATCCATCGCGAGGTGACCCAGTCCTCCTTTGGGTGTTTTAGGAATTCCTCGAGTGTATCATTATCGAGCTCGTGGCACTCGACCCTCTGGTCGGAAAAGTCGACTACAGTAATCTGGCAGGGGGCGTACAAGTGGTGGTAGTTTGCAGCCTCGTTGTCGTTCTTTGTGTCGACACCAGGCTCGGCGCCAGGCTCCTGATGGTGGTACTGGCGGGTGGGGGATTGGTAGTGTTTGACCGTATGAGATCTGGTGATTCGGCGCCGCAGTGTCGAGTCTATAGAACCGCGGTCGGGGGAAAGGAGAGTGTCGGGGTTGGTAGCGGCAGCGCTGGTCGCAGTGGTTGCAGTGGCCGAGCGGCCGCGACTTCTTTGTTCTCCATTGAGCTGCGTGTCCAGGGTCAATTGCGGAGGGGCCGCTGAGTCCGAGGCAGAGCGCTCGGGGTCAGTGGGCGGCGGAGGCACAGAGGCAAAGTCCTGGACCCGCGTGTCGTGGGGAGAGGCCGACATGACAGGGCGGTTGGAGTCAATGTACGGAGAAAAGGGCGTGTTTGACGGGCTTGGCCTGGCTGGGCTGCTTACGGGGTTGGGCAGGAGGTCAAGCAGCGAAGTGTAGATTCGAAGCGTCGATATTGTGCTGTTCGGTCGTTGGCGAATACGGGATGGCAGCGGACGGACGGGCACGCTGCGAACAGTCCGCCCATGGAGGCTACGAGGTTGTGAGGGAGCATGCTGTCTTAGCTGGTGCAGGGTTTCACCATGCCATGTCTCGCCATGGGCGCGACGAAGAGCAGCAAGCAGAGCGGTAGGCCTGCAGCGTAAATACGCTGACCAATCAAAGGGGGCATCACTGTCAGCGGGTAGCAAGAGAGCAGCAGCATGTACGCATAATTATGGTGTAGTAGTAGTAGTAGTAGTAGTAGTCACAGTGATAGCATGCACCCGGCCGAAAACCAACGTATGCTGGCATGAATGCAGCAAGCCGCTCAGCCGGAGAAAAAAAAACACACGTCTTAGGCGCGCCACCTGTGTGGCGCAAAGGAGGGAGCATTGGGCAGAAGCGAGTGCAGAGGAGCAGATAGAACGATTAGTGAGATGATTTGCAGGCGACATTTGGGTGCTGCGACGGGAGGTGTTGGCGATAGATTTGAGCGCGAGCGGGCGGGCGTGACGCATGAAATTAGCGGTTCGAGACTGCCCTTCTCGGCCGGCGGTGCCAATGCTTGTGCTTGACTGTGACAGCGACTAGCAAGGCCTTGCCCTCCCATCCCGAACCGCCTCTTGCCTCCCCCATCCACCCACGCCAATCTGCCAGCCAGCCAGCCCAGCCTCAGCCAGCATTCCATAGCATAGCACACCCACCACACCACACTACACTACACTACACTACACTACTGCCACCACCCACGCATACATACATACATACACACTGCAGCCTTACCGCGATCCACATCCACATACATACATACCCACGCATACATACATAGACACATCCTCGCCTCTGCACCACGCTACCACTGCCCATCCCTCTGTCGCCCCCCCTCTCCCCCCAGCCTGTCGCGTGGCCCGTCGCCGGCAGCGCCAGTGTGCGTGTGAGTGAGAGCGTGAGCGAGAGGGCTCTTGCCTCGACCCCCCCCCCCCCCCAACGCCCGGAGCACTCAATCCATCTCACACATCCCGGCACCCCTAGCAGCAAGCAAACAAGCCTCATCTCCCGCCGCAAAGCTGCCCACTCTCCTTTTCGCCCACGCACTCGCCTCATCACCACATCCCCATCAGTCCCGGCTGCTGTTCCTCTCGTCAGCTCGTCGGGCTCCCGTGCTCCTTCTCACACCCTCGACGCCCACCATATGCGACACTAGCCCCCAACCCGCTAAACACCACCTTCCCCCCCAGCGTCCACTCATCCGCCACGCCCACCAAGCGCCACTGCAAAGACGCCCGCCATGCGCGAAGTCAACTTCAGCATCCCGAATGCCAACAAGGCCTCGGTCGGCATCACCACCGCCCTCTATGACCGCCGCGCCCTCGACTGCACATCGACCCTGCCGCTCATCAACTCGCTCAACCACCTCGCCTACCTCACCACATCGTCGGCCCGCATACGCGACATCCTGACCGTCGATGGCGGCATCGAACGCCTGATATGCATCCTCAAAGAAGGCCGAAGCAAGGACATGATGGACATGTGGAAATGGAACCTCGCCTTCCAGTGCATCTTCAACATCGGCGTACGCGGTTCCGAGAGCGTCAGGACGCGTGTTGTCGAAGCCGACATGGTGCCCGTCATCGCCTCGATTCTCGACAACTACATCAAGGTCGTCGACAAGATGCGGGCTAGAGCAGAGGCCGAGATGCACAAGTCGTCGCGCCTGGGAACCTCGAGCCGCCACCACTCATCACGCACCGGCGAAGCTGCCTCCAGCTCCGCTCACCGAACCGACCGATCACGACGCATCATCCCTCCTCCCATCGAAATCCCCAGGCCCCTCGACGCACCGCTGGCCGAAACCACGCCCGTCCCTACCTTCTCGCTCAGCTCACCACCGGAGCGCACCACTTTTGCCCGCGGCCGGCCCCCTCACCACCATCACCATCGTAGCCATGAGAGCCGAGCACAGCTGTTTGGCGCTCCTCCCAACAACACACGCAACCTCACTCAGCCCTTGGTTACTGCCTTGCCTTCCATGGACACAGCACCCGATGCCTTCACCCTACGCCCCGTGCGAGATGCCGACCGTCTACCATCGATGCTTCCCGCTCTGCAGGGCGAGATGACCTCCCAACCAGAGTCACCCACTACGCCAAGTGCCCCGCAGGCACGCCAGACGAGCCCAAGAGCGGGGCTGGCCAGAACCCGCCGCCGCCCATCCATTCGACATCAATTATCCGTCTCTGGCGAGTCGGATCTCGAAGCGCCGCAAGACGACATGTCGGCAGAAGCTCCCACCGCGGCGGGCCCGGCTGTAAACGAACCAATCGTAGGCATTCAAAACAACGAGATTAACATGGCCGATATTGTTGGCAACGCAGAGATGCTCGATGCAGGTAACACTCCCGTTCCCATTGCGGCACCTTCCGAGGGCACCGACGAAAACAACGAGACCTTCAACATCACCCACCGCCCAGCGCTTGATGGCAGCATCATCAACCCCACAAACACCCCGCCCAACAACCCCATTACCGGCTTCTCTCCTCTGCCCCCGACTATCAACGTTGTAAACACCAACCCCCCGCCACCATGGTACCCTCGCTATGCCCAGGAACGCAATGCCTCGGCTAGTGTGTTGGCTGCCATGCCCCGTGACGAGGATGTCCTCATGTCTCTGCAGCTTCTGGCCTACGTATCAAAGTACTGCAATCTGCGTTCCTATTTCCAAAAGTCCCATCTGGTACCCAAGCTCAAGATTGGCATTGAACTTTTGGATGGCGAGGTGTCTACTCCAAAGGCTGCTGATGAGGAAGAGGAAGAGCTCGAAGAGTATGAACTCCCAGACGACTTCAACATCTTCCCTCTTGTAGAGCAATTCACCGTCCGCCATCACACATCGGATATGCAGTACTGGGCCAGCGTTGTTATGCGCAACCTCTGCCGGAAAGATGACTCCCGTGGAGGCATCCGGCAATGTGCATACTACCAATGCGGACGCTGGGAAGAGTACACACGCCAGTTTGCAAAGTGCCGCCGCTGCCGGAGGACAAAGTACTGCAGCAAAGAGTGTCAGAAGAGCGCGTGGGTCTTCCACCGCCACTGGTGTGTGGCCGCTACCTAGGATGTGCGGATCATACCTATTCTTTAATTGTTGTTTTTCTCTCTTGCAAATCATCCATCATCATCGTCGTCATCATCGTTATTATCATCATCACCGCCAGTGGGATTGTTCATCATCTCCTGGCTGCATATCGCATGGCGCTGGGCAATTGCTTTCGTTTTTTCAATGTTTTCTTTTGTCAGAATCTTCTTTCCTCTTTTTATTATATTTTCTCTGTTCAAAGGTGCAAATTAATTAATGAGCGACACGATTACTGGATACCACACAAACAAGGTTTACAAAACTAGTACCAAATCAATTACTAGTCAGAATGCTTCTTGTTCTTGTTCTTGTTCTTCTTCTTCTTGTTCTTCTCTCGGGCAGCTATAAAAAGGGAAATCTAGGGGATTGCAAGCGAAGTGCACAAAGACTGTCTGAAGCAAAGGCCTGCAAAGGCAATAAGCAGAGTGAGGAGAGAGAAAGAGAGAGAGAGAGAGATCACTATACCATTTCATTTTTTGGAGCGCAGCATTGTTAGCATTTGGTAAAACCGGAGTAGTAAAGGGTTTCCGGCGTATTGAGTAGTGTCTGTGTGTTTATTTTGGTGCAATTGAAATGCCATGCATTTAGACCTGTCTTTGTTTGTTGGTCTGTCTGTCTGTCTGTCTGCCGGGTCAGGTTTTGATCTTATTGGTGATGTTTTTTAAATGTGCGAGTCTTTGATATGTAATCCCATTTATCGTACATGCGTATAGATTTATGTTGAATTCGAGTAGAATTTTCTTCCCATGTTCATTTGTCACTATCCAAGATAAATTTGATTGACGACTTCTTCCAAGCTGTTGCTTGCAAAACTAGTTGACCATTACCCCCATCCCTCTTTCTTTTAAAACACATGTTCTTCTTCCTCCCTCTCCCATGTACACTCACACAATCCTAAGCACCACCCGCTCCCACTTCCCAGACACCACCCTCTTCCCCGCCCACTTCTCAGCAACACCCTCAATATTCCCCGCATCAACAAGCACATCCCGAACATTAACCCGTAACTTCCACACACCCACCCTCCTCCACGTTCCCTTGATCAACCCAGGAACCAGCATCAACCCCGCAAGCCGCCGCTGGATATTCTTCGCACCCGCAGTCCTCACAACCTGGACTTCAGACAGCAGCCCATAGACCGCATCCCGTGGCGGCGACGCCCGACCAGCAGGGTCATCAGGATAGTATTCCAGCTCTGGATCCCAGCGGAACCGGCGATCCGCAGGTACTGCACTGCTATTGCTCGCTATATCTTGCATCTGCGCTGCTAGATCAGCCGGCCAGTTGGATTTAACGGGTAAAACGCTCGTCTCGAGTGTTATCTGTGCGCCTGAGAACTCGTGGGCTGCGGTGTCGGGGGCGTGGCGTGCGGCATGGCCGGGGAACTGGAATCCCTGTGGTTTGGCTCAGAAGATGTCGTGCCACGCGACGAGATGTGGTGAGTTGAGTGCTTTGGACCGGATGAAGAGCGAGTTGTCGGCTAGGAGGAAGGGCGTCTGGTAGTATTTGTACATGGGGATGGAGAACCAGGACCAGCTGGGTGGATTAGGTGGTGGCAAGGGCGCCGTTTTACCTTCTGCTGCGGACTCTGCGGATTTGTCTGCTATTATCTCGGGGGTCCATATGGAATATGGCACTGGATTGCCGTTGGGAATCAGGTTCTCGATGCGGATGAGCCAGGAGGGTTTCTTGTCTACATACCAAAGGAGCGCAGCGGGAAGGATCTCGTTCCATAGTCCAGCGAGGTATGTCAGGCGGCCTAGATAAGAAAATGCACGAGCTATGCCTGCAGATGCTACGATGCGGTCCTTTTCGAAGGAGAAGTTTCGACTGAGATACTTGTTGACGATAATCCACCAATCGGTGAGGAAGGAGAGGATAGTTGGGTAGGAGAGGCTTATCACACTTGCGGCATGAATTTCATAGACGCTATCTAGAAAGTATCGGGATTTCCCTTGGTCTCTGCCACGCTTGGGATCTATTATAGTTACAGGTGATATGGTTGATACTGGCACGGCATTCGGTCCTAATAGCTCGTCGTAAAAGTGATGTGAGCACTGTCGTATAAAGGTCTTGTGCCTGGACATCAATGTACGCGGACTCAAGATATGTTCTTGGAATATCTAGGCACGACAAGGTCGCGGCCAATTGTGTCACTTTTCCAAAATCCTCAAGATTGTATTGTACGAGACAAAGTTGCTGGATTGTGTTTGATACTTCGCATGCAACTCAACATAAGCCACTCCAAGGATTCACTCTCAAAGGTACGCATATTGTAGTTGCATCTTAACCGAGACCCTATTTTCTCCGCTCTCATAGCTCGCTAGTGCAAGATCTGCGCAGTACAACCCACCAACGGTGGAAGAAATACCATATGCCCGTACACACTTGACCTAGCTCTTCTACATTCATATCATCGTTGCTTAGTCAGACAAGCAGCATCTCGCTGTACGAGAAACAAGAAAAAATAACCACATGTGCTGACAGATAATAAAAAAAAAAGGGGGGGGCAAGACACGAACCTTGTGATGCAAAGTAAACTTCATACACATAATCATTTCTTGCCTTCCCCCCGTCCCCCTTCAAAACCCAATCCCCAATCCACCCACCCAATCCAAGATCTACCCCGTCGATCCAGCACCCTACCCCCCACCCCCACGTAAGTACACTACGGATTGCCACGGAACTTGGCCTCAATTGACGGATTTCCACGTCTATCCTTTTGGCGCCACTACACCACAAGCAGAGAAAGAGAGACACTGTCAGATTTACGTATAAGGGTGGGTGAGAAGCTTAAGGTTTAAACTGGGTTAGTACAGGGCGACTCGGTGGGAAAGAGGGGAGCGAGAGAGAAAGAAGGGGGAGGGGAGGGAAGGTGGTTAGATGATTACGTCAGCGCGAGGAGGGAAAAGAGAGAGATGATAGATGAAAAGAGCCGACCGGTGATTAACAATGTACAGACTATTAGGAGTACGTAAGTAGTCGTAAACAAAGAGCCAAGTTGTTAGCAGGAAATAGTAAAAAAACTTAATACGGAGAGATTCCCACATCCTCAAAAAAGAGAGATGCCAAATACCAATAATATTTCGCACCATTGTCTAATCATATTCTAAAAACATGCGTGCTGGTGCTATGCGCCTCAAGATTTTCCTGCTCTTGAGATGCAGAACGCATATAGCTATATCAAAACACGACCCAGTTCCCCTTGTCTAAGCCCTTCCCCCAAACGCCAGACATGATTATAGGGGTAATGGTCTAATGTCATATATATATACCCAAGGGGGAAACGCCCGCTACGAAGACATAAATACAACAACAAAAAATGACGTCGATGGTGCGTGTGGTCGTAAAGATATGCCGCACGTGGCACTATTGATAAAAAAGGTGCCGAAGCACACGAGACTAGTGCGGTGGGCGAGTTTAGGACAGGCCAAAGCTGTCCGTGCGAGGCGTTAAGATGGGCCGGAATGTGAGTCAAGGCAATCTGAAACTTTAATGGTCAGAGCGTGCGCCAAAATGGCGCTGACGTATTCCGACTTCATAATTGGTACTGATGAAGACCGTGAATGATGGCATGCACAAGTCGGTGCGGTGTGAGGTTGATTTGCTTAAGAATAGCAATGCTCAGATGATTTTTCAAAGAACGCGGTTTCTAACGTTATCGGTTAGCAGGATTCACAACATTAACAAGTGGACAATCTCACTTTCGGAGCGCTGTTTCCAGGCTGACAACACTGAGCTCAGAGTCATCGGGCAACTCGTTGAGAAGAGGCAGAATGGAAGCGAACTTTTCGCCGCCCTTGTATGCCAGGACAGCAGGGAGGACGTCACGGTCGAGCTCTGCTTCCTCGCCATGCATCTTGACGAAGCGAACAGTGTCATTGCGTCTTGCTACCTCACGCATGAATACGCAAACTTGTTGGTCAAGCTCAATCTATTGGCTGTTAGTGTGTTGCACATAAGAAGGGTATCGCTGCACAAACCTCTTCAGAATAGATGAATACAAGCACGGTAGTACCCGAGGCGGTCTTGTCAACGGCATCAAGGTACCCCTCACCGTCAACTAGCGGCATGGTACCGTAGACACGACGGCTAGGGCTGTTTGTCCTTGACCGCATCTTCTCGCCGACATTCTGCAGCTCCTTGAGCCTAGCCTCACGCCATTGGCGCATGAAACCTTCATCGGCATCTTCGTCGCTCGAGGCCTTGTCGTCGTGGTAGGCAGTAACGGTGTATGATGTAGGCGGGGAGTTCTTCTTCCAGGTAAACCGCCTTGCTTGCTTCTTGGCCTGCTCAAAGGCCTGGGCATCGGCAATGACACCCTTGGGGCCCGTGTTGGCCTCTGAGCGGCGGTTGGGCATGTAGTAGTTGGCACGCATATCGGCGGGAATGTCGAGTTCGTCGTCGGTGTCAATCTTCTCGAGGTAGTCGGCAGCAGCACCAGGGGATTCTGGTTCGGAGACGTCGCTGTCGTCGTGGCGGTCTTCAGGGTGTCTGGAGTCGTGGTCCTTGTCACGAAGAAGCTCGTTGAATTCGTCTTGAGCGGCTGAGGTGGACGGATTCATGGCGGAAAAAAAAGAAGCGGAGCGGAGACGGTGGGAACAGGGAGGTTATATGTGTGAAGAGGTGCCGGGTGACGCGTTGATGGTGAAAAAAAGGAAGGGGTATGTGTGCAAGGTTGCTGGGAGTCTGTTTGGGGTGTCTGGGATGGAGGAGCGCCGGTGACAGGCTTGGCGGGGCTATTTTCGAAGCGGTAGCGTGGGTTTCAGGGTAGTGATTGGCTGATGGGGGCGAGAGGGGCAGTGAGAATATAGGGCCAGGGCTGGAGGAGTGTAAGACTCGGACGCTTGGGAGATGGTGTTTAGGGCTGGTAAGGGCTGGTAAGGGCTGATGCTGACCGGAGGGCTACACGACCCTCGAGGGCGACTCCCCACTCGGCCAACATAGGGGCCGCCCGTGAGCAGAGCGTCCGCATCTCTCGAAACGGCCCTCGAAGGTCGAAACGTGCTCCCGTGCTTACTCGCCCAATTGGCTGCTCGCCGGTGGCGCCCGCTGGCCCACAGCATACGCAGCATGTCCAAGGCTGAAACATGGTCCCGAGCCATCTGCTACTCCTCCTTCGGCGCCTTGTTTCCGTATAGACAAGATCAGACAGACGTCACCTGTAGCCTCTGCCTTGCTGCTCTTGTAACGCCTCAAGTCGTCTCAGCTGCACAGGGGAGACCAGGCTGAGGGTTGTGGAACGGGAGAGTTTGGGCCTCCATCACCTCCAAAAGGGCTGACGAGAGAGAGAAAAGCTGCTTACCATGCTCACTCCCTTGCTTGCTCCTCCACGCCCTCACTCGGGGAATGATCGACTTGTTCTTACCGGGGTGGAGCGCTGTACCCCTGGTGTGTGGGTGTATGTGGGGCCTCCGGCTATGCACAACTTCGACTGACCTTCTAGAAGTATGAAGCTGGCACTTGTTTATCCTCCGCCTCTTGCGCACATGGCAGGTGCTCTCCGCGATAGCCGTTAATGCCTGGCAGCCGTTTATGCCTTATATCGCGGGTATACAAGCTCTTCCCGGAACCCATCATTTCCCCAAACTCCATGAGGCATTGCACTGCCCAACGCTAGAAATCGCCATCCTGGTTCCTGTCTGTCGAGGGGTCACGCGTCTCCTTGTCTTCCCAACGCTCGTGTGCGCACTCTAACTTCGTTATGACAAGGCTACATGTGCGCCTATCACTCCCATTAGCGCCACGACGTGCACGATTCTAGGACCCTGGAGCTGTTCCATCCCTCGGTGCTGTATACTGTTTAGCGGTGTGACATTCGGCTGGCCCATGTCCCGGGGACAACCTGGTTCCATCTTTAGGCTGTGCGCCAGTCACGAGTGCGAGCACTGCCCATCACGCATATCCCAGGCACGGCACTCATCTCCTATGCCTCAATGCCTCAACAATGCATCTCTCTCCACGGCCACCGCACAGCTCAAGGCCATAACAACACCTCATCAACGTAAAATGAAGTACATGAAAAACTCGCTAAAAAACTACCTATCCCACCCTGGCTCCTGCCATTTCCTCTTCCCACTGCCCAGCAAAATCGTACACATTCAAGTCCCATGCACTAGACAGCCATGATACATCGCTTCTTCATTGCCCCATCAATGGAAAATTACAGAGCCATTGAAAGCAGACCAAAATCCAAAACATACCCCTATTCCACATCTCCGTCTTGCACACCAACCCTCCCCCCTCCCTTCTTCCCACCAAACTGCAACAACAATTCGTCGCTTTTTTTAGACATTGGACAGAACGCAACGAGAATACACGGTCGAACGAAGATTCAAGGCACACTACGTCTTGCTCATCTACGCCCGACCGCCTGCCCGGACATCAATAGATAGGTGCGACGCAAGTGCTTGCCTTGCCCAAGAAACTAACACACCAAAGGTATGGAAAAGGGAACGTAGAAAAAAAAGTATATGAAAAAATGGAAGCACACAAAGGAAAAACCTCTCCGGGCGCCTAAACACCACGTGACAGGAGAGCCGCGTCAATGTTTCCAAGGGTTGCTGTATATTATAATCTTAGAAGTAGGGTAGCTCTCAGAAGACTCCTGGGTAAGTAAGATGCAACAAGGGGGTATGGGTATGCCAGGAGTTTGCAAAGATTGCCGTCATCGATTGTAGTTTGCCAATATTAGAAAGAATAGGCGCACACGTCCGGTTGGCGTCGTTACATGGCGTCGTGGGTATTTGGTCGTCTTGGTGCGCTTACGCCCAGATGCGCAGCTATTCCGAGTTAGTTGTTTCGTTGGCCAACAGCAGACAGCAACACTTACCATGGAGTCCCATGAACCAGTGCAGAGACTGAGCGCATCATTGCTGACGCCCAGACAGCTGACACGGTTGTCGTGTCCTTGCAATGTGCCTACACGCTCGCCGCGCAATACGTCCCATACCTGACAAGCCTGTTAGCGTACGGACCAAAAAAAACAAAGAGATCAGCATTGCCCTTACCTTGCACTCAAAGTCATCGTAACCAGCGAATAGCAGACGACCAGAAACGGAAAAGGCCACAGATGTGATGCCGCAGACGGGCTCGGGAATCTGCCAAAATGCACATTAGTAATCAATATAAAAACAGTTCTGATCATGTCACATGGCGCGTACCTGGTATGAGGCTAGCTCGCGGTCGGCGCGGATATCAAACAGGCGACACGAGGCATCGTCGGAGCCGGTACCGAAAGCGTTGCCGTTGGGGAAGAACTGAATGGCGTTGATATCGGAGTCGTGCGCAGCAAACGTCTGCACACACTTCTGCTGTCGGATATCCCAGAGCTTGGCGAAAGCATCACAAGCACCAGAGACGAATTGGTTGTGGTCGAGCGGGTTGATGCTCAAGCTCATAACGTCGCCAAGATGATCGGCAAACTCGTGTACCTTGGAGCCAGTCTCGAGATCCCAGAGCACGCACGTCATGTCGCCCGAGGATGTGAGGATGCGCTTGTCGCTGATGAATCGGCAGCAGCTGAGGTATCCAGAGTGGCCAGACAGTTCACGTGCCACGCGTGTGGGACCTTCCCTTGCCGACAGGTTGTAGATGGAGCAAATGTTATCGAGACCACCGCAGGCAACGTAGTTGCCCGAGGGCGAGTAGGCACAGGTCATGACCCACGAGGAGCGAAGGGGGATGGCGTGGACCTTGTTTGTTGTGTAGGCATCCCAGATGATCAGCTTGCCGTCCTGCGAGGCCGAGACGAGATGGCGGCGGTCCGTCGACCAGTGCATGGCGTAGATCTTGGCGAGATGGCCCTTGAGGGTGCGCTTTGTTTTCATGGTGAGGCGCGGCAGGGCCTCGACGCGATCTCTGGCAACATCGCGGACTGGAGCAGCGTGTTAGCAGTGGACATGGCAGGCGTTGGAATGCAGCGACAGGCATTGACAGGCGCGGATCACGTACGGGTTGTGTCAGCGAGCTCATCCTTCTTGCGCTTTATCCGGTCCTTGAGGGCCTCAGCGTCGCGTCGAGCGAGCTGGATCTTCTGTTGTATGGTTTCCTGGTTCATGTCGGCCATGGGGGCAGGCGTTGAGGGCGGATCAGGTCAAGAGGGCAGGAGGCGCGAAAAGGCGATACGGGCGGATCCAGGGGCCTGCAAGGAGCGCGGTGGAGACGGGCGGGTGAGGCGGCAGGCGAGGAAGCGATGGACAAGTGGCAGCAGCAACAGCAACAGCAGCGGAAGAGGGCGCGCAGAGCGAAGTCAATTGCTGGCGCGGAAACTCAGCGGCAAGCAGACAGGCGGTCGTGGGGGTGCGTGAAGATGGAAGGGATGCGAGGGCTTTGGAGATGGGCGAGGTTACAGGAGCGGCCCGGGGGTGAGCTCAAGCTTGGCTTAGCCGAGAACGCCAGCCAGCGCTGAAGATCAGAGGCCGTTCGTCGCGGTTGGCTGTGGGCAAGGGTGCGCCGCACGGCAGTATTGCGGGCGAACGGCAGCAGCGCTGAGGGGCAGAGCAGATTGCCGAAGCAGTGGGGGGTGAAGTCTATGTAGCACGTACGTAGTAGTATAGTAGGTGAGTATGTGTATATCTGGAGTGCAGCGAGCGATAGGGGAGGGTGCGAGGGAGTGGGAGTGGGCCTTTTCTGCCCCGTCGAGACTGGGACGCGGCATCGTCCCTCTCCTGCGCACACGCTTGACCTTGACCAACAAGGCGCGCCTGCTGCAATCTCCTGCAGCGCGCCTCCTCTTTGGGGCCTGCCCACCGTCTGGGCCAATGAGCTCCGAGCTGCCTGTTTTGGCTTCCAACCCGCCCGCCCAAGGCCACTCGTTAATTGATTCCACCCTCTGCTTCGAGAAAACCTCTGAAGCGCCACTAGATCGGTCCACCCAAGTCTGGTAGACAGTATATGATTCCCTGTCTGCCTACTACTTAGTTACTTAGTTACTTAGTTACTTACTACTACCTGCTTGCCCATCGCCCTGTCACTCCCCCATGTCTGTGCCTGCCCTGCCCGTCCATGCCGCCTTCGCGAAGCGGCTGCCCAAGATCGAGGTATGCCCACAATGCTCTCCTCTAGCCCCCCTGATTCGGCAGCCAGGCCGCCAAGCCACATTAGACTCTGGTTCGCAGCGCCACTAACGCCACGACTCAGCTCCATGCTCATCTTACCGGTAGCATCAGCCGCGAGTGCCTGCACGACATCTGGACCGCCAGCAAGGCTCAGCGTCAAGATATCGATGTGCAAGATCCTCTAATCGCCATTCCGCCTGGCAAGGTCGACTATGACATCAAAACGTCAGCCTCGGTTCCATTACCTGGGTGCTTGTCAGACGCTAGCACACAGCTAACCGGGCCGCTAGATTCTTCCCCCTGTTTTCCTCATACATCTACCGTCTTTGCAGTGACCTGCCCAGCATCGAGTATGTGTTTCTTGTCGCACACCGGGCTGGGTATTGATATAGGCCAGGTATTCGACCAAACATGTGCTGCGTGCATTTCAAGAAGACGGCATAGTCTACACAGAGCTCCGTACAACTCCAAGAGCAATTCCCGAACAAAACGTCTCTAGGGAAGACTATGTTAAAACCGTGCTAGACGTGCTCAAGGCCCACAATGCCGACAGCACAAATACCATGCGTGCTTTTCTCATCCTCTCCATCGACCGCCGCAACACCATCGCGGAAGCTGAACAAGTCGTCAGCCTCGCCATCAAATATCAGTCTGCAGGGGTCGTGGGCATTGACCTCTGCGGCGATCCAACCAAAGGCGATGTTCGTATCTTTGGCGACAGCTTCGCTCGAGCAAAGGCAGCAGGCCTCAAGCTGACACTGCACTTTGCCGAAGTCGAAACTTCGGCCTCAGATACGGAGCTGCAAACTCTACTTTCGTGGAAGCCTGACAGGCTGGGCCACGTCATACACGTCAAGGATGAGTTTCAGAAGATGATTCAACAAGACAACATTGGTGTAGAACTCTGTCTCAGCTGCAACGTGCAAGCAAAGATGATCACGGGCACCTACTCCGACCACCATTTTGGGACATGGCGGCGCAGCACCGTTCCCGTGGCCTTGAGTGTATGTCCATTTCTTTGCTTCACACAGCACTACTGGTAGCTGATTTCTTGCAGACAGATGATGTTGGCGTTTTTTGCAGCCCGTTATCACAAGAGTACTGTCTTGCGGCGCAGCATTTCCAGTTAGACCGACATGAAATCAGAGCGCTGTGTGAGCGAGCAATCGACTCAATCTTCGCCGGCCCGGAAGAACATGCCCGTCTTAAGCAAATCTATGCAACTTGGGATGGATGGGATGCGTAAGTATAAAGAATTAAATTTTGCTTCAATCGGTGATTCTGATATGTTTTCTTTCGTGAACAAATGTGTCAACCTCGCATAGCTCATTGGCAAGGGTTTTACCATCTAGTCAAGATACTTATCCTGATATGTTTCATCAGGACATGCTTAGCTCAAAGGCGGATAGAAACACAGACTTACCAGCATGAGCCGCCAAACGGGTCTTTTCATACCGCGCATCCTTCGCTGGTGTGTTGAATACATCGCAACGGATGTGGTAGTACTAGCGCTCTGGTGACACACAGACTGATAACGGGTGCTGATATCTCGGCAGAGAGTCAAGCCGCCAGAATGCCCGGTTCCCTCCACAGTAGATCTTCACCCACGCGCCGGGGCCATGTTCATGAGGTAGCGATTGCAGCGGGTGCTGACTATCGTATCCGTAATACTCCACTACCTGCTTCATGCGCGGATCGGCCCTCCTCTTTCCTAGCGCAACTACATTCTCCGCTTCCCTTACAGCACCATCGGCATACTTATGTAATAGAATAAACATTTCCAAATACAGGCACCGGGAACCGGAAATGCACACGACCAACAGGTGTACCTATGGTCGCACCACACACGACAATGAAATGCACAACTCTTGCGCTAGCTGCTTTCCAACCGTTGGTCCTTCCTGCTTCTTTTAGACTCCACTGTAACAGTCGTGCTTTCCAACTGCACAACACACAAATATACTATCTTCATACTCTCATCATGATCGTCGTCGAGTGACCGGGCCGGTGCAAAACGTAAACATCGTCGGATAATAAAGCCATAACCCAGGATGCGGTCTAGTCCTTAGACGGCCAATATTCGGGCCCACTATCATCAAGCCAAGCGGAAAATTTTGCGCACGCCTTCCTGGTCCGAGGTAAGGCCTGGCCACCTGCATCGCTTATCAGATGCAATAAAGGTTGGTACTGTACCTGTACATCTGATAATCATCCGCTTTATCAGATCCACTGCGATCATCTGGTACGACGTAGCTAAACATGGGTGTCCTAGGGTGTAAGTACATTGTTTGTGAAGATTTGCGGTATGGCTCTGTATTAACTAGTTTGTGTAGCTTCCAAGTCAAGTAATGGTGATGCTAGCAAAGCCATGGAAAAGAAGCTTATCATAAAGCTTGGTATGTATACCACGGCTTCTGTTGTTGCATAGTCATACTAATATTCGTGCGGCCAGATATCTTTATCATGGTCAGTTGTCTTGCAGATATTGGCCCCTCATGGCTAAATCTCGTTCTAAGGTCTATTGCTGCGCGTGCTACTTCTTCAACTACCTCGGTGAGTCTTGGTGTTGGGTTGACTATATGTAGCAACACTGATCTGACACGGGGCAGATCGTCAGGCATTTGCAAATGCATACGTCGCTGGTCTACGGGAAGACCTTAGCCTTAAGAAAAACGAGTACAGCATTTTGCTGTCCATGTATACCAGCGGGTAGGTATCATCTGCGAAAGATTTCCTGTCGTCTTAACTAAAGCAAACGTGTAGTCTAGTCGTTGGCGCGATTCCACACAGTCTCATCATCCAGAAAATTCGTCCTAGCATATGGCTTCCGCTCACCTTGATACTCTGGTCCGGTCTTACCATGTGTTCTGCAGCATGCAAGAACTATCCACAACTGTGTGCAGTCCGTTTTTTCCAGGGATTGATGGAAGCCAGCCTTTACAGCGGCACCATGTACGTCATGGGATCATGGTAGTAAGTATAGAAATTATTCATAGAAGCTTGCAAACCTTTTAGAGTCTACCCTCGGACATGTAAGACTTACCATATTTCTTAGCAAACCATCCGAGATTGCGAAACGAGTAGCCATTTTTACTGCGATAGGACAAGCGGGAAGTATGTTTGCAGGCCTCATGATGACGGCCATGCACAAGACCATGAATGGTACTGCAGGCTTGAAAGGCTGGCAATGGGTTTTTATAATTGGTAGGCATGTCGATGTCCCTTCAACGCACGACTTTACTCACACATATAATATAGATGGCCTCATGGGAATCCCATTCGGACTATTTGGCTTTGTAAGTCCCCGCTATCCGAGCGCGTTGGTTCTCAGATGCTGACAAGCTACAACAGTTCACATTTCCTGATCTTCCAGCAACGGCCAAAGTATTCTATCTCAGTGAAGAGGAAAAGCAATTTGCGGCATCTCGTCTACCACCCAAGAAAGCCAACACACACAGCATCAACCCGAAGAGCCTTATGAAGCGCGTTCTCGGAACGCCTCACATGTAAGCAAGCATTTTAACTCAACAAGCATGTGAAGCTTTTACTGATACCCTCGCAGATACATCTTGACATGGTTCGCCGTCACTTCCGGCATGCTCGAAGCTTTCGCCTTCCAGGTATACTCGATCCCCCTCTGCCTCCACCCCAACGAAGTATCTACTCACACGACCAAACTAGGGCATGTTTCTTCTCTGGCTCAAGTACCATGCCAAACGTTTCTCGCAGACAGCTATCAACACCTACCCCCTGGGCACCCAAGCTGTAGCCATTGTCTCCCAAGTCACCGCCGGCTTCATCATTGACCGCACCGGCCAACGCCTTCCCATGGTCATAGCCGGAGCCCTCTTGCAACTCGTCACCGCCGCTTTGCTCCTCGTGCGTAACCTCTCCGATGCAGGCATCTTCACTGCGTTCTACCTCAGCGGCACCAGCTTCGTCGTCAACCCCATCATGTTCAGCTGGGCAAATGAAATTTGCTCGCGGAGCGGCGACGATGCTGCGAGGAGCGTGGTGCTGTATGTCATGAGCATGGGAGGTCAGCTGCTATACACTTGGTGGGGTATTGTCTTGTATCCTGCTACAGACGTCCCGTACTGGAAGAAAGGCAGTATCACGATGATTGTGGTGTGCGGTGTGTTTATAGGAACTGCTTTCATCGTTAGATGGGTAAGTCATTATGATCCTGAAACTTTGAGGATTTTTTTTCAAACTGACATCATAAATAGCTTGACAGGAACACTGCTGTGGTTACCGACGATGAGACAGTCGCATCTAGTGATGGTGCGTCAGCAACTGCAATTGGAGAGACGCCGAAATCTGGCTAAGTCGCAATGCTTTTATTTGAGTCGGAGAATGGGAACCTGCAAATGATGTATACATGATCTGCACGCATCTTATGATAATATATGTTATGGTATCGCTCTAATGGTTTATATCTGTTCTACTTGAGTGTATCAGATTGTTGTTTTGCGAAAAGAAAATTGCAGCTGTGTTGTGATATACCATTTTGTTGTTTTCTACTTTGTAATTCCCTCGTGGACCTGCTACTTGACAAAGATACAAGCCAAAGGGTGACTGTGCTCCTCAAATATGAAATATGTACTTCTTTGAGACTACATTTGGTAGGTGTCGAGTCCTATGAGTCCAGCACTCAGATCAGACCAACTATACCCAATACTCTACATATGAGACGTACTCACCCGTTGTCGACGCGGTACCTAGTTCGACAGGATTGGTTCTGTTTGAGCTGATGTATATTTCCTGCGACCTGTTCTACTAGAAAGTCCCTTTTCGTCAACTTTCAACTTCCTGTGTGTTCAGCGAATGAGCGGTTCTTTTGGTTTTTTTTGCATGTCGTAGTAGCGTGGGCATTCTTCTAAACATGTTGGCCAGAAAGTATGAGAACGTTGTCTTCCTTATTCTTTAATCTTCATGCTCCCCACGGTACATTATGTATTCAGGAAGTCAATGTTGTTTTGTGCTCATCGTGGTATTTACGTATAAGACCAGGGCTACTGAACATATTTATCTACAACCATTTTTGCTTTAGTTTTCACCAACTCCAGGAATTCAAGCTGTCAGCCTTCCCCAATCAATACGCTAAGCATTCTAGACCGCAGTGCAATGCCGGTGTGCAAAGAAGACTCACATGCGTCGACGTTGATAAGACTCAAGTGCCGGCAGAGTCCAACCGAGCTATGCTACTACGCGTGTCAGCAGCGGCACAATGCAGAGTCAAGACAGAACTCTATTTGCTCGAAATCTTATTTCAGAGAAGACAGAAGCTTATCGCCGCCGTCTAGTGGATGTGGACGCTAGCGGTCGTTATACAGGTAGCGTGTGCACAATGGCCGAGAGTCATGGTAAGGCTGGATACAACAACCCGACTACTAATGCAGGTACCGGGCGAAGGAACAAACTTGGGTGACGAATCCGGGCTTCACTCACAACAACCGTTTCCAACGCCGCCTCCGCCTCCGCTGTCCCTTGTGTGTGAAACAGTGCCTGATACACCTGCGCCCGCTCGCGGATTCCAGTCAAGCAGGTTTGTTCAACAAAGTAGTGCCATGTCTTTGTTCAAGGCGACAAGAAAAAAAGAGGCCGAGGCACGTCAACGCAACGCCAAAAACGGCCCAGCACGCACGTGCCAAATCCTCGTTCCCAGCGCGCCCCCAACAGCCAAGCCCTGTCAGGGGCAAAAGACGCAAGACGCACAAAATATGTGGAGAAAGAGAAAGAAAGGAAAAAAAAAGGGCCCTCCCCCCAAGCTTGCTGTATCCGGCTTTGGTTTTCTTCCCCCCCCCCAACCGTAAATCCAGGAACACGAGGTTTTGTCAACAAATCTGCGTGTGTTCGTGCTTTTATGCTGGATTACCAGAAACCAAAGCGCCCTGCTATTTATCACCCAACCAAAGCCATCTGCGCACACTACACAAAGCCCCAGAAAAAGAAGAACAAGAATAACTAAGCTCACCCAATAGCATACCCCCAAAGCCATCCTCGTATACCTACTCGTCCAACCCTGCCCCCCCAAGCGCCCTTTCTTCAGCTTGCACCTTGCCAGACCCGGAGAACCAACCATTCGTGATTCGCACACATGAGAGAGAGTGAGAGAGAGAGCAGCCCAGCCCAGGCCACCCCGAAACGCAACCCCGTATACTTTGTGCTCTAGGGTCCCCGTCCAACGGAGATTGACCGAAAAACGCCATGTGCGCACGCTGAGTGGCTGCCACTTTCGCAAGCGCCGCGCCCGCTAGCGACAAAAAGGCCTTTGCTCATTCTTTCCCTTTGCTGATGGAAGCGATTCAATGGGCTTGCGATGGCTGTGGCTTTTTTTTTCTTTGGGCGGATGGGCATCGTATAGGTCACGCACTCTTTTCTTTTTTGCTTTAGGGGGGTTAGGGTTGCGATTGTGGGGGAGGCTTTTATTGGGCGTAGTAGATAGTTACTACAAAAGGGTATATGAGGTGTTCGTTTGCTTTGTTTTGTTCTGTTGCCTCTTTTTTTTTGCTGACTGCTTGGCTCTTATCTTTTGATTGTACGACTTGTTCAACGCATTATTATTAACTGCTTCAGGTATATGCGTTACGTGACTCTTGGGCATATAAACAGCTTTGTCCCTTAAATTATCGTTGTTGCAAGCGAACTTATAGGGGAGGAATATTCCTTGGCTATCACATCTAACCCCCTGGATTCCCATCACTGGTTGGAAACACAACTGTTACTAGTTGTCCTTGAAGAACCTGTTTCAACTCTCCCTCTCCGAAAAAGACAATGGTTAGGGTTATTCTTGCAGTAGCGGGCTTCGTTGCCGTCGCGCTTGCCCAGCAGTCAACTTGTAAGTTTGTTCATGTCTCTGCATGAGGCATAGATACCTAAGGCAGGAACATGTTTGCTGATACAACCTTCCTTTCAGATACGGGCCCAATTTTCGACGAAGATACCGCGCCCTACTTCGGTAGCTCTGGACTTGTGTTCCCTACAAGTGCTGATGGTACACCTGCGTTTCCGAGCGCTCCAACTATCACTCCCTCAGCCAGCTCTTCGACAATCCCTACTCCCATTTCCAGCTCCGTTTCCGGCTCCGTTTCCAGCTCCATGCTCAGCTCCATGCTCAGCTCTGTGCTCAGCTCCATTCCCAGTTCCATTCCTAGCTCTACGCTTTCGACAGCCGTCTCGCAGAATTCCACTATTTCGTCCTCCTCAACCACTTCGAGCGCCTCAACCATTTCGAGCCCAGCAACCACTCTGAGCTCTTCGTCTCGTTCATCTACATCTGTCAGCGTGTCGCGTACTTCGAGTTCTACGACTGAAGATGCTACTACAAGTAGGCTAACCCCTTCTTCGACTTCGACAGGTGCGGCCGCCACCAACTTTCCAGAGGCTCTTGGGATCATGGTTGGAAGTCTTGTGGCTGGTATGGCCATGCTTTAGGTGCTTATGTAGCGGCCCGCGATTTTGATCTGCATGTCAGCAATAATTTAAAATGAGTATATGTTATTAATGCTTCAGTATCCATAGAGACAAGACACTGCACAAGAAGAAAGAATTCATCCATGGATCGTTTCGACGTAACAAAAAAGGGTATAATTGTGATGTACTCGTGGAAGATGACTTGAACCCTTTTAATGGAAGTCATCGACGCGCATACTTTTTGACCCAGCAAATCCAACGCCTTTAAACGCCGCCACGATGCAATTGTATTCAATCTGAGGCTTATTCTTCCATAGCTCCGACCTCTGTTACCGACTCTGTCGCCTTCGAGTAGTAGGCCTTGAGGTCAATCTTGAAGTCGGCCATGGCCACACCGAACAACTTGAGCAGGGCTGTCTGATGACTGTTCATAGGCTTTCCCTCTTCGGCAATTGTGTATGGAGCATCCAGAATGATCTTGCCCTTGTCGAGCCTCGTTGGCATACCCCATTTCCTGATGGTGGTTTCCATGCTGTGCGGTAGCGGTACATCGTCTTCCTCGGGCAGCTCTCCGCCTCTTGAGTAAACGATTCCAGCGGGTACAGTGAAGGTTTGTGTAGCGACTACACCGGCACGCGCAAAGTCGGTTTGGGAGTAGTTGGCAAAGTACTCGATGATCTCGCTAGGCTCACGGTTTGTGAAGAGGAGGCCTACGTTTCCATTGAGGTGTTCAGTGAGCTGTGAAAGATTGGTGAGGTGCTCCTCTGCTGGTGTCTGGCCGAGCGCCTTGGCCATGACTTTGGTCTTGCCGAAGAAGAATCTGCGCAAACGTCTGTGGTCAGCGGGATGCGGCGAACAGGGCTCAAAACGCCATACCTGCTGTCTGCAAACTCAGCGCGCACTTCCTTGAGGTACGAATTGCGCATGTTCTCCACTGCGAAAACAAAGATGTGCTCAAAGTTGTCCGCCGCTTCCTGAACATTGGCAAAGAGCTTCAAGGAGAGCTCCTTGCCCTTCTTGTCGGTCTTGGTAAGGTGTACGACCTTCGCGCGCTTGGACTTGGGCATGTTGGCGGTGTTTTTCGGGGTTGTCGCAGGTTGTATGTGGTGCTTAAGAAAAGTTCGAGGACCCAGGTTGCGACGTCCAAAAAAATGAGCGGGGAATTTTGGCGAACCGCCGATTGGTCCGGCCACGGCTCACCTCCGTTGTGCAACTTTGACATCGCTTCGGGTCTGCAAACCTCCAGACCCAACCTATAGCCACTCGATATGGTTTGCCGATGACATAGACATGTTGGATTTCATGGAGAGCGTGCAGCATGCTTTCTACGAGGCATCGCACTGGAATGTGGACAGTTCGTATGGCGCACTGAACGCGTCTGCGCGAGGTACGTCACACCTAATGTTGCTTTACCATGTTGCATGCTGATGGCACATTGTAGCATTGCTCGACTTCGACATACCCAGAGGGCTGCGCATGCAAATATCCTCTCTCGCTGCCCCAAATTTTGCCACATCATACACTTTGGGTAGTGTGGGTGTCGTCGATGGTTCAGTCTCCTACCTCTACTCGTCGTTGCCGCTGCGCAAGGAGTTCAAGACATCCCACATTGATCTGCACAGTGTCGTACGAGGTTATAAGCACACTAAAGAGCTGAGACGACCGGACGAGCAGTGGTGGTGGGAAGTATGGCATGCTGGTCAACGGATAGACCGGAGAAGTAAGCATTTTGACTTTATCCAACCCGCAGCACGACTAAGTATGAACAGATACCCTGTTGTACGGGCGCATATTCCTCCCCCAGTCTCGGCTCGAAGCACTCTATCTGCGACGTCTTACCCCGACCCGCCAGCTTAGAATTGCTGCTGTGAGCGACTCCAACCTTAACAATGGCGGCACAATCCTTACCCTTCTGCAAAACGACTTCGGCAAATATAGCACAGAGTATATGTACAGCACAGACTCTGCTCTGATGGGCGTTCGCGGCTTATACAACTTCGGTTCTGACCCCAGAGTTTCGCCGACGGAACCTGTGACCGGGTTGCACACGGAGCCTGCTTATGGCCGATTCAGTGCAGGCGCAGAGCTGTACTATGGTATTCTCAATAAGAGCGGCGGCATCAGTACGGGGTTGCGATTCGCTACCCTTCCCAACCATTCGGGATTTCCGTACACTATGACGCTGACGCTAAACCCATTGATGGGAAATATTTCTTCCACCTACGCTGTCAAGGCCGGCCCGAACCTCGCTCTCTGCTCCCGGTTCGACTTCAATTTCTACTCTTACGAAAGCGAGCTACAACTTGGTTGTGAACTATGGCGCCTACGTAATACGGCTGATATTGACTGGGCTGTGAAGAAGCTACGCACAGACTGGAAACGCCCAGCAGACTCACCCACGGACGAGGTTTCTGGGGTATTAAAGGCCAAGGTTGATCAAGATTGGCGTGTAGGGGTGCTGTGGGAGGGAAAGATTAAAGAACTACTCTTTACCCTTGGCGCAAGCCTGGACCTCAAGAAAAGAGAACAGATATTCCGATCGATTGGTGTGGAGCTGCAGTATGCCTCATGAGGGATGACAATCGCAGGCATTTATTTTTCGCTTACCCGAGACGAACCAGCAAACTCGTTAGACAGCGGAGCCCAGTCCTCAAGGCACGCTGAAATTAGACGGCTCACAAGTATACTTTGATGACCATTCTAGAAGCGCTCACTTGAAGATGAAACTTGCCTAAATAGGCTTCTAGAAGCCTGTTACGTCAGGGCTGGTCGTACCTAAACGACAACATGAGGGCGTGCGTCGTGTCCATGCGATATCGACTCATTGTCTGGCGAACGCGGCAGGCGCATCCCAGACTAGGACTCGAGTAAGTCGTCACGCCTGCACTATGCCGTGTCCTGTTCCATGGGGGCATAGCGTTGAAACAAATCTTTAGTCTATCCGCTCCTGGTGGCAGTGACCTGGGACTGTTTTGGCTTGTTTTTCATGCGCTCATACGATTTGCAACATTCTGTAACACATGGCAGGCTGCAAGGCGGAGTGATGAACAAGACTCGAGAGTGCTGATACCCACAAGCCGGGTGGAGTTGAGGCTTCGGAACGTGAGCGCTTATGTCGATCCTGTCCCAAGCGCAGACGGAACGGAATCTCTTGCAGGTCAAGAGTCAGTTTCCAGGTTGGTGGTTGTCTTCGCTTGCTCACTCGTTTGATGCAATCCAATACGCACACCGCCACGCCTGGCGCAAGACTATGAATCCAGAGCGCAGGGAAGCAATAGGCACCATAGATTGACAGCTGTAGGGCGACGAGATGATGGGTGACCCTACTACGTCGGCGCGTCGGATATCAGCTAAAATATATGACTTTGTCAGATCTGAATCACGTCCGTTCCATAGGGCTTGGGCCGGGTGTGTCAGGATGTAGGCGCTCAGACGACACTGGCGCCCGCCGTCATCGGGATCCTCTCGTCCTTTGGGGACGCAGGCGAGTGATCTGCGACGAGGGCTCCCGAGTCGGTGTCGACGAAGCCAGAAGGGGAGTTGCGACCGACGATTTGAGAAGAGCGAGGTGGTGGGCGCATGCCACGAGGTCGGCTGGGCAGGCTTTGGGAGAGGGCCTTGTATGCTCGCATCGACGGCGGAGGCCAAAACTAATTTAGGCCACCGTGCGCTCTGTCGTGCGTCCCGCGGCCGCCGCGCGGTGAGCGATGCCAGACCGAGCAGTCGACCGAGGGGCAGTCGAGGACAGCGACAGCGACAGCGACCGTGACAGCGACCGCAGTCGTCTAGCGCGGCGAGGTGGCAGGTGGAGCCTGCTGGCTGTACTTGGACGGTAGGCGTAGGCTGTTTGGGGAGGACATGTACATGAGGCGCGCCCCAGAGCAGCGTCGTGCCAGCTTGATGCGGCCCTCACCCGTTGAGACAACTCTGGCGATGGCTGGAGTGGCTCGGCGAGGGTCGTGGCAAGGACTGCCCTATCGCAGGCCTGCCGTCTCCTGAGCCGTGGAAGGTCGGGTGTCGTGGCCCCCGGTCGCTGCGCTGAGTGGCTCCGATCGCTGTGCCTGTGCCTGTGTGCCTGGCGTGGTTGGCGGCGGCGGGGCCTCGGCTGCTAGTAGATGCAGACGCAGCATGCATCGAGACGTAAGTATGCGTCGACTTGTGTCGGCCGTTGCGGATAGCTGCACGCCCAGTTGCGGGCGGCGGGCAGGCTGGTGCTTTGGGTTCAGGGCTTGGGCGGACATGGTTTGCGTCCCAGGGCCACACAGACAGAAGCATTCTGGTGCGTCACCACTGGTCTCGCGCCTGGCGTCAAGTTGTGGTGCCGTTGGGCTAAAACAGTCTGTGGGCGGCATCCTGGGCCTTGTAGCGCCCTGCCCAGACCACGCTAGCCGGCGCGCACCTTCCCCCCGGCCTCATGCCCCTTCCCTTAATCTCCCCTTTCCCACCACCCACGGTCGCTCATTTACACCAAAGGCCCAGCTCCTACATCCGGATTCCCCATCGTCACCTCGTTGTCGGTGTGGTTGCTACTACGTTCCCTTTTCTCGTCGACTTCTGCGAAGTGCCGCCACTCCTTTCGGCCTTTGCCCACGTTCCTTTCTACACACTCCTCCTTTGGCCTTTGCCTGTCCGCTCTTTCGCTCTCGCGCCCACTTCATCTCCCTGTCGACACAGAATCGCTTTTGGACGATTGTCATCCATCTGCTCCCCGGCCAGCAGCTCCATTCATCACACGTACATACATACATACACACGCGCCTGGACCGTGTCTCGAGTCTCAAACACCCACAGCAGCCTGCTCCTGTGCACCTTGGACTCGCAACCTTCTCGTCTCAACTATCTTCACCCCCAACACTGTTTGGACCATCACTTCATCACGACACTTTACGAACATTGATAGACAGGAGGTGTCAGCTCGATTGCTCCCTCTAGATCTCCCACTTCATCCCAACACACACACAATTCAAGTCTTGCTCCTGCTCTCCCGCAGACATGCAGTCACACGACGACGCCATGGTGTCCCCCACACCCTCACCCCCAGCACAGTCTTCAACCCCGACTCAGGGGTCTGCCCCCCGCCGACCACCTCGCAAGAGCACCCTGACTCAGCAACAAAGAAACCAAAAGCGACAGCGGGCCACCCAAGACCAACTCGTCACTCTTGAAGTCGAATTCAACAAGAATCCTACTCCCACAGCTGCTACTCGCGAAAGGATAGCCACAGAAATCAACATGACCGAGCGCTCAGTACAGATCTGGTTCCAGAACAGGTAGGCGCAAAACGCTTCTTGCGAGAGCGCAACACTAACTTCAACATAGACGTGCCAAGATCAAGAACATTGCAAAGAAGAGCATTGAGAATGGTGACGACTGTAACGACATTCCAGAGTCCATGCGAAGATATCTTGCTCTTCAAGCCATGGAGTCCGGCAAATCGATTGGAAACAACTTTCTTGGCCGAACTGGCGGTATGCCATATGGTGGCGGCATGCTCCTCAACACCGACGCCAACAACTCCAAGGTTGTCATTCACCACTTTGCCTGCCGCTCGCTGAGCATTGGAAGCTGGAGGAGAGTCGGCCAAAGTGCCATGGACCTGGTCGTTTTCTACTCACCTGAGAAGTGCTGCATCACCTACTACATCAACAACGACTCAGCCGGCTACAAGATTGAGTACCCCTTCTCGTACATCAAGAACATTCAACTCGAGAACGGCGACATGACCGCCAACGCTGAAGGCGCATCACAACGCCCAGGAGGCTTGATTGTCGAGCTCAACCGTCCTCCCAACTTTTTCATGGACTCGTCTGGTTCCGGTGGTTTCTTCCAATGCGGCGACTTTACCGAGGACCAGCAGGCATCAAACATCATGGTGCATCACCTGGGTGGTCACCCAAAGGTTTTGAGTGGGCAGTTGGCGAAACTCATCTCACTGGAATCGTTTCAGAACCGACACAACATGTATGACGCCAATAATTTTGCCGTCTCGGCACCAGTGTCGCCAATCAACCACCGCCCTGCTTCCCAACCAAACCACCTTGTGCACCCCCACATGGGTGTGTTTCAAGAGTCGCATCTTGCGCCTCCGCCTTTCCAGCCGCGTGGTCACAAGCGCCAACGCAGTCGCTCAGTGCCTGTTGCCATGGACTTTTCCATGCTTCGCAACCCTATGCCATCATTCATGATCCAGCAAGAGCCATCGCCTTACATGCCTAGCCCTGAAATATTTGCACCACAACCACAGAGTGCTGGCCCTATCGGTCCTCACCTGAGCATCGACACATCTGCTGGTTACGGCATGGACTTTAGACAATACCCCATGTCGGCCACAACAGCCAACTCACCGTCGGAATATGGCACGCCTGCCTTCTACTCGTCAGGCCCGCCAAACGACAGCGCCCCTGCGTCTAATTACGGATCGTACAACATCCCTCCATATGTACACACCCCAATGGGACCACCTCCTCACTCTGCATCGGGACACTCGCCAATGCCAGCCATGAGCCATCCTGACCCGATCATTGCCAACCAATCGCCCCCACTTGGTTCCTATGGCCGCGAGAACCATGGCGATGTGTACCCCATGTCGCACGACAATGGCATGTCAGATGAGGCGCTGCAAATGACGGACATGTACGCTAAGCAAAGCCTCAACATGCCCTTCCGGTCACCGCTGCTTGACGAAAACCACGAGGACCTGGACATGCAAAATTTGGTGTCTTTCGGCACCATTGATCCATCAAGCCTGTCACCCGAACATCATCAGATGTAAGGGAAGCGGCTCGGTAGTCAAGGCGTGTTTGTCAATTTAATTTTTGCTTGCTCATATACCCGGTCGTCGTTGTTTGCGATGAGCAAAGCTCTCGTGCCATGTGGAGCCCTGGACTTGAAACAGTCCTGGGTTCTATTTGCGCGCCAGAGCTTACCTTGTTGTCGCGCCTGTAGTTAATGTGTCGCATCTTCCGCATTTGGTGTTGTTGCTTGCCAGACGCATGCGTTGCACTCTTCACTAGTCATCTTGTTGTAATGGAAATTGGACGACCACCACACCGGGATTGGTTATTGATACGGCGTTGCAAAGGTCTCCTTAGATGGCTAGGGGGCCTGTACACAGAGGGGCAGGCGGTTTGGTGAATATGCTGGTGTTTGAATAGACGTCGGCAACATCAACCAGGTCGTCTTTGTTGTTCTCCTTTTTCTTTCCATCTTCTTCAAGCATCGTTCTCTTTGGTGTTGCGAGCTAGCATTCTTCTTTGTTTCTCTTTTTTCTTTTGTTGTGTATCTCCAAGAGGGTTGGCGTTTCCTGCCAGGTGGAGGAACATGCTATTCTTTTTTTTACTTCTTGAGAAGCAGTGTTGTCGTAGGTGGTTCACGTGGAGGAAGGTAAAAGCCGCTGCGCGGGCTTTGGTGGTTGCTCTAGATGGGGTCTCGGACGCTGTAGTGCTTTTTCTTAGCTGCAGCAAAATCAGTGATAAATATCATATCATCATTTCAAGTCAATATGGTGTGTCCTTGGCATGTGAGCGTCAGTGAGTGAGTGTATGTATGTATGTGGCTGGGAGAGAAAGAAAGGGGAGCATGTTTGTTGGAGGCATTGCGGGGGAAGGGTGCAGAGTTATAGAGAAGTGAAATTAAGATGGACAATTGTTTCGGTGCCCAGGGCTATTGAGATTTGAGTTCATCGTAATCTCGCGAAAGGATGGTCGCACTATGACCTAGTACAGACTCCCATTTGACAGCGCAAAATGAAGGCGCAACGGGTCAACCCGTTGAACGTCACCCGAGCAAACGTTGTCAGATTACGAACATCTGATGGCCAATCAGTTCGACTCGAGTCACAACCCACATGGCCAGGCGCAAAATGGGCTTTTGTGTAGCGCAAGACGAGCCTGAACGCATGAAGTGCGGGCGGGACATGAACCAAAATATTGGAGCAACAATTGTTGGTACCGAACATGGCAAATGTACCTGCAGATGGCAAGGCAAGCCTATAGGATCGTCGCCTTTGCCCAATGGAAAGTGGTGTGACCTATATCCTGGCTTATTGTGCCAAGCATGCCTGGCTCATGGACACTCACATAATCAACGGACGGCTCTGTCAACGGAGATGATTCAGTCATGATGTCGAGCATATCCATGTTGCGAAGAAACGCGAATTTGGCCGCAGTGACAGACAGTGATGGTGTTAATGACGATGACGTGCAAGGGAAACAGTGGGCATCGCAAGGGCGCGGCACATCGACGGCGCGCTTTGGCCTCTCAAGATGCAGGGCTGGACCACGCTGTGTTGCAATACCAGAGAGGGATGTTTTTTTTCTTGCCGTCCCCTTTCGGCTCGCACGAGGAGCGGACCTGGGACGGACAAGGTGCTGTGGCGAGGCGGCAGCGATCACCATCCGATTCCCCTGACCTGAGGCTGACTGGAGGGCCCGCCTAGGGGCTCTGCTCATTTCGTCTGACCAACCACAAGCTCCGGTGCCCCTTGCTAACGGCACTGATAAGTGAGCTTGCAGCTGTTGTTGTCTCTGCCCGCGTGCATGGTGACTTTCTTCTCCTACACCCTACATTTTGTCGTTCATTACACCCTCGCCGCTGAATCCGGGGCCCTCGAGTGTCTTGTTTGCTTGCTTGCTTGTGCGCGCATTCTGCAGGGAAAGCTGCTTGTGCCTGCGCCAACACACTGCTCCACCACCACCACCACCACCACCACGCCCGCCGCTTACCCACCTCAAAGAGCGTTGCAAAACAAGCACTCACGGTAACGCCCGTCTGACGTATACCATTCCGCCTGCTGTGCGGTTCGAATAACGTAGGTGCACATCTCTCCTTAAGCCTCGAGCAAGCCACCTTGGTCGACGCTATCCGGCACTGCCGCCCTTCCCACCCGCCAATGTATGACCGCATCAGTCCCTCTCTCCCCCATGAAACACAACCCTCACCCTTCTCATCTTGTTTCTTTTTTGCTGGTAGCTGCACCTGATTGCTCCTGCTCACTGATTCCCCGCACGCAAACACCATTTTTTTTTGCTCAGGAGTCGCCTACTAATTGTAGCTCGCCTAGTCTCGCCCACCCTTCACCGCCAACATCCTCGTTGCGACTCCGCAGCCTGGGACCAGACCCGAGCACCTGGACAACGCATCCAGTCTTTTCGTAGCTTCAATCAGCCCAACAGCGTGTTACTCGAGCCATTGCTGCCATGCCTGCGCGAAGCATTAATCCGTTTGCGTCGACTACCCCTACTCCCCCCCTCGATCCTCACAACGAGAAGCGTGAGCCTGCACGCCGATCCTCCTTTGCAAAGGGCAACAAGTTCACATCCCTATTCGGCGGCAACTCTCCCAAGTCGCGTTCCGAAGCCGCTGTTCTCCGGGAAGCTTTCATCGCCCAGCAGCAGGCCCTTCTCAACTCGCCCTCGCCCTCGCAGATATCCCTCCCCACCATCAACCTCACCACTGCTACTGGCGAGAAGATGCCCACGGAAGCAAAAACTCTCTTCCAACCGCCTTCGCCGGAAGAGCAGCGTCGCATTGCGCGAGCCCACGCTCAATTTGGTCCCCTCGGATCACAGAAGCACCGCTACCACAGCAAATTCGAGGGCGAGTTCGGCGATCCCATCGAAGACGAGCCACCATATTATTTCCTTCTCACTACATACATCAGCTACTTAATCCTAATAGTATTTGGACACGTCCGTGACTTCTTCGGTAAACGCTTCAGGAAGCAACACTACAGCCATTTGCAGGAGAAGGACGGATATGCGCCCCTCAACAGTGACTTCGACAACTTCTACACAAGACGGTTGAAGATGCGCATCAACGACTGCTTTTCACGACCAACTACCGGTGTCCCAGGACGATTCATCACTGTGCTCGACCGCAAGTCTGACGACGGAAACAACACCTTCAAGATGCTCGGAACCACAACTGAGACATTGAACATGAGTTCATACAACTACCTGGGTTTCGCTCAGTCAGAAGGTCCTTGTGCCGATGCGGCCGAGGCAGCCATCAGGAAGTACGGAATCTCAATGGCTAGCCCTCGGTCCGACAGTGGTACTTCTGAGCTTACCATCGAGGTTGAGGATCTTATTGCCAAGTTTGTCGGCAAGCCCGCTTCAATGGTCTTTTCCATGGGTTTCGTTACGAACGCTACTACATTCCCCACCATTGTCGGAAAGGGCTGTCTCATGATCTCTGACGAGCTCAATCACTCTTCTATCCGATTTGGAGCGCGTCTCTCAGGAGCCATGGTCACCATGTTTAAGCACAATGACATGCGCGATCTTGAGCGCAAGCTCCGTGAAGCCATCTCGGAAGGTCAGCCCCGCACACACCGCCCGTGGAAGAAGATTCTGGTTGCTGTTGAAGGTCTCTACTCCATGGAGGGCACCATGTGCAATCTCCCCGGCATCATCAGCTTGAAGCACAAGTACAAGTTCAATCTCTTTGTTGACGAGGCTCACTCTGTTGGCGGTGTTGGCCCTCGTGGACGTGGTGTATGCGACTACTTCGACATTGATCCCTCCGAAGTTGATATCCTCATGGGTACGCTCACAAAGTCTTTTGGCGCCAACGGTGGTTACATTGCCGCTGAGAAGTCCATCATTGACAAGCTCCGAATCAGCAACGCAGCTATGCTTTTTGCTGAATCACCTTCGCCGCCAGTCCTTGTCCAGATTGCCTCTGCTCTCCGTATCATTGACGGTTCAATTGTACCAGGACAAGGTGAAGAGCGTTTGCAGCGCTTGTGCTTCAACTCTCGTTATCTGCGCTTGGGTCTCAAGCGCCTCGGCTTCATCGTTTACGGTCACGACGACTCACCCATCATCCCCGTCATGCTTTACAACCCCGCCAAGATGCCTGCATTCTCCCACGAGATGCTCAAGCGCAAGATTTCCGTCGTAGTAGTCGGCTACCCCGCCACACCTCTCGTGTCATCACGAGCCCGCTTCTGTGTTAGCGCCGCGCATACCAAGGATGATCTTGACCGCATGCTTACGGCTTGCGACCAAGTCGGCGACCTTTTGCAGTTGAAGTTCAGCTCAGGTGTTGCCGGCGGTGCCTACCCTGAGGAGCTTGCTGAGAAGAACTCAACAGACGGCAAGGAGAAGATTCCCAAGCCGCCAAGGTGGAGGCTGGAGGACGTGCTCGAGAGGACAGTTCATGACGTGCAATCAACACTACGATAGATTGCGTGCTAAGCAACAATTGGTACGAGGTTACAGCTGAATTGCGCAATCTTTGTGGGGGCAAAACGTGTGCGTGTAAAGTGGGGGAGGCCCTGCGCCTTGCTGCCTCGTCAGCATTACACGCAACACTTACACGCAACACAAGTGTCGACCCACCTACACTTTTACGCCTTAGACCGAGCCCTCACAAATAACCTTGACGATTGCAATTATCATCATGGTCAGCATCAATCAACCACGGCTTTATTCCTCCTTCCTATTTTCCGCGACCCTCTAACGCATCATTTGCTGGACATCATCTTGGCATTGCAACCTCGATATCCTCCTTCTTCTCCCTTTGCACTCCTCTTTTTCCTCCCCCCGCATGCTTGGTTCTCTTACACCTTGACGTGTGCGTGTATGATAGATATTTAAGATTCAATACCCTCGCTTGTGACAAATGATTGTTCTTTTTTTTCACCTTCTTCATTCACAATATCTAACGGCCTCTTTTTTCTCTTACACACATAAACATAATCTTAAGGTTTGCCCAACGAGCAATGTCTTGATTTTTTTTTAAAAAAACAACTTCGAAGTCATCACGTTTTTAATGAGTATAGGTAGAAAGAAGATTACACGAAAACACTTAAAGATAAAGATCAGAGGGAATGGAATGGGGAGAGAGCTGTGGCTCGTTACCCCCGTTCTTGATACTTAATTGGATAATGAGTTGAAGATTTATGGGGTCAACCTTTTTTGGTGCTGTGATGTGAGGTCCTTTCTTGTTCCGTCTTCTCCTTTTACAGTTGTAATTCTGGTGTATGTGTGTATACGAATGAACGGGTGTTGACGGGTAAGAGAGCTATTTGGTTGGTACTAGCGGTGATGTGCAGATATAGGTCTGAAGGTGGATGTGAGTAGAGCAACAAAAGGAAGGGAATGTATCAGGGTAAATATACATATTGAATAGTAAAAGTGAAGCTAAGTGCAAATTGCTATTACTACTGCGAATTTGGATACCAAAGGATACATATTGCTGTGCGTTGGAAGCGAAACCTATATAACTTATCCCAGAAAGATGAAAGTGAGCTATACAAAGGTCTTATGCGCATCGCATAGATATACATGTGTATATATGTATATAAAAGCGAAACTGATTAGCGATATGTAGCAATTCTCTGTTGTTGTTTTTGGTCTTTTCAAAATTTGTAACATCGTGAAGGAAAATAAAAAGAGAATACAAAATATCACGCTCCGAAAGTAAACCTCATATGCGCACAAAAGGAAAAAGGAGGAGGAGGAGAAGAAGAAGAAGAAGAAGAAGAAGAAGAAGAAGAAGAAGAAGAAGAAGAAGAAGAAGAAGAAGAAGAAGAATGGAAAAGACCGTAAACTTAGTACCTACCGCCCCTTCGATCAAAATCCCACTCATCATCGTAATCCATGGTAGAATCCCTTCTCCTCCTTCTAGAGACATTATCTCCATACCTTGTCGACTGCATACCTTCCTTCTCCTTGTTCCTCTCGCGTGCCCATTCCAGCGCATCGCGCAAGTCACGTAGATTAATTTGCTCGTCACGTGGTGCAGCTTCTGTCTGTCTCTTACGCAGCTGGGATGGTGTGTACGCGTGATCATATACATCTGGTGTGAAAGAGGAGGCGCGGACGGGTTTAGGAGGGGGATGAGGATATGATGAAGCAAATGAGTTGGCGTGTTGGGCGCGAGGCAAGGCTGGTGTGGTGCGGCGGTGCGGAAGATCAGGACGGGGATGGTAGGGTTGTTGGTCGTCAGTGTAAGATGCGTGCTCACGGTCGCGCTCCGGCTCCGGCTCCGGCTCCCGCATGGGCTCCCGCATGGATGAGCGAGTAGGCATGTGCTCGTTGCTTGGTTCCCTGGGGTATCTAGGCCTTTGTGCGGAACGCAGATCAGCAGTGTTGGAGTTGGGGCTTCGACGCTGCGGATCAAAGGCGTCTGGGCGCACTGTAAAAGTCGGCTTGCGTTGCTTGTGCTCATGCTTCACAGTCGGAGGGCGAGAAGGTACATCCCAGATATTATCTTCGGCCGTGTGGACAGACGAGGTGTGCCAGGAACCAGTGCCGCTTGCGCGATCCCACGATGCATCAGACATATCGTCGTGTGAACTGTACATTTTCCCTGGCATTCTCTTTTCACTGTAGAGACTGGTGGGCGAGGCATTGCCGCTGCGTGTTCTCTCATCTCCACTATTATTCGTGTTCATATGGATGTGGATGTTCGCTGGCACTTGACTAGAGAGCTTCGCACGCAAGGGTTGAGGAGAACTCGAACTTGGTATGTCTGGCGTACGTCTGCCAGTGTATCCTTCGTCGATATCACTGTTGGTTCGATGTCTCCGCATTGGTCGCTGTGCATTTTGCTGGTGAATGTCTCTGCGTAGGTGACTCTGGCTGCGACTTCGACTTTGCCGCTTACTTCTACTATGCATACGATGTTTCGGACTGTTCCTTGACACCTTAGCATGCCTTCCGCGTTCGGGTTCGCGTGGACGCATTTCCCCATGCATGTCGCTCTCAATGTCAACGAAGCTAGAATCCTCCGACTCATCTTCCCAACTAACTTCACTCTCGGAGTATAAGCTGGACGAATCCATGTGGCTCCTGTGCTTGGTTTGCTGGCTCCTAGGCAACTCGGGGTCCATTGTCTGGTTGGCCGGGCCTGACCTACGAGCTGGTATGTGCCTTGGCACTGGCATTGGCATAGCTTCGGGGTAACTGCCGGGCATTCCTGATAGACCCTGTGGCAGGGGTGGCTGGATTGGTGGTTGGTGCCCGCGAGGTCCTGACATAGCTGGATGGGCCCCTCCATTAGGTGGTGGTGGTGGTGGTGGTGGCGGTGGCGGCGCAGGTGGGCCAGCTACTGGAGTTTGCCCGTTCATAACTCCAATTGGATGTGGTTGAGGTGGAATTGGAAGTGGAGGCAGTACATGGAGAGCGGGTATCGGCATATGATTGTTGCCTTGATTAACAACATGAAGAGGAGGAGGCTGGCCACGCGGTAGCTCAGGGTGTGGAGGAGGTGGCATGTTATGCGGGCCATGAGTTTGAGGTCGCTGCTGAGGCATTTGTTGTGGTGCTGACATATTCTGGCTTTGATTGCTGACTCGACCTTGAAACTGTGGAAGACCGTCGCCCTGCTTGGTCCTGTTGAGATCTTGAAGTTTATCGCCAGCCATTCCAACTCCTGTCTTTGTACCTTGGAGGCCAGAGTCTTCTGCTTCCAAGATTATGTCCACACGTGCCAGGTATCTCTCGCGGCGCGTCAAAGAGGCGCGTTCTCGGAACTTCTTTACCAGACTCACGATCCTGTACTCCATGGTCGGGTTGTGTTTAGTCAGCGCGATGTTCTGTTCTTCGACCAGTTCATTGATGATTCTGCGACAGTTTGGTGAGGAGATTTCGTCCAAAGCCTTTTTGACGTTGTTGTAGTTACGTCGAAACTTCAGTACCTCCTTTTTGAGGTCATGAGCTCTGACGTGTTGTTGCTCAGGGACAACATCTTCCCAGCTGATATCATTCCTGGGCCTCTCTAGGATGAATGATACGAGAAGAGGGGCTTGGATGGAATCTGAGGGAAAATCTTCAGACTCTCTTGGAGAGTTTTGCCCAAAGCTCTGGTGTTGTCCGCTCGAGTTATGTCGCTGTTGCCCAGCGTTTTGATGATGCTGAGGTATCGGACCCGGGTATTGAGTGTGTTGTGGTATAGGCATTTGATGGGCCATGATTCAGAGGGCTGAGATAGCCGAAAGAGAAAGTAGTGCCAGTTAACAGAAAATGATTGAACAAAGCTTCGATGTTTGTGTTAGCAGAAGGCTTGTCGACTAAAGAAAGGTGAGATGATGAACTAGATAGATATTGTGAGAAAATCGATGGAAGATATAGAAATCAGAATCAACTTGATGTTGATAGTCATTGCAGGCCTCACTTTTGCTACAGCAGTGGTGTTACTATACTGATGCAGGCGGAGATAAAGGCCCTTTTCGGACTGGGACCATCGCATCCAATCCGCCTCTAGAAGTGCAAGTGAAACATGCGCCAATTGATCAACATGAATGGTTCTCACGAACCCCGCTTAACCGTTGGCATCGGGGCACTGACCGGTCGAAGCCACAAGGCTGAGGGGTAGACAGGCAAATCGCCTTTTGCCTTCTTATGCGACACAAGGTACGGCTAGCCAGTTACGTGTTTTTGAGCCTGGGGATTTACCGGAAGGCCAAAGGTCCTCCCAACGTGCATATGTACAAGCAGCGCGCCACACATCTGGAGGACTTAAGTGACGATCTTGGATGTAGCCTGATGACAAGTTCATCATGACATGGTCGCGTATATGTAAGCGACTTCACTGTGACGGCTTGCGAGTATCGTGTAGTTTTTTTAGCGCTGTTTTTTTGTTATGGCCTAGTTGCAGACATTTGTATGAGATTGGAAACGATGTAGTCGAGGTGAACGTTTGGAGAAGAACAAGGCGAGTGTAGGCACTAATTCCGCGCCATGGCCAGGCGCTGGTCCATGCATGGTTCACTACACCATCATTACGCTATGAAAGAAGGCAACTAGCCATCACAAGCCACCAGAATGACAGCCATTTAGCTCAACCGTTACATAGTTCTATCCACACATGAACGGTTGTTAACGCCATTTTCTATCCGGTTGCCGTCTGCGCCGCCCGCCTGTCGCGTTCATTGATCTTATCGACAGCCAAGTACCAAGACTAGTATGGGACCAAAGGTCCTCCCACTGTTCTTCTTGTATCGCGTTATACAAAGAATTTCTTTTCGCTTACCGGAACCCACATGTTTATCGTTAGCCCAGCTCCGATACATGTCAATAGGTTACACCACATCGTATTAGAATCCCTACCCTCCTGTATATACTAAAGAATCTACGAACAAGACAACAAGCGACAAATGCTGGGCTCTTGAGGAGACCGACTATCTGTTAGCATATATCCCGCAGGGCGGCTGGTTGCCATGCGTTCGCAGTATGTAAAACACCTCCACTCATGCAGCCTGGCGCTGTATCTGTTTGCCGACTGGGTAACGACGCCCCTTCATGCATGTCACTTTGCCCTTTGGCCCTAAAATAAAACTTGCCTGATCCCAATTACCGGATGCCTGCGGGTGGCATTAAACATACGAAATTGACCGGATACACACTGCATGCAATATGCAAGCCACTCGTCTGACATTTCTAACATTCAGCCTCATCTGTTTTTTGGTTGCAACATCAACAATTTGCTCGATAACGGGAACGGGAAGAGTAAAATTACCGAGGGCTTATTGGAAACAGACACGTCGTATACGATACAAGCCATGTACGTGATCACCAGCTGCCCACCGGACGTAGGCAGTGAAATCCATACAACGATTACACTTTCTCTGCTATAATCTAATAAATATGCAATAAGAAGGCCAGACCATGTTCTTATATCTCGGCATTTTCGATAGGAAAAGTCAACATTCCAGTTCACCAATTTAAGACGTCGTCAGTTCGTAGTTACGCTCTTGAATCGTGATGCTTTTGCATGTGTTAACTCACTGTACACACTCACAAACACCTGATATCAATTCTGCAGAAAACGATTACCTTCCTTGATGAGCTCTAAGCGCCGAATGCGTGCATACCAAGGAATCTCTGATATCCAAGATTACCGTCGGTGGCGCACAACACATGTCTGAGAGACACGGGAGGATTCTCCCCACCAACACCCTTCCTACCCCGCAGTCTCTCCCGTTGCCTTTGAGAAAATGAGTTCACCGGATGGGCGATCCTTCAGCCATGGCAGCTGGAGTATACGAAATGATAACGCTTGCATACGAGATGATTTCATGGATGGATTCTAGGCCCATGCTCCGGGCCACTTGACGGACATACTAGAGTGAGCCCCCTGATAGTTTCGGATGAACTTTGTAATCGATGAATATTCGAATGTTGCGCGTCCTTTGTCGGCAATCGACGCGGGAGAGGGGGGGGGTCCAGACTTCTGCGAAGGTTCGCTTGTAATATTCGGGTGAGCCTTGTGTTGTTGGCCTTGCAGGGCTGCACTCAGTATACCAATGACTTAACCTGCGAATAAAGTCTAAAATATGTTTAGCATGTCAAAATAGGATGGATTAGGCAAATTTCCGCCCTAATGATATGTTCCTCCCAGGTATCAAGAGATTGGAAAGAGTCATGTGTGGGGACGGGTATCTTCGATTCGGTAGTCATGCGCTACTCGCGCCGTCTCTGATATACAAGTGCCAGTACCGTGACTGCCCATTTTCCAGGTTTCCTGCAATATGCGGTCTTCATACATCGAATTCGCAGCGCCTTCAAGTCTTGACGCCAAGCTGGTATGGTGTGGTTTTGAATGCTCCTCAAAGCTTGACTCTTCATTTTTTGCCCTTTTTCTTCTTCTTTCCTCCTGTTCCTGCGCCGGCCTTCGCATCTGGTGCCGTGCCACCCATTTTGACGTCGCCGCTCTCGTCAACCTGCGGTGTCGCCGCGCCCTCGCCGCCCGCTGGCATGCTCAAATCCTCTGTCGTCTCCGGTAGCGCTGCCATATGCCTCCCTAGCCTTCCCAGGTTTCCAATTAGCCTTCCAACCTCGGCGCCCTTGTTGGTCTCATATTGCAGACATGTTCCCGACTCCGGGTCGTATGTCTTCAGCGTAAAGGTGGCCGTTACTTCTTCCACGTCTTGCGATTGTGGTTGTGGTGACGAGTCTCGCGCCTTGTCTGCTGGTCGCGATGCCTTCTTCTCCTCATATTTTTGTCGCTTCTTGATCTTGGTGGCTGTGGGCTTGTGGACAGAGTATTTGGAGGTGATGCGTGTCTAGGAACTCGATTAGAAGGGCATGTTGCGTGCTTTGCGCATAGCTTCTCCTACAGTTGTTGGGCGGGCTTTTAGCAGTAGTGATGACTGCTCGTACCACTCGGCACTCGTAGCAAAGTACGGCATTGTGACGGTTACAGGCTGGCTGGAGCAATTGCAAGGTGGAGGACGATTAGGCCAGCTTCGGTATGCGGGCAACTTTTGGCGGGGTTGCGCTCGGGCGAACGTCGGTCTGGACTCGCAGCCTCCGACTTATGAAGGGCGCAGACGACTATTGACTATGGCAGAACAGGGCGCACCGAGGCAACTATGACATGACTGTTCGAATAGCTTAACATTCAGTTGTACTAGCACACATCCAGGCAGCCGCGATTGTCGACATCGAGCCTCATCGAATCTTCTACACCACGCTTGGGTCACAATTTCCATAGCTTTAGCACGATTAAGATCTACTATACAATTTTCCTTGCTACAGCTGGCATTAAATACACGCTGAAGAGACTCATCTCTCAGCATCGCTGGCAACAAGAAAAGCACTTCCTATCATGAGCTATAATTAGCCTGCTTTCCACAACGATAGATGTCTTGGAAATTTTGTCCATCGTTCGACAATTCGCTACTCATTTGTAACGCCATCTTTGGCACTCGGACTACTCTTTCTGGATTCTGGCATCATGGCGGAAAATATTGCCAGAGAAATTGACAGTCTGAATCTTGGACATGACCATACTCCAGACAAAACGCCCACTCCACGAGCCGAACTGGAAGCTACTATCCAAGGTCTGGTAGAACGCGGAAAGCACTTGCACGATGAAGTGGAGACATATGTGGCGGCGGTTCTCGAGAAACAAAAAGTTGGCAAAGTCCACAATCCAGTAGAGTAGGTTATATCAGACGAGCCTAATACGCTTTGAGGTGTGGACGAACTCCTGTCATCCACCTTGCATATTACTCTCCCAAATGCTTTACGTACGGCTAACTTGACCAGATATCGTAATCTTCGCAATGACATGCGCAACGAGCTAGCCTTTCTAAAAAAGCTAGTAGGCTCAGATATGGACGAGGAGAAAGCTAGACACTACATTGTTTCGTCAAATCTTCTCTACTATGAAGCACTATGGAGCGCAGCAAAGCGCTCACATGGACTCCAGAGCTTCAGAAAGTACTTCTTCTGGCACCGGCACAAAGCACCAGCAGGCAAGCACACGACAAAAGGTCTGAGCCTATCCAAGGGAAGCCAAGCCAAGAACAAAACCGCTGCGCTTGTTGATATTGTTGCCGAAGAAGGCAGTGAGTGGATCCGCGTCTCGACCGTTTCCGAAAAGCGGATTCTCTTTGACCTCGCCAAGCTGGGATGGGTCAACGACTTTGATTCCGACGAAGACGAGGATACACTAGACGCACACTCAATCGGAATTGATGATGAAGATGATGACGAAGACCAAGTCGACGTTGTACGCAATGCCCGTCAACTCGCTCGAGCAGCCCAGGCAAACCCCATCCGCGGCCGCCCACCCAAAGTCCGCTTCGTCCTCACAAGAATCGTCGCCGGTAAATCCGTACCCATCGATTCCATCATCAACAAAATCCGAGCTACAGGCGCCATTGTGCAATGCGGCGACGACATTCCCCCAGCACCTGCAATTGACGATGTTCTCCCACACCTCCTCATCGATCGCTCCCGGGCTCTCAGCAACACTTTAAACATCGATTGCACCATCCTCCTTGCCCTCATATCAGATATCTCGCACAAACCTTGTCCGATACTAGACTGGTACCCCGGTGAGGTGCGCGCGCAAATCGAAGAGGAAGCAGAGGAGCATTTGCTTCCTACGCATCTTTACCCAGCTATCAAGGCGCATCCTATGGTATGCACGCGCGAAGCAGCCGACCAGATGAATCTTATCGTGCAGACTCTAGCTACGGATACAGAGAGGCTGAGAGCGGATCTGTTGTTAGGACAGGGAGACTGGGAAGCGCGGTCTTTGCAGGAGTTGGTTGCAGAATGGGTATGTTCACTAATAATTTCCCTTAATCCACCTGATTCTCCCAGTCCCTTGATAACTCTCTTCTTTTCGAAATAAGATTTCAGTAGTACATGATGAAATTGCCAACTGACAGCGATATTTCCCAGGCAAGTCTGTCCGACCACCCCGTCCCCCCAGGCTTCGCCCTCCCCATAACCGTTAAATCACCCAACCTCGACTCCCTCACCGACACCCTCCCCGCTGTCGCACGCATAATAGCAGCAGAGCTGGGTCCTCTCAACAGATCCATCTTCCTTTACGGATGGGTCCAGAATCTCACAACGCTGAGTGCGAATCGTGGGCGCGCCCGTCAGATTGAAAGTATTATTAATGAGCATGGGTTGCAGGATGGGGAAGCTGGACCGCATATTTGGCTCTGTGGTGAGTCTCGTAGTTTGATTGCAAAGCATGGGCGGAGAAAGTAAAAAGGGTGTGTGTGTGTGTGTGAGAGAGAGAGAGAGAGAGAGAGAGGAGAGTTTTGGTGCTGAGTCGCACATAGGGGTGACGCGTACGTTTCGTAAACCACAGCCTGGGCAGGGTACTAAAGAGGAGATACGGTTGTGGCAGAGTGGATCGAGAGGGATTGTGTAGATGAAAAAAAAGGAAGGGGTGATTGTTGGATCAGTACCCTTGTTTCTACAGGAAGATAAGTTGGAAGATACAAGACGACTGAAGCACTAGTATCAAGAGAAGAAAAACGAGCATGGAAGACATACCCGTCCTTACACGAAACAATACACAATACATACTTTTTACATCAAACCAATAATGGTCATTCAAACTTACATCAGCAGCACCAACAGCAGCCGAACAAAATCAATTCTTCGTTGGCTTGTGTGTGTTTGTATATGTGTATGCAAACCACCATACGATAAGGATCACCAAGCTAGGAATTATTAAAAACTCCCTTACCTGTGTGGCCTTACCTTGATGCTGTAGACTAAAGGGAAAAAACATATTGCTTTCAAAATACACTTACATTAACCTACCCCAAGCAAAGAAGAAAGCAAAAAAGGTTATAATAAAGAAAAAAGAAAAAAGGAAACGGCAACATGAAGCTATTAAGACATGCGTGAAAACGGAAAAAGGAGGAAGATATCACCTATTTGCCCTACCCGTCAAGAAGATATTCGTTGTTTCCCTTGCAAACTAACATGCTCGAGTGTCCGACGGGATGCCTTGGCTCGTGGAATGGCGTTATACCTTTCAAAAGCTGCAAACATGAAAGGGACGATTTTGGGTAGTGGAAGTCCGGGTATGGTAGAGGTAACTCGAGATATGCAATGGTGCCTAGGAGTGTCTTTTTGGTGTTGCGTGCTCCTTACCCTCCTATACTGCGTGCTGTGCTGTAGAGTCGAAACGTCAAGAGCTGAACAGAGTCGATCTTACCCTCGTTGACGAGAAAGGCTGGGGCGAAGAAAAGGGAGGTAACCTTTTTGACAAACCATTGCACAACATGGCTTAGCCGTAAATCGAGCTTAGTACCTTCGTCGTGTTCGCGGGTCGTCGTAGCTGTCACCATCGTACGCGCGCTTCCGCGAGCCATCGTCTCGGCTTCCACCATACCCACTGTCACGGTATCGATCCCTGCTGCCGAGCGGTTCGTTGTTAGCACCGCTGGATCCTCGGTCGTTACCCCCGCCACGTCTATCGTCGTGCCGTCCACCACCACGATCGCCTCCGTAACCACCACTTCCTCGGTCGCCACCGAAACCGCCGCTTCGGGGACCACGAGGACCAGCGGGAGCACCATCGGGAGGCCCATATCCGTTCGATTGGTACCCGATACCTCCTCGTCCACCGCCGTAACCCCCGCCGCCGCCGCCTCGGCCACCGCCACCAAAGCCTCCACTTCCACCTCGGAAACCTCCTCGATCACCGCCAAAGCCTCCACGACCTCCACCTCGTCCACCGAAACCACTGTTGAAGCCACCACCGCGGCCTCCGAATCCACCAGGACCGGCGGGGGCACCTCCAAAACCTCCTGCGCCACCAGGTCCGCGGGCAGATGGCCCCTTTGTGTAACCTCGACCGCCAAGGCCACCACCAAAGCGACGTGGACGCCACCCAGAAACTGTGCGACCGCGCTCAACGTCGACTAGAACACGTCGGTCTTTGATCTTGATGCCATCTGTCTCTTTGTAGGCAGCCTTCATATCCTTCTCACGCTCGAACACAATAAAGGCATAACCGCGCTTGCGCTTCTTGGGTGGCGCGTCTTCTGGCTGCGTGATGTCTTCGACGATGCGGATACGCTCAATGGGACCGTAGCGACCAAACTCGCGCTCGAGGTCGTCAGAGGTGATGCCGTAGGATAGACGAGACACGAAGAGTGTTTTGAAGGCGTCGCCCTGTACCTTTGGATCTTCGGAGGGTTTGTCTGTATCAGAGTTAGCGTTGAAATTATGAAGAATTTATCTGCGCGTCCTGACGTACAATTCTTGACACCTTCGGTAATAAGCTTCTCCTGTTTCTCCTTCTTTTCGAGCTTCTTGCGGTCGCGTTTCTGCAGCCAGCTGTCGGTGGGCACGTAGCCATCATTGTCCTTGTATTCGCGTAGGGCGTCCATGTATTGCGCAATGCCGCCAATCTTGGGGGTGCAACGCTTCTCTGGCGCGTGGTCAGTAGGTTCAACCCATCGCAGCGGCGGCCGCGGGGCGAAGAGGTTCAACAGCATCGGCGGGAGTAAATGTGTCATTTTGGCGTGATTTCTGGAATGCGCTCCAGATGGCGGTGTGGAGTAGTTGGAAATATGGGGTGGAGGGTTGAAGAAGTGACGAGAGAAGGTGTTTCTGGTTCTTTGAGGGCTGATAGGCTTGGCAACAAGTTGCGACGCGGAGTTCGCACTAGCGCAATCCTAGGCTGCGACAGGGCACGTGAGAACAGTGCGCCAGCAGCCAGACTTTGGCCTCTGAGGTTGGCTAAGAGAAGGCACTACGAGTCTCCCAGCCGCAATTGCACGCCAAAATGCCTGTCGCGGCTCTCAAGACGGTCGCAAAGTCTCAAGTATGTCAAGGCCCTGAGAATGCATTCACCATGTCCTCCCACGCCGGCTGCTAACAATTGCACTTTCACAGAATGGCGTTGGGGCTTTTGTCCTGCCCTGCAAATCCTTAACCTTCCACTACTGCAACTGGTGGGGGTCCTCGCGCGGCATGAATGCCTTCATCAAGTCATCCCTTCCAGCTTTTGCCAAGCGCAACCCTCAGATTGAAATCTCCGTCAGCCCACGACCGGCCCACCACCCGGGCATCGTCGCAAACTACATCAATGGAGCCCAGCGATCAATATGTGTCAAGAATCTGCAGAACGAGGGCGTACGGGAAAAGGCTGAGATGCTGAGGAACAGCACAGGAGAGAAGAACAGGAAACTAGACGGACGACCGGTGAAGAGTTTGAATGAAAGCGTGAGGGGTATTTGGAGTCCGTTCCATGGAAGCAAAATCAAGATATAGGAATTTGAAGGGACCTAGGAGTTCGAAATAGCTGGTAGCACAAGTCACGATTGCCGGCCGTCAAAGACCAAAGCGATTCGACTACACGGCCAGTGTGGCCAAGCCAAGCAGTACTCGGATAAAAGTGAAGGCAGACAAGCCATGCTAATCTGAGTGCACCGAACAAATCATATGTACAAATAGTATATCAAATCAAAAAAAAATCAAGAAAAAGTATTCACGGGTTATATCGATCTTTATCATTGATATTCAAAAGCGTTTATTATGCTCCAACCTATTTGATTTCTGGCAGAGAGCTATCTCTCATAACTTCATCATTTTCCTTCCAGTACGAGCTTCCGTCAGCTATAGACGAGCATCACTCCGGGGGATTCATGCCTGGTGGCTGTTGATAATGTCGACGAACGCAGGCTTCAAGCTGGCACCGCCAACAAGGAAACCGTCAATGTCGGGCTGCTTGGCAAGCTCCTTGCAGTTCTTCTCCGAGACACTTCCGCCGTACAGGATACGGGTCTTCTCAGAAGCCTCTGCTGAGACTTCCTTCTTGAGCCACTCACGGAGAGCGGCGTGGACTTCTTGGGCTTGCTCAGTGGTAGCAACCTTGCCGGTACCAATAGCCCTGGTATTGGTTAGTACATCATGTTTGAGTAGCTAGCGTTTCCCCATGCCGACATACCAGATAGGCTCGTAGGCAACGACGATCTTGCTCCAGTCCTTGATCTTGTCGGCAACGGCCTTGAGCTGCTTGGTAACAACGTTGACGGTTTCACCCGCCTCACGCTGTTCCAGACTCTCACCACAGCACAGAATCACACCTAGACCACCGTCGACTGCTGCCTTTGTCTTGCTGGCGACAAAGTCGTCATTCTCCTGTAGGATCTGGCGGCGCTCAGAGTGACCCAGGATGGTCCATGTGATACCGCTGTCCTTGAGCTGTTCGACTGAGATCTCGCCGGTGAAGGCGCCGTTGGGCTTGTCAAAGATGTTTTGCGCTGCAACCTCGATTCCTTTACGGAGGTGTTCGCGGGTCAGAAGGAGGTAGAGAGATGGTGGTGCAATGACAACTTCTGTTTGCATGTGTCAGTTTACTGTATTTGCAGTGGTGTGATGCAGGTTCCAAGTCCTCTGCTTAAGGCTCATATGGCGATTTGCACTTACCAGTGTTCTCATCGAGCTTGGCCTTGTTCAGGTTGTCGACGATTTCGGTGATCGACTTGATCGTACCGTTCCTTTAGGATAGTCAGCTCTTTGCCATTGTCGTGCCGGTACTTGCGGCTCGGGTTGTAACGTACATCTTGAAGTTTCCACCGACGAAGAATTGGCGACCCATTTTGGCGGTTGTTTATACAAACTGGCTAGAAAGAATATGTGAGGGTATCAAGTATGCTCAATTGAAGGTGAGTTCAGGTGTGTTTGAGATGCGTTGTTGAGCTGAGCTACAGTAGGTATTAAAGCTTAGCGGGGGGTAACGCGCGGGGCCAGTGACGTCTTGAGAGATTCGCCGAACCCCGGCTTGCTTCTGAAAGACTGGAGATGCGGACCCCATCGTGAAATTTCTTTTTTCCAACTGGCAACCCTGGTTGTGCAAGCAAGCGATTCACCAGCTGTCAAATCGAGGGCAGCGCAGCGCGCCGAAGGAGTCTGCCGTGCGTTCACAGCTGCTTGGGTCATGTGTGCAGTAGCAATAATAGCGCAACTTCATGGCCTGCTTGACGTTTGCAGACCTGAAGAGGTGCGGCTATGACAGAAACGGCCCACTGATCGTCCCGAAGTTATCCTTCAGCCAAGCCTCACGCAACCAACATCTTCCGAACTCCACGTGCGACTTGTCGCTGGCTAGAACCGCCACGCCAACATCATGTCCGAGCCCGCAGAAAACGATGGAGACCCTACCGTCTATGGCCTATCAGTAACACCACTCACGCAATGCGCACATTGGCACTCCCCGCTCGACATCATTGCTATTAAGCATTTCTGCTGCAAGAAATTCTACGCGTGCATCAGCTGCCACGATGCGCTCGAGACGCATACATCAGAAGTTTGGCCCCCAACGCGACGAGATGAGAGTGCTGTGCTATGTGGGCAGTGCAAGCATGTCCTGACCGTAGATGAGTACCTAGAGAGCGGGAGCAAATGCACAAGATGCACGAGTAAATTCAATCCAGGCTGCAAGAACCATTGGGGGCTATACTTTCAACTTGATGGGAATATCACTTGACCGAAAAGAAATCCATGCCTATTATTCTGGGGTATATGAGGGGCTCCAGCCAAGATAAAAGAAAATCATACACACATTACCCTCGCCTGTTCCTTCATATCGCATCAAACTACATGTCGAATACATTTCCCAACGGCGCCACATTTCATGCCAGAAGAAATTCCTGACTATTAGACATGTACAAGCTTGCTACGTCTTGCACAAAATTACCTCCCATCCCACGGTCCATCTTACACTCCCCATAATAATAAGTAAAAGCGCGAATGCTGTCACAACACTCAGACTTGCGTACACGTACGCAGCTTTCCTCTTCAAAGCATCGATTTCGACGATCCAGGTTGATACGGTGGTCAGACAGCCGCAGAATCCGTCCATGATACCCTGCAGCACCTGACAGCCTACGAGGCCTCCACCAACAAGCCCCGTGGTGCTGAGCGATACATGTTGCAAATCGTACGTCATGCCAATGACCGCTGTGCCGAATATGTTGACGGTAAAGGTGCCAACGGGAAAAGACGAGTTGATTGGATTCAGGTACATGGAAATGTAGTACCGGAGGAGACATCCTATAGGCGCGAAGACACAAGCAAAGAGAGCTTGACTACGCCACACGTCATTTGGCGGAGCAGCGGCCATGATGATCGCTCCAAGCCATACGCCCCAGCCCAAAACAACAAAAATCGGGTCGACGATGCGGCGCGTGGTGCGAAAGGGCAGTGTCGGCGTGAAGCGATCTAGCCCAAGGGCTATATGTGCGCCCACGTGTAGCGCACAGTAACACGTAGCTATGGTAATGATAATGGTAGCGCACAGAGCCAAGAAAGAGTATCCACCGTTCCTGGGTAAAAGACTGCCTGTCGGAGGAAGCGGGGTGTTCGCAGGGTACGGATGGCTGATGGGGGCCTTGAGATCGTTGGATAGCGATAGAAAGACGTCGCGAATAAAGCTTGAGAAGCTTGTAAACGAGCCACAGAACCCAGTCGCAAGGCCAATATACATCGGGATCGTCTTCTTCACCTTTCCATGGCGCGCTTTGTCGGCCTGTTGGAGTGCGGGTTCATCCGAGGGCTCTGGCAGGCCTTCCCCCCGATTTCCCCACTCTGCAGCAAAAAGACGACGGTCTTCTGCTAGGAAGCCCATTATCAATGTGCCGGCGACGTTGGCCCATAGTTCAGAGAAGGTTAGAGGTGTGCCGGAGTAGAAAGTGAGGGCTTGAAGGCCGATACGTGCCAGTGTTCCCCAGATGGAGAAGAATATCAAGTAAGAGACTGTGTACAGCTCTGTTGCGATCTGGGATGCTCTCCGTGCTCCTGGTGTGGGCTTCGAACGCACATAGTGACCAGCATGATCTTCTTCCTTCCCAGACACCATGCTGGGCAGGGCGGTGATGCTCAGTTGCGAAGCCGACGGTGAACCATGTATCGGACGCTCTTGCGGGACTGCAAGTCTTGCTGATGGTTGGACCTGTGGCAGCGATGAGTTTGCAGGCTCGGTGTCGGCCTGGCCGCTCTGTCCTCGCGTCCTTGGCCTGTGGAATGCTGTAGGTAGAGTGGGCGATTGGGCAGCCTCGTTGAAGACGTGCAGCCAAGAGCCTGGCGCTAGGGCGTCGTCTGCGTCGTGCGACTTGTCGAGCCTGGAATCGGCGGTGCTTCGCGACGTGCGCTTGCTGGAGTTCTTGTCCTTCCACCTCGAGGTGCTGTCGGTGCGCTGGCGCTGACGCGTGTAGGGGATGTTGGGCGCAGGCGAGGCGGTTGACCCGGCAGACAGCGGTGAGGGCTCAATGTCGTCGTAGGCTGAGGGTGGGATGCCCGAGTCGAGATCGAAGTCGAGTCGCGCGGCATCGCTGGAGGACCAGGGTTGCAGTCGTGGGCCGGCGGATGGCTCTTCCAAGATGAGCGACGAGCGCAACGACGATCGCTGGTTATTGTAGTGAGACTGACGCTTGGTGGGAACATCGTCGTAGTTGTCGGCTGCTGCTGCTGTGTTTCCAGCATGGTCCGCCATATCAGGCGTCTCGGGTGCCTGCAGATTGGGATGTACAATGACGTGGACCCGTACCAGAAACTGGGTCCCCCTCAATTCATCTCACCTCACAGCCCAGAAGATGAGTGGATATGATGTTTGTATACGGATGTGCTGGAGTCGGGCAGGCCACGCAGCAGACTGTCCCGTAACGCGATGGATGTCAGCTCCTGCCGTCGTGTAGCGCGTATATATCGTCAGACAGCCCTCGACCTCCGCCCCCCTTCTGAAGCAAAGAAGAAAGTATAAACACCCGTCAGGGCCATATTTGTTGTCAAGGCTTTTGCGCCATGCCCAAGTGCACGAGCACTGACTCCGATTTCTGTATTCTCCGATTGGCGCAGGGACAGCCCTGTTTCGTCCATGCGTGGGCGGCGCTGTCCGACGCCGGGTCAGCTGTTATCGCCCGCATTGGGGTAGCGCTACTCGACCTACCTATCTCATGCCCGCCATGAATTGAACAAGCAATATTCCTTTCCCAAGCTCTGTATATATACATACATACTTGTCTCGCTGCAAGCTTGGCTGCTTCGAATCTGTGACATCGCACCGTCCACTCAATCGCACGTGACAGTCCGACGCAGACATACACACATACGCACATCATGGCGACCACCAACCTCCCCAAGAACGCACACGTGTCCACCCATCCTTGTCTTCAGGCAAAACTCTCCCAGCTACGGTCAGCAAGCACAGGTTCCCGTGATGCACAGACGCTGGTTCATGAAATCGCCCTCATGGTGGGCTATGAAGCCCTCGGCTCAGGATTGAAGTCACAGCAGGGAAGCACAGTACGTCCACATTTCACCTTGCATTCATGTGCACACACACACCTGAGCATTGGTATACTTTTTCCACCCAAAACATTATGCAAAAACCAACCATGTGCCCTCAGTGCGTGTAGCACAAGCAATGGTGTAATCTGCGCATGCATTAACAACATGGTTACAGGACAAGTCGCCCTTGGGGTATGAGTACACAACGAGCACCACCTCACCCGCCCCCTCTGCTATATCGCTCGTGCCTATCCTCCGCTCTGGTCTCTCTATGGTCCCTGCGCTCTCATCACTCCTCCCTACCCCAGTCCCCATCCACCACCTGGGTCTCTACCGCGAGAAGACGACCCTGCAACCAGTCGAATACTACAACAATCTGCCCTATCACACCCCGCACATGTCTGGCGCCACCAAGCCCCAGCCCGAGCTGGCCATCATCGTCGATCCCATCATTGCGACCGGTGCGACGGCTTGTGCGGCTATTGATACGCTCAAGGACTGGGGTGTTAAGAAGATCATTGTCTGCAGTATTCTGGCTACCGAGGAGGGGCTTCAAAAGGCCTGTAGTGAGTGGGAGGAGGGCGTTGAGGTGTGGGTTGGCGCGTGCGATAAGGGTGTTGATGACAAAGGCATGATCAAGCCGGGACTAGGCGATATTGGAGACAGGCTATTCTTGACACTGGGAAAATAAGTCCATAGCAAGCCATAGGAATTCACGTGCACAGTGTTCCGCGTGTGATACTTGGTAACTTTGGTCCTCAGTGGACCAAGCTGTGTTTTGCTTCACGTGCTGTTTCTAAGGGTCTCGACCAAAAGCATGGTCATGGAATAGGGGTCGCCTTCTCCCTTGCGCCTCGATGCAGACATGGCGGATTGTCTTGTCGATCGGCTTGTCCGGTGCAAGCTTCGGGCTGGCAAGAGCCTAGTAGTCGAGAATGTATGGTATGTAGCTGTGGCAGTGCTACTTCCAAGCTCTTGGCCTCAACCATCAGCCACTGATGACGCAAATGTACAACAATATTGCTTGACCTGTTTGGGCCAGCGTAGCCAGCCACGTACAATATATAACTGCCCTGCTCCACCTCTTCATCGTACCTCACAGTACTTCCCCACTAAATTCCTATTTCACACACTCCACTCACACCTACTTACATCCACGAACAAACACACATTTACACATACTACAAACATGGGTCTCATGTGGCACAAGGGCTTTGGCGGAAGGAGGGCTGGTAAGATGGACCCGACACTCCAAAGTCGTCAAGCAGCTGCTAACATATCTATAGGTGGCGGTGTCGTTGTTGACAAGCACGGTGTTCGACGCGCACCCTTTCGCATCTCGTGCGGTGGTTTCTCTTGCTTCCGCTAAGCATTCATCTTCCTCACATCAACGATTCACGACTTGTAAGTCGAACAGGCTCACCAACGGTGACCACCAGCTCACATGTTTAGCTCTCAACACGTCCACATTTTGATACATTTGTTTTGCGATGGCGTTACGGCTCGAATCTGAACGGCGGTGAACAAGTGGAAGCTGTGCATAGCTTCTTAGCGTCACATGCATGCGGAGTCACACGCACACACATATATGCAATCAGATTCATACATGGTCCATAACCTCAGTAGCCTAATAAAATAAGCATGTTTGAGATTTTAGTGCCATCGTCACCACTCCTTGTTTACAAACAGCTTGAGACAAGTGCCAAGTCTTTATGATAAGAATGACGTCACACGTCGCACCCTGGACTCGAGATCCACCTCTCCCATCCCACGCCATTTAGGTCAACCTTGAGGGCGGGGCAAATGGCATTTATGCAGGCAGCTTCTGCATAGTTCACAGTAGACTCATGGGCGAGTATCGTCACGGCCACAACCCCAGATACAGCAAGATGCGGTCTGTTCTCATCATCAATCCCAACTCTACGGAGCAAATGACGAATGGCCTCAAGCCACTTGTCGATGCACTACAATTCAAAGACGTCAATCAAACGCCACTCACAGCAGCGACCCAGCGACTAACCGTAGCTAGTAGACCGCACACGAGTACTTCACTGCACCTTCGGGTCCAAAGAGTATCAACAATGAAGACGACGCTGCCGAGTCAGTAGACCATTGCCTGCCCGCTTTGGAGAAAGACCTCGCACGCTACGATGGCTTCCTTGTCGCATGCTACTCGAAGCATCCTCTTGTGCCACGCCTGAAAGAGCACGCTACTGTGAGAGGCTCTCGCAAACCCGTCACTGGTATATTCGAGGCCAGTGTGGGCACATCACTTCAGATTATACATCCTGACGAAAAATTTGGTATCGTCAGCACAGGCAAGATCTGGGAGTCCATCCTGACTGATGCTACAATTGATTTTTTGGGCACGGGTTCAGAAGCTAGCAAGCGCTTTGCGGGCGTGGAAACTACAGGACTCAACGCCACGGATCTGCATGATGCGCCTGCCGACGAGGTGCGAAAACGGATGAAAGATGCCGTGAAGAGGCTTTTGAAGAAAGACAAGGTTGGCGCCATCTGTCTGGGCTGTGCTGGTATGGCTGGCATGGATGAGATGGTCAGAGAGGCGTGTATAGAGGAGTTGGGAGATGTCGAGGGTAAGAGAGTGAGAGTTGTGGACGGAGTCATGGCTGGTGTTGCGTGGTTAGAAGGTGCTATACGTGCTAGCTTCTAACTTGCGTCGAGGCGAACAGTGAAAAGTATATATTTGAAGCATTTTGTGTAGTTATGTCTCTAGTATTTCATGAATGATTGCGACGCAAACGGTCCCAATGAGTAGAGCCGCTAACCTGAAACAGTATGACATAATAACGTGGACAGTTGCGGGGACGGGAGTGGGACTACTACGCCCGGCGACCTTCCTACCTAAAATCTAGTCATACAGTTCCACATGACTGTTTGACCGGTTTTAAATTTTCCGCCCAAGGAAAGACTGATTGTTGTCCCATGCGATAAGATTTAAAACAAGAACTTAGTCGATTCATCGCTATGCAGTCGCTGCCGAACGAGCTTTTGTCGCAGATTGCCTCACAGCTACACCAAGAACCGCCTTCAATCACAAAGTTTACCCACGAGCCTTCTGAACATCTGACACAATCCGAGTTCACTCCACTCAAAACCTTGTCTCAGCTGTCATGGCGTTGGAGAAAGATCGTTCTATCCATTCTCTTCCGCTATTCGCGGATACCACTTGATGATGAGCCGCAATGGGTGCCTTTGGACGCACGGCTCGTCGATAGTATGCAGGAGCAATTGACCAAACTGAGTAATCACGAATTTGTCATCTACACCAAACTGCGGAGCAAGTTTAAGAGCAGCTCGGGCTTTGCATTCAAGCCAGCCATGGATGATGTCCTCATCAATTTATGCCGCATCCAAGAGGGGGATGAGTTTCTAAAGTCAGTGCCAAACATTTTGTGGCTTCCGCATCTTCCGAAAACATTTACAGACTTTTGTCGATTCGTGGCACATTACGCACTGAAGCATCACATCAAGAGCGTGGTGGTGCATACCAACAAGGAATACAAGCTGTCTCATGTATCTGCTGCAGAAGCACCGTTGGCTCGCGGGGTGAGTGACATCTGGACCCAAGTATTCTCTCACATAGAGCCTACACGAATCGTCGTAGCTGCCCCGCCATCAACCATGGCTGGTCTGCTGGATTCACCGATGCGGAGCAATGATGTATGGGCTTTTGAGATGAAGATGCATTACATCGAGCTAATTCAGGCCGAACCGCCCCGTACTGCTCATATGCAAGAGAATTGCCGGACATGGGGCTCTGCTCTCATCCATCAAAGACCTTGGTATCATATGGGTTACAATGAGGGCTCGTCTATTGCCGCATACAGCACATATGAATACCATTTGAAGCAACCGCCAAGGATACTTTTCCATTTGCTCATACGCCTGTTCCGGGAAACGCAACCATGCTGCAACATGACATCGTTCAGCTTCACAGGCGTCTTTCCATTTGCCGCAAACATCACTTCGATTGTTCGCACTCTTCACCGCATCCCAACGATCAACAAGATCAGTGTACAGCTAGCACCTGGGCCAGAGAACAATGTGCTCAGCGACAGCAAGAGAAGGGGCAGAGCGCAGTCAAGTGACTTTTGGCTCGAGTGGCGCGAGAGTTACAAAGTGATTGCGAGCTATTTAGGTGTGTTTGACTTTGCGGACCAGGCGAAGTTTTCAAGCAGAGACTGCGGTAGCAAGCAGCTGGCAATCGAGGTTGAAGAGTGTATGGATTTGCTGAGAAAGAGGGGGGTTGGGTGGAAGAGCGAAGGGCATGGGAATTGGGTCAGGGATCATACGTTAGATTGTCAAGCATCGACTGTTGAGGTTGAAGGAGGCTGAGCCTGGATATTTGCAATATAGGGTGTTGGAAACACTGTGGAGTGAATACGCAGACTGTGCCATATTTAACTTTGAGCAGTGTAACTATAGGCAATCCTTCATCGTGGGCGAGGCTATCCTTGAACATGACTCTAAGCACTAGCCAATTAGCAGCAGCCTCTAGGGCAGCGCGCCCCACTTTGAAACGCCTGTGTCGTCTGTCACAAACCAACCCGACGTCATGCCAAATTTCTGATTCGGATACCCTGCACCGGCCAATCTCACTCGAACTCTCAGGCACAGATTAACAAAGGCAGTAATCATGGACTCGTACGTGAATTGTTTTGGGCTTCGAAACATTGCACAAAAGCTAATGCAGTGTGTCTAGCCTCACAGCATCTGAGCAGCGCGAGCTGCAGTCGCGCATGGAGAAGAAGCAGATGAAGGAATTCATGAACGTATGTAGAGCGTCTTTTGAGTCGATTCTTGTGCTTCAACGACTGACATGGGATGGCAGATGTACTCGAACCTGGTGCAGCAATGCTTTGATCACTGTGTCAACGGCTTCGAGAGCAAGTCTCTCACCTCGCGCGAAGAGAGCTGCGTGATGCGATGCGTCGACAAGCACATGAAGGGCTCGCAGCGACTAGGCGACCGCTTCCAAGAACAGAATGCTGCTATGGCCCAGGGCGGCGGCATGGGCGGAAGATAGATAGTCAGAAGGGAAATCTCTGCGGCAGAGAGACAAAGGCTGCCTAGTGGCGATGAGAGACGACGCGCGGAATGCCGACTGCAAAGCGTGCGATAGTCGGGGTTGGATACAGTGGCCAGCCCGGTCATGCGCTGGCACAGAAAAAGGCCATTTGTACTACTATATAAAGACGAGTCGTGGGATCCGGTGTGGACGTGGACTACGTAAGATGCTTGCCCACGTCTGGATTAGTAAGAGCAGAAGCATGTCTCACGGGCATAACTGCCATTGGCAATGATATATATGGTTATGGAAAAGCATGTAGGTGCTACTACTACTACTACTACTTGTCGTGTGCGGTGTGGTACAGGCCAGCCATGGGCCAATCCATACGTATGTGCAGTGCACCCGAGACGCAGTTTCAATACGGGAGTTTGTGTGTAGTATGTACATGTGTGCGTGTAGTGTGTGCGTATGTATGTATGTACACACGTACGTATGTATGGAGCCATGGGGGTTAATTATAGCGCGGCATGCTCCCTCTGTGCCTCTTCCTCTCGGGCTGCATGGCTGTGGCAATGATTCCAGGCTGCATGTAGGCATGTCAGGCGACGCGATGCCGTTTTGCGTGGATTGGCCGGCAGGCATACGCTGCTGTTGTCATCGGGCAGCCACTCGAACTCCCTCGCCTCGCCTGGGAGCGAGCATCACCTACGCAAGCCAGCAGCCCTGCATGCTCTCTTTGTCGCTCCGAGCCCCAGTTTCAGTGTCGCCATCTCTGCGCCCACACATGCCTTGAAAAGCGCCTTTGGACACGCAAGCTGCGCATCTGAGCCCACCCCTAACCGCCCGCCCTCACCAATTTGCTGCCCACTCCTCGCGCTCTGCCCCCCCCAGACCAGACCAGACCACAATAGAGTCGCGTCGCTTGCTGGCTGGCTCGCTACTCTCGCTCTCGCACCCTCTCTCGCACCTTTCGCCCGCTCCCTCACCCATCCATCCGCCCGCACGCCCGCGCATCGTGACCAGCCCGCGCCCCTCCCGCCTCGTCCTGCTGTGCGCCGCCTGACTGAGCGAAGAGCGGTCGCGGAATACGAGGAGGACGCCCGTTGGCAGCTCTTGCGCATCCCTCGCTACCAGAAGCCGACGTCACGTAGCGGCCCCCCAGATAGCTGCCGCCTTGCCTGCCCACTCGGGGTCCACCTGTGCCTGGAACAAGAGCCAACTCCACAGCACCGCCTGCGATCGACGACTGCCCGCCCGTTGCTCCTCTTCTTTTTGCTCTGGAGAGCAGCCATCGCCCGGAACCCCTCCCCTCCGCGCTTGCCATGCCCGCAGGCACGCACACCAATCCCCAGACTCCGCGCGTGCGCAATGGGGAGCCCCAACCCGCCCCGTTGGCCACTCCCGAGCCCGCCTCGTCTAAGCGGGATTTGACCTCGTGGTGGAGGCAGTTTAGCAAGCGCCCCGCGAAGAAGGACGACGACAAAGGTACGCTGCCGCCGCAGTCGCAGTCGCCCGCTTTGTTTCCCGCGCGCAATCACTGACTGTCTTGCGCGCACACTTAGATCAAGCCCTCCCCGGCATCTTTGGCGTTCCCCTCATCCAGAGCATCCCCTATGCCAATGTCGCAATCTCGCTCTTCAACGAGCACGGTGAGAGCTATATCTACGGCTACGTCCCCATTGTCGTCGCAAAGTGCGGTGTCTTCTTGAAGGAAAAGGGTCAGTGAAGCCAAAGCACTTCTGCCACCAGCTGTTAACCCGCGCACAGCAACCGACGTGGAAGGCATCTTTCGGCTGGCCGGCTCGGAAAAGAGGATCAAGGAACTTAAAACGGCCTTTGACACGCCGCCAAGATATGGAAAAGGCCTCGACTGGTCCGGCTACACGGTTCACGATGCCGCAAACATTTTGCGCCGCTACTTCAACAACCTGCCAGAGCCTATAATCCCCTTGCAGCACTATGATCCTTTTAGGGACCCCCTCAAGGGCCACCAGGCCGAAGCTGTTGGACCCTGCGAAGGACAGGCCCCGTCCATCGGAGGCTTTGACCCAGACGCCGCCGTGCGCATATATCAACACCAAATTAAGGCCCTGCCGTCTCTGAATAGACAGCTGTTGTTATATATCTTGGATCTTCTTGCGGTTTTTGCCGCCAAAGCCGATGTTAATAAGATGACGACGTCGAATCTCGCTGCTATCTTCCAGCCAGGACTATTATCTCATCCCCAGCACGATATGTCGCCGCAAGACTACCGCCTCAGCCAAGATGTGCTGATCTTTCTCATCGATAACCAGGATCACTTCTTGATTGGCATGGAGGGCACAGCTGTCGACGAGGGTACAGTCCAGCGCATTGAAAGCGGGCCATCTACCCCACAGGCCAGAACACCAACCACTCCTGGCCGCAATAGCACAGGTATTGGTCGCTCAGCTTCGACAACTTCTAGCGCCGGTGCAGAGAGTCTGCGCATGCAAGGTGGAGTTCGGAGAAATGTATCAACATCTTCGAAGCGCTCTCGTCATTCCGGGGCTGTCCCCAGCCCAATTACTCCAGCATTTGCTTCACCGACCACCTCAGGAGTGCACCGAAGCAACACACTACCTTCAAAGCGCACCCCAGCGATCGGCAGCCCGCGCTTCCCTCCATCGAAGCAAACTACTTCTACGGTGGAAGAAGTCAAGAACGAGCTTTTAGCACCAGAGACCGCAAATGTCCCAGTGACCCATGCTCACGCGAAACCAGAGGTTCAGCAACATCCACACCAACTTGAGGCCTTACAGAGTACAGCACCTGCGGTAGAACAAACCGTAGCAACACAACCACCTGAACCTGAAGTGGCAGTGCCCAAACGAGCACAGACTGTCCCTCCAAATAAGATAGAGATGCCGAAACCATTCGAAGTTGCTTCTGGACCTAACAATCTTACGCCGTCAACTGCACTCAACCGACGAAGCATGCCTGCAGTCAGCCCTGGATTGCAAAACATGCCTGGTGCTTTCCCGCTTGCTTCACCTGGCGTCATCCCACCAAGCCAGCCCACCACACCCAATGTCACTGCACAGGCTGCACAGTCTCTCTTGCCTCCACGGTCTACCACACCTAGCAATGGCCTTCGCAGTCCCCAACGCAGTCCTCATCATACACCTACGCGCGAACGCTCAGAATTTCTCGAAGGGCCTGTCGATTCCGGACCCGCAGTCGAAATGACGCCTGCTGTGCGCACATTTACCCAAATTCTGTCAAAAGTAGGTGCCTCTCCTACTGGTAAATCTGATGACGGGAAGGATGGCCGGAAGCCCAACAAGCTCCAGAAGAAGAGATTGCCAAACACCGTGAGCCAAAGTACTCATAGTTCTACGCATTCTCTTGGTGGCAGTGAGGCTGGTTTTGGAGGATCTCAATCAGGCCATGGCCCTCCCTCACCATTACATCCGCCCCAACCTGCGTTTGCACAAGGTCAGTCGCACTCTAACAGCTCCAAGGAAGCCATTCACGACACAAACCCGTCAAAGGTTTCAGGCAACACTCTGAAGCCCAGCATGTCGCCTTCTGCTTCCTTTAGGTCACATTCGACCGCGACCGAATACTCAGAAACCGAGTTGGCTGAAGATGCGCCGAAAGAAGAGAAGCGTAGCTTCTGGAAGGGCCACCACCGACGCGGGGAGAGCAAGGCAACGCCTACAGCGAGCCAGACTGACCTGCGAGGGTCTGTGATTGGCGCTGACAAGAGTATGAGTTCGTTTACCAGCAGTTCGGGATGGACAGGCAACGGGCGTCGAAGTGGTCAGTATGAACATGGGCATGGGTCGGAAGGGTCCATGGTAGTTGGCAGCCCGCCAGACTACGACAAGAGTGAAAAGAAGGGGGCTTTCGATTGGTTCCATAAGCGGAGGCAGGATCACAGAGATCGTGTAGACAGGAGGGAAAGGGCCAAGAGCCCGCCGGGAAGCTCAAACTATGGGCCTCTGCCGCAGAATCTTGCGCAGCAAAGTGAAAACATTGCTGGTCGCGGCAGACCATCAGATATACCGCACGCTATGGAAGAGCCGCAGCCTAAAGCGGACAAGTCGAATGATGTCACGCCCACTGGTCCTAGCCCCTCGCCGCCGATGGCGGCTGCTAATACATCAAGCCCTAAGCGAGGGAGCAACTCAATGGCACTCAGGACAAACCTTCCTGCGGCGTTGACGGAACCTATTTCCATAGCGCGGTCGCCGGAAAGAAGTCCGCTGTCACCAGTTGCTGCAACGGTAGCTCAATCGCTGCCAGGGGCTGCTGCATCATCCATGACGAATGCAGAAAGCGTGCCTGAAGCTAAGGCGGATGCGCCGGTACAGTCAGAAGCTGCAGCTGCCGCTCCACCGCCTAGTGAACCAAAGTCGACACCGTCTGGGCCCATGCATGCTTCATCGGGGTCTACAGTCACCATCACGCCACAGACAATGAATGCAGACGCAAGCTCTGGTGCGCCAGTGACTGAGAATGCACAGTCACCAACAGCAGCCGCCAGTCCACCAGCTTCATAGGGAGGGGTCATTTGTTGAGTTGTATAATGCAAGGTGGATGCGTGTCTATAACCGCCATATATATCCTCATGCTACGGCATGGTCTGTTTTATTTTTCCCTTTTGGCAAAGGCTGTGCTTGGGCCAAAATGTTAGTATGTAAATGTGTGTGTGTGTGTATAGGGACTAGAGGATTGGCCTCGTCTCACTTTTGTTGTAAGAAGAAGGGATAAGAAGGGGGGGTGCAGGAAGTAGTGTCAGTCAAAATGTGGAGGGGAATGGTAGCTTTTATTTGGAAGGGGATTTCCTTTCTAGTTGTTGAATCGCACTTGTTTTACAAGGTCAAGGGGCTTGACGCGTGTTACAAGGGCGTGGTGTGTTGTGATGCTTGACCTGTACATGGGCGAGGTGCAATGGGATAATTAGTCGGAGGATCAAAAGGATTCGCATCAATCTATGCCAATGCAGGGAGAAGCGAAGGAGTTGATGAACAATGTTGGTGATTGTACATGTGCGTTCTTTGTGGTGATATGAGTGGATTGATAGCATTACAACTATCGACACGTGGTACTGCTACGTACATGCAGATGTATAGTACGGTACACTAAAGATGATAAGCAGCCCCCCCTTCCCCCTGCCCCCTGTGCATCTGGTATGCATACACACACAGCGACAGAGCCAACAGGAGAGGGGCATAGGTCTAGTGTGGTGGCGACGAACAGGAAGCGCAGAGGTCTAGAGCCGAGCGGGGAAGAAGTGAGGGGGCCTGAGTGGTGGGGTTTCTGTCTAGCCATCGTCTATCGTGTAGGGATACGTACGCGAACGGTAGGTGAGTTCGTTGGACGTCTGAGCATGATGAGGTTGAAGTAGGAAGGTGACTATTTTTAGGACGCTTACGACGGTGATTGGGCAGGGCGGGCTAGGCCGTGGATCAGGATTAGTTGGGGACGCCATGTGGGCTGAGGGATACGGAGGAGACAGCAGAAGGCCGGTGTACGGGCAAATGCGGTGGCTGTGTCGTCTAGAGTGGAGTTGAACGACGTCAAGTTGGCTCAGCACACACGGTGGTTTCATCGCGCGTTCGCAATTAGGGAGACGATGCCTCGGGCCCTCCCTTTCAAACAAATGACGTGCGGGAGGCGTCAAACCAAAAGGCGGCACCCCGACTCGTCTGATGTGTTTTGTCACATAATATACCCTACCCCCGAAGTTTATGTGCCAACTTGCTTCTCGCCTTGTTTCACGCGCTGGGCATATATGTGAATTACCTGCTTTGCGCGCCGGACAATGGCCTCATGCGTGCTGGTCAAGTAACTGCTGTCCGGACAAGACAGGCCTGAAAAGCATCAATGCGGATAAGCGATTGGGAGGCGCGACGGGGGGTGGATGGGCATGGTTGAGGGCGCACGGGATAGTCGGGACAGCGTGTACTTTAGTGGCATTGGGAGGCGAAAGGCAGGCAAGCGGGTCTGGTAAGCTCGCGTTTCTGTCCAAGTCACAGCTAGTGCCATGTATCAGCAACGACTCCACCTTCTGCCTTAAGGTCCGATCTGCCTGCTGCTCCCTCCCATTCCTTTCGCACCAAATTAATTAATTCCTCTTACCCACTCGCGTCCACTTATACTACATACACATTACACTCGCTGTCCATCGGCCCGACTCTGACTTCGACAACTGCTAGTACTATCTCTCACTCTCACCCACTCACTCACTCACTCACAAACGACACTTTCGTTTCGTTTACTTGTCTGCTTTCCTGCTGGCTTGTTTGCGACAAGGGAAAACAAGAAAAGTCACCGAGCGCACCAGAGAAATATCACGCAACAAGCAACCAAGACAGTCCATTGTTGGCTTTGCGGCGTCGGGACACTGGTAACCCAGCCACTCGGGAATCCACTGGAATTGTGTAAGCACGTCCTGAGCACCGCCTTCATGGCGACCATCACTCGCTAAAGTCTATCTGTTCCGCCTCGTTCCCTTTGTTACCGCTTCTGGGGCTTAACAACATCATGGCGCTCTGCTGACACGAATTGCACAGCTCCTGACATTTCTTCTCTTTAAAAGAGGCAATCCGTCTTCTCTTTACTTCGCTTAACCGATATCGCCTTCTTTGCACGTCACCACCATGCGTTCCTTCTGCCAGGTTGCCGTCATGGCACTTCCCTTGTTTAGCGCGATTGCAGCTACGGAGCCCAAGAATGTTGCAGACCCCCCAAAGACCATCTATGCAACCGCACAGGAAGCTTTCCAGGACTTGCTGAATGCGCTGCCGGAAGAATCCCTGCAAGCAGCACTGAGTAATCTCAAGGACTTCAAGAATGGCATCTTCGAGTCGCACCATCGGGGGGTCGAAAATATCCACAGCAACAACCCAGCGCTTGCTTCCAAGCTTATCGTCGATGCTGTCAATGACTTGCGCAAGAGGCAGACGCCTTCAAACGGCACCAATAGCGCCACTACCGCTAGCAACCCACCCGAGTCAATCCAGAACTCCACTCCAGCGCCAACAACGAGCGACAACTTACAGCCTCCTGAAACCAGCTCTGCTGCGCCACCACCACCACCGCCGCCCGGAACCAGTGAGGCCTCCGCCGATACTGTGATTCAGACGCAAACCCAAACGCAAACCCAGACGCAGACCCAGACGCAGACCCAAGATCAAACTCAGACACAGACACAGACACAGACCCAGCAGCAAACCACAACAGCCGTTTCAACCACGACTCAACTGCGACCCGCCATTATTCCAGTCGAATCCACGGTAACCAAGGATGGCAAGACGATTGTGCAGACCACCGCGGTCCTTAGCGAAGTCACCGCCTCCGTCGCCGTGACTGTTGTGCGCACCAATCCAGCAGGCAGCACAGTAACTGAGACTGAGAACCGACCTGCCGTCGTCAAGACAACCACGGACCGAGCCGGCCGTACAACCGTCACCACTTCGGCGGTGAACTTTGCGCCAACAGCGGGCCAAGTAACGTCGACAACTGACTCACGCGGCTCTGTTGTCCTGACTACACTCACACCCGGTGGCGGTCTGGTCAGCAGCATCAAGCTGATTACCACGACTGATGCACAGGGCCGCCAGAGCACAATGACGACGTATGCCTTTGTCGACCCGGTGCAAGCCACTGGTGCTGCCAATAGCCCCAATGCCCCCGGAGACGACAAGCCTTCGCTGCAAACTGGAGCTGCTGTCGTCAATGGAGCCCAATACGCTGCTGTTGGTCTCGGTGCCCTGGCCTTTTTCTTCTAAAAGCGGAAAAGAAAACAGCTACAATAAAAAAGTTTCGATCGATAGCAAAAAACACATGGGGCTGCTGATGGTTCTTCAGATTGTACATATCTTTTTTTGCCTCCTCTGATCTTTTCCCCTCATCTCTTCTTCACACAAACGCGAACACGAATTTCTTTTCTGGGTTCTTTTTACCGTGCGCTTGTTCGGCTGTCCATTCCTTTGATACCCCAGCTACATCTACATGTTTATACGTGTATATACGACACTCCTTTTTTCTGTTTAATAGATAATGCAATGGTTGGTTGGTAATTTTTTGGGCTCGTTGCGTGTAATCGGGCCTACACGCTGTATATGGTCCATGGGTGGATGCATCTAGTGTAGAGTGGGTCGAGTTTCCAAGGCGGATATATATATATATATACATGAAGTGGAAAAGGTGGGATATGCAAAATGGGAAGGAAAAAAGAAAATTCGTAATGGTAGTTCTTTGTAGATGGAATACACACACATACTTACCCATACACTTGGCATTATCTCCTTTCCTTGTTCGTCGACAAAAAGCAAAACCCACAGTCCGCGCATATGAATGTTATAACGACTTGAATATTTTTTGTATATGTGTTCTCCATCTTCTCTGTCTACACAGCTACCAAAGGAAACCAAGCAAAAGAAGAAAAAAAGGGAGGGGTATTGATATTTCCAATCAAAACGCCACACCAAAAAAAATGTTGCCTTCTATGCTGATAACCATGCAAATGCGTTTCCTTAACTCTTTCCCCTTTCGTTTTCTTCCTTTCCTCCTCCTAACCCAAGGTCAACAGCTATATCGAGCCCACCCACCCTAGATACCCTTTCTAGATCAAACAGAAAAAACAACAACATCAACAACCACCAGTTCCAAAAAAAAACTGTAGATAGTAACCATACATGTAACCCTAAATTGAACAAAACCAGCCTCCCTCCCTCTCCCGCGCCACCCACCCGCTTATGATACAGAGAAGAAGAGTGACGACAAACAACAACTACAAGAAGGAGGAAAAGAAGATATACTAATATCACTTACCACAAAAAAGGATGAAAGAAAGCCCCGAGTTGCCCCCCCCCCCCCCTTGACTCAAAACTCACCGCGCCTTTATCGCAATAAAATACTCGACGCTCTCACCCGCCCAACTCACACTATTAGTCCCAGACTCATACCTCTCTTCATCAAACAGCCCCGCAATACTCTGTTCATTCCTAACCCCCTGTTTGGCCGCGCCACCACCAAAGCTCTCGAGGCTAACAACCTTGCACCCTTGCTTCAAGTCCAGAAACTTTTGCAAGAGCAGATTATTCAGCGTCTCGCCAAAGACTTTGTTATTAACGAGAACGACATCCGCTTTGCGCAGCACATTATCGATTTCTGGGGATTCGAGAAAGTCGCCGTGGATAAGCTCAATGGGGCCGAGAGCAATGTTCCAGAGTTTCGAGCGGGCTTTGAGTTCGGCAGCTTGCTCGGAGCCCAGGGAGGCGGCGAGCTTCATTTTTTCGATCCCCCAGGATTCGGCGCCGGTTTGGAGCGCGGATTGCAGGACGACGTTGCCGACGCCGGAGCCGAGGTCGACGAAGATGTGCGACGAGTTGAGACCCGTTTGGGCGAAAATTTTGTGGACAAAGGGCGTGAGGAGCTCGCCGTACGTGGTTTCTTTACCGGCGACCTTGCGGAGGCGGTGGGCGTGCGGGGAGACGATGCGGTTGTAGCTTTGGGCGGTGATGCGCTTGACCAGGCTGAGGGGGATGGCGTGCATGTCGTCGAGGATGCGGGGTATGGTGCCATCGCTGTAGCGGTCCTTGATCAGCTTGTTGAATTTGGACAGTTCTTGTTTGAAGAGTTCCGGGTCATCTTTGGTCACGGCTCGCTTGAGGAGCCGGACTGTGCCTAATGCGTCGGATGATAGTTCTGCGGACAGATCTGATGGGAGGTAGTGCTGTATGATTTCTTCAATACTGAAATAAATGTCGTCCAGCGGGCTGTACTCCTCGTCTACTTCTTTTCGGGCAACGGCTTCGAACTTTTCTGGGCGGGAGAGACTGGGATATTGAAGTTCGACCACAAGCTTCTTGTCACTCCCTGAAAAAGCAGATTTGTAGGTTTTGGCTACATCATCTTTTGTCATTTCATAACCATGTTTCAGGCATATCTTGGCTGACGACGCCTTTTTCTTTCTAAACGCCGCATTCTCCTGGGCCTGTCTCATGACCGAGTCGGTTGTACCATTTGAAGGCCCTTCAGCCTCTGCCGCATCCCTCTTTTCAGCCTCCTGTATCCGTATGCGCCTGCTCAAGTCCGGCTCGAGAGCGCGATTTAGACTCATGGGCTCAATGCTGCTGCTGGCTGGCCGTGTCCGGCGGCGCTTGACACCCAAGCGATCACTGTCATCATCCTCGCTCGACTCATCGCTACTAGCCCACTGGGGGGTATCGGTACCCTTGCGTTTGCGGGTGTCGACACGCGACACGGATACCGACTTGGGGGCCCGTTCCCTCGAGGTTGTTTGCGAGCGGGGCGTCGACTGATAGCGGTTGGGTGGCGGGCCAGATGCACTGTGGGAGCGCGAGGCATTACCTGGGCGTGAGGCTAGAGGGCGTGATGAGGGTGAGGGGCTTGCAGTGGGGGCGGGCGCCTTCTTGACAAGAACGGTTCTCGTCTTAATCTTGGGTTTGCCGGGAGCGAACATGACCACGGCGGCGCTAGTTGCAGGGCGGAGAGAACAATGTGTGGGTAGCCAGAACAGAGGGTCGGTAGCAGGCTGTTGTAAAGGCAAATGAGTGTAGCGGGTAGGGTGGCGAGCACGAGGACGAAGAGAAGTGGGAAGAGGGCCAGAATGTAGGCAGCCAATACCAAGGGCGTTGTCGCACGCGCAATGGGACAAAGATACGTGACCAGGTCTTTCCGTCGTCTGCACAGCCGTGCAGTGGCTGCGCAGGGATCCCCCGCCTAGTGCTTCTTGGCACGCAGGATCCGTGGCCCTGCTTTTGCCCATGCCGACGTCAGTTCTATCCATGTCTCGACATTGGTACTACATGTCCATACTACAAGATTACACATGTATATCTATCCATCTATGTATGTACCATGGATGGTGTTTTAGCAACAATGACAACAACATAACATGATCGGATCTGTACTATGTAGTATTAACGAGCAGGGCATAACCAGCTCCTTGGTCAAGACCACCTAGGTCGACCCCATAGCTATTATAATACATTCCCCCCAAGAATAAAATCAACCAATCAATCAGTCCATCAGCCCATCAGCCCCTCACTCAGCGCCGACGGTCTCGGCTGCGGCTTCTCGTCCGACTCCTCACACGCCTGCGCCTGTCTCTATCACGACTCCTATCCCGGCTTCTCTCTCGACTTCTTTCCCTACTCCGCTCCCTACTCCGCTCCCTGGCCTTTCGATCGCCGTCTCGCTCCTTCTCATCACCATCTCCACCCCCACTACCAGGTTGGTAGCAGTCAGACTCTTGCCGTCTACTGCCTCGTTCTCTCCCACCATCCCAGCGATCATAGTCCCGAGACCTGTAGCTCCGTGGCCGATCGCGGCTATCGTCACGCCTGCGAGGTCGGCTATCATCACGCTTGCGCTCACGGCTATCTTCTCGCTTCCGGGCGCTGGTGGTAGTGGTGGCAGCGGCTGCTGCTGCTGCACCGCCAGGCACATAACGATCAATGTTATCTGGACTTCTAGAGCGAGAATGACGGCGTCGACGAGTGGCCGACCGATCACGGTCGCGGTCGCGATCACGATCACGTCGGCTTCGGGAATGAGACCGGGTGCGATCTCGACGTCTCTCTTCTCGGCTTGGTGAAGGGCTGCGTGTCTCGTACCGCGACTTGCGGCGGCTAGTACGTGTCTCTCGTGACCGGCTACGACTGTCGCGGCGCGAGCGTCTATCATCACGGTCGTCGCGATCGCGCCTTCGACCATCGTGTGCCGGCCTGTAAGAATGTCTATCATCATCCCGTCGAGACCTGCGGTCGTAGCGGCTTCCGCGAGACAGTGAACGGCTTCTGCTTCGCCTTCTGGTACTCCGTGCAATACTGCGTGATCTAGAACGTGCGCGTGATTTATCGCCTTTTGAAGACAATTCTCCTCGTCGACCCTTGGCGTCGGTTGGTGGAGCATCCATCATCAGGGTGTCTTCGTCCTTTGCGGCTGCAGTATGTGTTTCCGATATGGGGGATCTGAGGTCTTTACTAGAGGCCCGCTGTGCAGGCGAGGCGGATTTTCCGTCAAGCTTCGCCAGTCGAACAGCCACTGGATCTCGCGGTGCAAGCGACTTGGGTGGGTGTGCTTTCCGCATAGGCGGCTCTAGTGATTCTGAGCGTTCAAGTGCGGGTCGTTGCCGTGACTTCTTCATCTGTTCGCTCTCTTGCAACAAAAGCTGAAGTGCCAGATCGTCATCCACCTTGATGTCCTCGGGCTTGATAGATGTACGGCGGTCACGGGATCTTGACCTTGTCCTACTCCTTCGCCTGCTTCTGTCACGCCCTCGGCGCTCTCTGTCACGGTCAGGGGTCCTGCTGCGTCCACGGCCACTGCGATAGCGTCCACCACGATCTCGGTCAAGCTCCTCTTGTATGCGACGCTCCCGCTCGGCATCCTCCTCTCGGATTTTCTTAAGGCGAGCCTCTCGACTCTTCTCGTGCTCTTCCCGCTCCTTCTTAAGGCGCTGGCGTTCCTCTTCCCTCTCCTTCTCAATCCTTTCTCGATCTTTTCGTCGGCGCTCTTCGTCTTCCTTCTCGCGCTCTTCACGCTCCTTGCGCCTGCGCTCTTTTTCTTCCTGCCGAGCCTTCTCTCGAGCTTCATCTTCTTCCTTTTCTCGCCGCCTACGCTCCTCCTTTTTGGCCCTCTCTGCACGCTCCTTCTCTCGCTCTTCTTCCAGCTCCTTCTCCCTCTGAGCCTCACGCTTTTGCCGTCGAGCCTCGGCTTCTTGTGCCCACTCCTCTTCAGTCTTGCTGCCTCGCTTCTCCTCTTCAGCAGCCGCCTCCGCTCCAATTTCCTGAATGCGGTATTCGCGCATTTTCGGCAAGCCCTGTTCCTCCATCAATCGGTCCAACAGGGTATTGACAGTGCTCATGATGTTCGCGTAGATGTCACTGCGTTCTCCAGCACCTTCGATAAGGGTGGTCGCCATTCTGGGGTCCTTGGATAGTAATGACGGATTACGGTCGGTTTCACGGTCAACAAGTTCTTTGAGGGCGGATTGGAGTTCATCTTTCGCAGGCTGAAGCACAAGTGTCAGTCCCTAGCTAGGCTTTTGAATGCAAGATTTCTACCTACACCTGAAACATATTGCTTCATGAGGTCCCTCCGTATGTCGTCGTATGTGCCCTTTTTGCGAAACATGTGTACCAAGCTGTCGATGGCGGATCGTTTCGCCTGGGAGAGCGGAAGCTCCGAAGGCCTTAGTTTCTTGCGCACATTCGCAGTACTATCGCCGTCTTGGGCGCGCTTGCGTCCAACTTCGGCCATGGTCGGTG